GTCTGTTGGCAGGAGCATTTGGGCCAGGCTCTTTGTTCGAGGTAGAGTTGGAGACATAGAGGGTGAGCTGAGGTGGGACAGTCGTCTGGTTGGTCGAGCCATTCCACTGTGGTTGTAGACAAGTGGTAACCGAGATGTAAACCAGCCGGGTGGAAGGGTTCTGGCGCTTGTAGATGGTGCCAGAGTCGCCCGTGTCACCATCGTCGATACTGCTAGGAAGGCCAGGAGTTGCGTTGGCATAGGGAGCCCAGAGCGACGTGTTGCTAAAGTGCCAGATGGTTGTGTTGCCAGCCTCGATGTTAAGCAGGCCCGGCACGTTGCTCCCGCCCAGCGTCACGACATCTCCCGTTGCTCTTTTTGTGTGCTGTCCTTCTTGGTCGTCTGCTTTTATGGCCTCATCTGCATCTTCTGCGTCGTCCAAGTCGTCTGTCAGGTCGAGGGCGTATTCATCCAGCGCTATGAGTGGGGAGACATGATCCGAAGTTTCAATGTCGGCGGCGTAGGCGAAGTGCGGGTTCCATAGGAAAAGATAGATGAACAGCACAACGAGCGATGCCGCCAGCGACACGGTGAAGCGACATTGCAGCGGGCTCAGCTTGGGAAAGTGCATTGCATCGTAGCTGACTGACTTTGTCCATTTCAAGACGCTCTCACATTCCCGCCCACTTCACCCTCTCAGACCCTGCCAAGACAGTTGTCGTAAGCATGTGAAAGTGTTTTTGACAAGGTAGGCTAAATCGCGTCCGACTGCATAATCAACGCGTAGTCTACCCATCAATCATTCCCTCCTGCTGCTGTATCAACATGACAGTCGTTGCTGTAATCCTACATCCCATCCCTTTATATCGTCCGTCCACACATTACTCCGTTAAATGCTGCATGCCATGACCGAAGCAGTTGACACATGCGCCAAACGCCCCGAGAACGAACCACCTCATATACCAACAATCCCGTTTACATCATTCCCATCATCGGTGAGCTGGCGTACGCCATGGGCTTGATGTCCGGGTGCTTGACGGCATCGAACTGCTTGAACTGTAATTTGTAGTCGTCCTCGATGTTGATGAAGGCTCCTCTGTTGCCTGTCGAATCGCAGTAGTTGGGTGCCGAGAAGATGGTGATACACTTGCTGTCGTGCTCTTCCTCGTAGCCATCCATTCTGACCTCGTGACTGCGAATAATCGCTTCCAGTCCGTTCTTCTCGCAGAACCTCTTGGTCACGTCAGGTCCAAACTGCAGTCCAACTCCACGCTTGCTGGGTCCTCTTCCTGGTGCTGTCTGGGGATCTGTCCACAGCATCTCCATCATCAATCCACTCTGACCAGGTTGTTTCTGGTTATGTCTGTTGAGCTTTCTCACGTCATCGAGCGTAATGTTGTCGTCCGAGAAGAGACCTCCGTGGAGAACAAAGTACTTGTCGCCAATCAATGTAGCCAGGGGCAATGCGCTGAAGGATTCCGAGAAGAGCTTGAAAGTGCGGTCGTTGTACTTGGCCTTGCACTCGCCCTCGAATCCATACATTCTGTTCATGTCGTCCGTTTCGTGGTTTCCGCGGTTCAAGAACATGGACTTGGGGTACAGCCACTTGTAAGCGTATAGTAGGAGGGCGATTTCGCAAGACCAGCTTCCTCTGTCGACAAAATCTCCGTTGAACAGGTATGCGTGGTCGGCCGAGGGGCGGCCGTTCATTCTGAAAATCTCCATCAGGTCAAAGTATTGTCCGTGGGTGTCACCGCAGACAGTGATCTTCTTGCCCTGGTCGACGTGTGTCTCAACCATGGTAGGCTCGTTGTAGCAAATTTCCTTGACGGCCAGGATGATCTGGTAGACGTACTTCAAGGGCAGCTTCTTGCCGTTCTTAAAACGCTCAATTGTGTCTTCGACGAACTCCAGCGTCATGTCGTCACCCAGCTTAACACCGTCGTAGTCGGAGGGAATAGCCATGTTGGCTACGTCCAGACCTTCGGCGGCTGAAGGAGCATCAGGGGCCTCGATGGCCTTGAGGAAGGCATCGCGCTTGATGACTTTCTGACAAGCATCATGTTGGGCGCGGGCGACCTTGTCTGACGGCTGCTTCTTGACAACAATCTTCCAGTCGTGAATAGCGTCTGAGTGCCTCAGGATGGCGGTGTTGGCGACGGCGCGGCGGTAGTAGGCCTGGTGGGAGTGTGAGCAGGAGAGCACGTGGGCAGATTGAATAGTAATTTTCGCACCTTGACAAAGTCAGGGTTCAGATCGATGGCCTTAGTAGCGTCTGCAACAGCATATCCGTATGCCTCGAGCCGAATGTGAGCCTTGGGTGAGTGAGTCAGTGGACGAGACTAGAAGGTATATTTCGGAGGTGATGCAAACCTGGGCTCTGTTGGTATAGAATGAAGGCTCCTTGTCGTACTTGTCGATGGCCTGGGAGTAGAAGTCGATTGCTTTGGGCCATTCCTTGTTCTTGAAAGCATCGTTGCCCTTGTTCTTAAGAGCAGTTGCCTCCTCCATGGTTATGGTGGGGGTGGTTTATATAGAGTGACTGTAGACGATAGTGCAAGCCAAGCTGGGTTGCAGTATATGTAGAGAATGGAGAGGCGAGCAAGCAAGAGCAGATGGGTGGAAGATCCAAGGACGAGATGCAATGTGTTGAGAGTGGAAGATGGTGGAATTTCCAGAAAACAGCACAGACACTTTGATATGCCACTTCGTGCTGCTGCTCGCCGTCGCCGCCTCGGTCGAGAAGGCTTGGCCTACCATGTGGGGGGAAGCGTGGTAGTTTTAGCCGACCGCCTGCAAGCAACTCTTAGCGCGCTCTGGATCGACTCGCTTTGAGCATCATCGTCTCCGACAAAGACAACAACATTCACACGCTTCCGTCGCACGTCCATCTCTATTCCCGTTCACCACATCTGTCACCATGTCCAACTTCGTGCCGCCCTCACAACACCGCTCGCTGCGCGCCTGCATGGTCTGCAGCATCGTCCTCCCAGGCTCGCGCTTCCGTCGCGAGGGATGTCCCAACTGCGAAGAGTTTCTCGAGCTATCCGGCCACGACGACGCCATCCAGGAGTGCACCAGCCAAGTCTTTGAGGGTCTGATCACTCTGACCGATCCTACCTCCAGTTGGGTCGCCAGATGGCAGCGATTGGACAGCTACGTTCCTGGTATCTACGCCGTCAAGGTCACTGGCATCGTAAGAACCCCACTGCAGACACATCAACTTGCTCATACTCACACTATCACACAGCTGCCCGAAGAGATCATCTCTACCGTCGAAGCTGCCGGTGTCAAGTACATCCCGTGAGTCCAGCCTTCACTGCCCTCTCATTTGCGGACATCCAAACTAACGACCGCCAGGCGCGACGGCACTAGCATTGACGACATGTAACCGTCCATCTTGCATACTTCTTACACGAATCATCCATGAAAAGAGCGACGGCGTTTTGAGGCTGGGAAAATGGTTTGGCACGGCGGGTACTGCCACAAGCATGTTGCATTATGATACCCCGACATCCAGTGGAAATACAGAGAGTCTTCATACTCGTCAAATGGAAAGCTTGGAATTCTCAATCAGGACACAACTCCGCAAAACACTCAACGCAGACTGATCACGACGCATTATAGCCATCCTGGACAGGACCAGCGATATCCTTTTGGCCGCATCTGCGATCGCGCAAACTGGTAGTGGTCGATTGGCCCGTCGTCGAATCCCTGGTAGCCATCACTGTTCTCCTCTGTCAGGACCTAGGGCTGTGTCAGCAACGATGCCTCTACGTGATTTGCGCAACATACTTCGAGCTCCTCCTTCAAGGATTCTTTGAGGATCGTCATGTCCATCCGAAGCTTGAGTCTTGCCAGCGTTCGTGCTTCTCGATTGGCAGGGTCAAGAGCATGTATGGCCTTGTTGCAAGCTTCGATATAGTCATGCAATGCGTTGATGTCTTTTTCGCGAGAGCCCGTGAAGATATATTCTTTGACTCTGGCTTCTTCTACCAACCTTTCAGGCTCGTCATTTCCAGCTTGGGAGTAGTCTGAGGAAGGCGATCGGTCCCAGACAACCAGGTCCTTGATGCGTACAAACTTGCAGCCTCCCATTTCTACATACTGAGGTGGTAGTGGCTTTCCTACTGCGTCTGTGTGCTCGCGCAGCGTCTGCTTTTGCCAGAGTACGTAGCCATGGGGCGGCGGTGGAGGAGAATGGATCGACTGCATCACTGATTGGGAAATATGGCTTTGTTGTAAGAAAAAAGAGCACACTACAGGGTGACATGTATCGCAAGTAGAAAGGAGAATATCTGTAAGCAGAACAGGGAAAATAGCTTGCAGATGAGCTTATATATAAATCATGACAGTGTTGTGGTAACTTCTCATATAGGCTGTGCAGATGGTTGTCTTGTATAGAGGGTACAAGACTGGAGCGTTTGTACCATCGAACATGCGAAACGCATCTAATCTTGCTGTATTCCTCTACATGATCAGACATGGGCCAACAGCTTTCCCGGGTGAAGCTGAAGACGGCATAGGTGTGGTTACTTGTAGGTGGCAAACAATCAAGAAATTAGGGATCGTGCTGCAATAGGTCTAAGCCTTGAGTCTGATGATGCAAGCCGAGTGATCTATTCTTGCTATTCTTGCTACAAATGTGATACCTCGAAAGTGGATTTGAAAATTAGGCAACATGGTGTATTCGGAGCTGAAGAGCAAGACGGTGTTCGATGGTATTGTTTCCTGTTTGCTACATCGGAAACGGATTGAAAGACTTGGAGAACACAGATAGTGTTCAGCTGAGCTCGACGATGGTTGGAAGCACAGTCACAAAGCACAGCCTCGATACATGTCGTTGTAGAGGAATCAATTGGTAGTCAAGTGAGTGCCAAGAGAAGAGACAAAGTCGGAAGTGGTGCGGCAAAATCCGAGGATTCGATGCGGGAGTGAGAGATGGCCGACCAACGTCGCAAGCACCAGCTCCTGCAGACATCGCGCAATTGACGAACTCACTCGCTCGACCGCCGCCCATCATGAACTCCTTCCGTGTCGCCCGCGCCGCCCTGCGCGTTCGCCCTACCGCTTTCGCCGCTCCTCTTGCCCGTAGAGGCTACGCCGATGTCGCCTCGGACAAGATCCAGCTGTCTCTGTCCCTCCCTCACCAAGTACGCTCGCTCCGCTCTGCTCCGTCTACACCACTCGCCCAATCGACCCCTTGTCAGAAAGAGAATGGAAAACCATGGACCTGTGCTAACGTGTATCCTCTGTANCAGGCCATCTACAAGTCGCAGGATGTGTACGAATCCCCACAATTTTCCCTGATACCGCCATCAGCCACGGACGAGCACGACTAACCTTCGGTTTCAACAGCNGTTCAGGTCAACATTCCCGCCGAGACTGGTGACATGGGTGTCCTCGCCAGCCACGTTCCCTCCATCGAGCAGCTGAGACCCGGTCTCGTTGAGGTTATCGAGGAGTCCGCCGGCAGCAAGCAGTTCTTCCGTACGTTTCACATCACACATCCTGGACGGAGAGCACGAAGCATTTGCACAAACCTAGAAAAAATCTGGAATCAAGAGCATGGCTAATACATGGAACCATANGTTTCTGGCGGTTTCGCTACCGTCCAGCCTGGCTCCAAGCTCAGCATCAACGCCGTTGAGGGTTACCCTCTCGAGGACTTCAGCGCTGAGGTATGCGGATTTGCAGAAAGTGTTGCAATTCTGATGCTGACAAGAAACACANNGGCCGTCAGAAACCAGATTGCCGAGGCTCAGAAGATTGCAAGTGGCAGCGGCAGCGAGCAGGACATTGCCGAGGCCAAGATCGAGCTTGAGGTGAGCATTCTCAAACCTGACGCTGATTATACTCAATATTTACTGACTGAATGCAGGTTTTGGAGAGCCTCCAGGGTTTCCTCAAATAAGTGCACTAGCGGTTGTACTTAGGTTGCATCTCTAAAATGTATAGTAAATCGTCTGCTTTGCCCGAGGCTTGTTCAAATTTGGTCCCTCGCGCCTGCCTCTCTTGATGACCCGTGAGGCTTGAATCGCCTGCTCGTTTTGTTGCATTGAACATGTAACTCTGGCTTCGCTGCTGCATTTCCTCTTCAACATTCATTCATTCATTCATCCATCGCTTGACTCAAATCACAGCCTGACATTTTCTTCATCGTATCTCTACTACCTATTCAGCATCAATGGTCAATGCGAAGGCTTGGATGGCAGCCCTTGTTTTCAAGCTCAAGCTCAAGCTCAAGTCCATGGCTCTCGCCGCCAAACTTAGACGAACCCCAAAGCCAACCCCAGCTCAAACCCCTGCCCAGACTCCCGCTCCAGCCACCCAGCACTAAAACTACAAACACGAGCCAGCGATCCTTGAATGCTCCGGACGTCGTGGCTCCAGTCCGTCAGCCTGGTCGCGTTGCTGATCGAATCCGAGCCATCAACAGCCTTCATCAGCTCCCATCAAACGTACCCAAGAAGAAGTCCATTGAGCCTGTGCTTCCCTCGAACCCACCAACTACCCTATCGGCCGAAGATGAGTTCAGACGAGCTTCACCATTTCCTCGAAGGGATTCTGCCCAAAGCCCAGTCCGACCTGAGACACCCCTTTCGCAATCGCAGCCTCTTATAAGTCCCCTGGTTCACTGTCCGATGCCAAAACGTCACCAACCTCAGCTTTCAGCAAACATTAAGAAGGGAGCAATGCCAGACGACAACCAGCCTATGTGCTATCGTCATGGTCGTAAGCTCAAGCTCAGAAAAAGCATACCAGCTGGCATGGACAAAGCTTTCAGCGGTGTGTACGTCCCGACTGGCCCTATGATCAGACAACAAGTCGACCCGCTGAGCCCGTGGGCTGTTGGAAGATGTCTTGCTAAGACCAGTGGAACAACAGTCTCTCCCGATATCTGTCCTGACTGCCTTGCCGAACAACGTATCATGGAGCGTGAAATCGAAACAAACATCCAGACTTCCCAAGCTCGATCAGGTCGGCCTTTCGTATCTGCAAGCAGTTCTATCTCTACTGAGCCTGGGACACCTCCTGCGTCTGACCAGCCACTCAACGTCCTGGTGGGAACAAGCATCGACAACCAGACAGTCAACATACCTGGAGCCACTGTATCTGACCTACCACCAGACAAATTTGGTGGAATCGTTGCAACCGACCTCGGCGAAATGATTGACGCCATCATCGTCGAACACAGCGGCAGTCTGGGCAAAGTCATCTCCAACATCCGTAACGGTATGCCAGATAGTGATTGGACCCAAAAGCTCTCGCGCGACCTTGCTAAGGTTTCGGAAGCGGTAGCATCTCTCCCAGATGACAACATCAGACACGCTCCTGCTTTCTCCCGGAACATCAATGGCCGACGCTCAATCATACTAGATGCTTCACCTGATTCTCTATAGAAACGAGCAAAGACTATGCCTGAATTGCTTGACTTGGTCGATGCCGCAACGGAGGAATTTGGCATGACCAGCGCAAACAATCGAAAGCAAGACTTCAACCTTGATCGCCCGCTTATGCCAGGCGACTTTCCCCATACCTCGAACAATCTTCCAGCTGCCACAGTCAACCCACCTGCTGCTCTCCCGCTCACTCCATCTTCTTTGCCTGCGCAATCCATCGTGTCTGAACCTTCATATACAGCGCCTCAAGCACCTCGACCAACCCTTAGATCTGAGCAATCGGTGGCGGCGAGTCAGGCCTTCCAAGCACCTATCACATATTCAGCCACATCGATCGAGCCTCTGGCGTCTGATGCCGATGAAGACGAGGCGACTCTTGTAGAGACCGAGACACCAGTTCGAGTCGCGAATATACCCGTCAAAGGCAGTCAAGATCAAAGCGCCCCTCGTGAAGCATCCACTAACCAGCAGCGGAGTCGAATTCCGAAGGCTACCACGATACCTTTGACCAAGCACTTGTATGCATCATCCGATAGACTACGCTCGGATCAGACCAGACCAAAGCCTAGTATGGTAGCCAAGCAACATCAACAGCAACGAACGTTTCAGCAGGGATGGTTGAGGGAGGCGGCTGTTGTTGAGAGAGCCGAAAGACGGAGCCGGAGCAGGAGCAGAGGGGCAAATCATGTATGAGTATTACTAGTGATAGAATCAAGACTTCCTGAGAATTAACAATCGACCCCTTGCCTACCTGAAGTGTTATGGTACAGCGGTTCGCATGACTCTCACACCAAAGTATATCTCACGACAACAAGAAAGGGCTTTTAGAGAACATGTGGAATGTCTCACTGTGCTGAGACAACCACACCATCTCTCCTTCTCAATGACCACGGCTGTAGTATACTGTAAAAATACACAGCTGCTTATCAAATCAGACGAGTGGCCATAGAGATAGCTCTGAGACGATGTCTCTCCTTGGACATTGCTTGAGATAAGAAAAACATTATGTCTCTATACACTATACTACTGAACTGGAGAAGCACACCGGGGTGGGGAAGAGCTGGAAGTACAATGAAGATCAGAATCTAGATGTCATTTTATGGCTGTTTGGCTTCTGAAAACTGCTTTTTGGTCCTTCATGATCACCGTCAAATGCCTACTCCTTTCAGAACTTTCTAGTCACTGAGTCTGCGCGAGTCGAAAGCGACAGCCTTCTTCTCTGCATCATCCCAGACGACCTGGTCCTCAGACATGCCCTCGGCGCCTTCAGGGATAACGGTGCCGTCAAGAGCCATCATGTCTCTCTCGGCCATCTCTTCCCATCTCAAACCCATCTCCTTGATAATCTTTTGGTTCTCGGTCGGCCAAACACTGCAGATGGCAAAGTAGACGACGAAACTGGTTGTGAAACTCAACATCCAGCCTAGATGGCCCATGTTGAGTGCTGTGGTGGACACGTTTGCACCCAAGCTGCCTACGAAACCAGGGAATGGCAAAGCGATACCGCAGAGGTAGGCGATGACAGCTTGAGGGTTCCAGCCGTAAAAGTAGTAGTAGTGGGGGTTTTCCTTGCCGCCGTTGTAGCAGTGGGCGATGAAGATGTTGCCGCGGGCCAGGCAGAAGTACTCGCAGATCATGATTGCGACTACAGAGGCCATGAAGAGACCATATCCGGCGAGGAAGGTGGTGAAGACGGAGGCGGAAGCGAGGATCTTCCACGGGACTGTTTGATTGAGCTGTTAGCAAGAGAAGATTCAGGTAGGTCGAAGAATGTAAGGCTTACCGATAGCAAAGCCCAGGCAGGTGACCAAGAACTGTCCACGAGGAATGGTGATGTAGCGAGGGAACAACATGCTAGAGTCTGATCCAAAGGGAATCATGTTGGCGGCAACGTTGGTTCCTAACAGACTGACAGCCCAGCAACCGGCGGTGAGGAAGACAGCAAAGCGAACATCGCTTCTCCAGTATCTGTTCATGATTGCGTCGAGAAGATCCCACTGGTTCCAGAGCGAAAGACCCCATGCATTATTGATAGCGGCGGTAGACAAGATTCCCAGACTGGCGGACAAAGTCACGGCGATAGGGTTGGTGATGAACTGAGACCACATGGCGCCAGATTTTGTCTTTGACCATCTCGCAATATCGGGCTGGTTGGTGATCAATGTGGCAGTGTTTCCGAGACCAGCATTGACAGCGTTCATGAAGAACCATCCCCACTTTCCAGATGCGCTTACTCCAGCAGCTTCGGACAGTTTGCTGGTACCCAGCTCGCCGTGTGTGTTGGCCATACAGAAGATGAAGAGTCCCCACACAGCAGGGATCATGAGTATGGTCTTGACGGTGAAGAAAGTGCGCAGCTGATAAGGACGCAGCATGGCTAGGGGGAAGTGGGCCAACCAGAAGAGGAAGAAGGCGAGCATGCCTGCAGAGGTAATGCCCTGAGACTTGGGGATGTGGTTCGGGATGTCGGTGTAGTTGTGACCAAAGACTGCGCGTAACATGTTGGCCACCAGCGAGGCACCCGAGTAGGCTTGCACACCGAACCAGANCGCTATTACATCTTTGTTAGACATCCAACTCCTGGAATGCCTAGGAAGCGTGACTTACACAGCCAGAATTGCTCTAGCACCTACAAAGTAGTAGGATCCCCACATGCCAAAGACACTTCTTGCAANCTGACAAGCTCAGTCAGCCCAAAAATAGCAAAACTAGGCCTACCACGCACTCATTTACTCACCAATTGGATACCCAAGATGGTATACGGACGCTGCACGTGAGTTGAACAGCATGGCAATTGAACTGATGAACTGCGAGATGAAGATGGCGAGGATGGCCTGCCAGTAGTTGAGGCCTATACCTATCAAACTCGAGCCAAGAGTCCAATTGCCAAACGACAAGGCGAAGTAGAAGACGACGTAGTTGTACCNCTACACCTCGATTAGACATCCGTGGATTGGATTGTCCAAGGAGTACTTACACCTCCACGTTCGTTTCTCGGGTGGGGTGGGGTCGAGGTCCTCATTCGACCATGTCGGTCCAGTCTCTCCATGCGAATGGCGATCCAGTGCAGTGTCTGGTACAAGGACCCATTGCTTGAAGTTATCCCAGCTCTTGAAAGCGTTGACCGCGTTCTTCTTCTTCTCCATGGCCGTGGCCTTTGTGTTCTGGAAAGTCATGGTTGGGCGGATCGCTGAGAGGGTGTCCTGGGAGCGGGCTTATAGGCGCAAGCCGTCCTTTATCTGTGCAGCGTGCCTTATCTGATAGCGACAGAGATAGCGGCGACGAGACAGAAGGAGGGGAGAGAAGGAGAGAAAAATCGATCCGCCAGAAACGAAGTACAGGAATCGGGCGGGTTTAGGGCGGGGTTTAGTTACAATTTAACAGCGATAAGGCAACTCTGCTAAAAGTACGTGTACGTTTTACTTTCACCGCCGTCGATGGTTCGGTGTCATGGTTGATGCTTTTTCGCCAACCGTGCTGCAACATGTGCGCGCTGCGTGAGGAGAAAAACATGGCTCCTCGGCAGACCTCCTACCTAAAACAGTTGGCGCTGAATCTGTCGCGTGCCCTCCTACTTCAAAAGGAGGAAAGATAGGCAGAAGACTGCAACATCGAAGGCGATTGAACGGCATGTCCGCTGAAGGTCAACAAGTTGTTCTTCTTGTTGCTTCAACACGTGCATCGATCTTGAGGTCTGGACTCCCCGATTTCGCACCAGAAGACTTGGGCACAGGCCGGCCGCTTCATGGCCCATTTTTTCATCTGCTATGGCCTGTGGGGTTTGCGTCTGGGGGATCTGGTGGTCGGCCGCTTGTGTGAGGACTCCGATTCAAAGCCTCAACATCACCATCCTCTCTGTTTCTGCGGATGTATGGCAAGACTTGGAATTTCATGCAACAGTACGTAGTAGTGAGAGCCCTCCGTTGGAAGACCAATTCATTGTCTGGCTTCTTCTTATATCTCATTACTTGATAAACTGTGCCTGTCGTTGTTAGCCTTCCTTCCAAGCTTCTCGGCAGCTTGGCCGAAGCGCCACTCGCTCGGTCAGGGTCACTTTAGGGCCTCGGTGTTGAGCCATCGGTATCGGTGCCGAGGGTCTTGTGAAACCCGTGTGAGATAAGCCGAACAGCTTTACAAGGGCTGCTTGAGCTTTGAAACACCAAGCACAACAAGATCCCATACACAGCCATGTCCAAGAAGACCATTCTGATCACCGGCACGAACCCCGGCGGCATCGGCAATTCGCTCGCCCGCGAGTTCCACGCCAAAGGTCTCCGCGTCTTCGCAACAGCCAGAAACACCGACAGCATCACCGACCTCGCCGATCTAGGCATCGAAACCCTCTCGCTCGAAGTCACTGACCCAGAAAGCATCAAGGCGCTGAAAGAGGAGGTTGCATCGCGCACAAGTGGAAAGCTCGATTATCTGGTCAACAATGCTGGGCGCAACTACACTGTTCCTGCTACAGACATTGACTTTGAGCAAGTGCAGTTGACGTACGAGGTCAATGTGTTTGGTGTCATGCGCATGTGTCAGGCGTTTACACCGCTGTTGATCGAGGCCAAGGGTACGATTGTTCAGATCGGTAGTCTGGCAGGTGTCATGCCCTACGTCTTTGGCAGTGTCTACAACTCGACAAAGGCCGCTTTGCACTCCTACAGCAATACACTCAGAGTTGAGCTCGAGCCATTCGACGTCAAGGTCGTCACCGTCGTCACTGGTGGTGTCAAGAGCAGGATCGCGAGAATCGACTGGCAGCTGCCCAGAGACTCTATTTACTTGCCCATTGAGGCTGAGTACTTGAGACGTACAAAGCACTCGCAAGAAGTCGGCATGCCCAACGAGAAATACGCAAAGTCTGTCGTGAGCCAGGTGCTCGGTGGTCGTCACAAGAGACAGTTCTGGGAGGGCTCATTCTCGTATATTGTCTGGTTCTTGAGCACCTTCATGCCGGCCAGAATTTTCGTAAGTGGTTTTGAGTATCAACCCAGAGCTATCGCTAATCATTTGTTGGCANNGGACTACTTGTTCTGGCGCAACTTTGGCATGTGGAAGCTGAGAGAGGCTCACACCAAGAAGCTTGCTTGAACCATATCGGGAGACTGTGCAAACCGACGAACGTGAACTATGTGCAGAGCAAGAAGCCAGAAATGTTTTAATATACCCAAAGAGCTGAATCGAACTCATCACAATCGTTATTGCTTCTCGAAGAACACCATGCCATGCCTGCATGCAGATGTAGACGTGCTTTATGTAAACCCAGCAGCGGTTGTTTTCTGACGATATTCCTCAAAGGTCGTGGCGTGTCCTCCTCGACTGTTCGCTCTTGCTCTGCGCTCAAAGTCGCTCTCCATAGGTTCTTCGCCGCGTTTGCGGTCTTCCCATTCTTCCTCCTCTCTCACAATCAGGGCGTTGAATCTCGTCTTGCCATCTCGAGTGAAGTATAGTGCTGGGGAGTTTCTCTTTGCTACATCCTCGGTCACGGCGATGTGCTTGATGTCCGAGCCAGGCGCTTCGAACATGCTCTCCCCGAGCAGTCTTTCCAACACTGTACGCAGTCCTCTGGCACCGGTTCCCATAGTGAAGGCAGTTTCTGCGATAGCGTGAAGGGCGGCAGTCGTAATCCTCAGCTCTATGGAAGAGAGTCGGAAGAGCTGTTCGTATTGCTTTAGAAGCGAATTTCGTGGCTCGGTCAAAACCTTGACCAAGGCATCCACGTCCAGCGCGGACAGCGCACAAGAGATTGGTATACGGCCGACTAGCTCAGGGATCATGCCGTATTTTTGCAGATCTTGCGGCTCAACGAGATCCAAAATATTGTATGTGGCCTTCTTGCTTTTCGAAGAGGGGTTGTACGAGTCCTCCTCGGACGCTGGTGGCATGTAATAAGGGAGATGTTTGCGGACCATTTCATCGTCATCGGTAATGGTGGTCTCCTGAGCTCCGCCATCTTGAGCAGTACTTGCACGCACGTTGGCGCCAAATCCGAGGCCTCCTTTTGCTACACGATCGAGAATAGTTTTGTGCAAGCCGCTGAATGCGCCGGTGCATATGAACAGGATATTGCTTGTGTTCACATTGAAGACCTCGCTCTTTCCCGGTGCCTGGCCCATGCCTCCACCCACACCACCACTGCTCAGTGGACTATTCGTGGGTGAACCATTCGGGTACTGATTGTTGTTGCGATTCGAGTTGTTCCCTCTTTCTTGTTTGGCCTGTATCTGTAAGGTGGTGCCTTCGATGATCTTGAGCAGAGCTTGTTGCACTCCTTCTCCGCCAACGTCTTTTCCATGCGACACCTTGGCTGTGGCGATCTTGTCGATCTCGTCGAGACAAATGATGCCGTGTTCGGCCTTTTCTACATCGTAGTTTGCGGCAGCCAGCAGGCGTTGTACACATACATCTGCATCCTCACCAATGTAGCCCGCTTGTGTGAAAGGGGTACAGTCAGACATGCTGAACGGTACGTCAAGCACGCGAGCCAGTGTCTTTGCCATGAGTGTCTTTCCAACTCCTGATGGACCAAGCAGCATAATGTTGGACTTCTCGATGGTCAAGGGAGACGAGTCGTCGAGCGGTGAGTACGACGGAGGCGGAGACGGCGGGACCCAAGCGTGTATCGTGGCATGATGGCCTGGAAACTCATCNNTGTACGCGGCAATTAGTCGGTGATGATAGCGAGGGGTAGAGTAGAGTCAACCTTCTACAGGATGCCTCGACCTCCTGGCCTGGCGCTCGAGCATCTCTTGTGCCTCCTCATGTTGCCGTTGAATCTCTTGGATCCTCTGATAATGGTTATAGATCGTTGAGCTGAGCACCTTCTTCGCTCTTTCCTGTCCGACTACAAACTGGTCCAGGTGCTTCTTGAGGGCTCGTGGAGTAATCTTTGGGGCGCCAATGTTAGAGGCTTTCCGCAGAGGACCTTCGGTGTCGCCTGGCTCATAGTAGCCGGTGAAGCCTTGGCCAGAAAAGCTGGACCGGAAATCGGAAGCGCTTGAGAAGGAAACAGCGGTCGAATGCAAGCTTCTTGTACATCGAAATGCTGTCTGCACCTGATAGTGACTGCACCGGCCCGGTACGGCGAGCATGGTGGAATGAGAGGATCAACGAGATACGAGACGAACAGGCCTACCTGAAGAATCGGCGCAACACCCCTACAACGACCGATGATGGCGAGTGGTTGCTTCGGAATGTTGATGACTCGGGCATGCATCCAGCCCCGCATGGAGATAACGGATAAGCTCGAGAAAGAGATGTGGCTTGGGCCAAGTGTTTTGATAGGCCGGTCGGATGTGTGTCCGACCAAACGCCAGAGCTACCTAAGTAACTGACGTGTCCCTGTCAACGACATGTTGCGCAGACGTTTGTCTCAACAGCTCAGCGAGGTTGGAAGAACGTCTGCTGGGGCAGGCGGCGGTGTTGGAGCGCCAAAAGGATGCGGTGGTGCATCTCGACCCCAGCGAGTTCGCGTTGGACAGGAAAAGTCAAATGTTGAGCAGGCGCTCAGCGCAGTCGGGCCGAAAGAGGCTAGTTCATGCGGGATAGCATCATAATCCTGGAGGGGAGCTGGAGAACTGGTGAGCTGGGGGTGGAGAAAGATGAGCATCGCTTTCACGTCAAAACCCTGCCTGCGCTCTCTCTTAGCTCTGCTTTCTTCCCTGTATATCTTTCTTGTCTCGACAAGATCTTTCTCAATTCATTGCCTGTCACAGAGGAACCAACCATGGATCCCATCAACCAAACCTCCGACAACTCCATCTCGGGCCACCCAGCCGCCGATGACATTCCCAATGACGGCACTGGTATGTTGCACGCCTCTGTGCGCCGTGCTAGCTACTGACACACAAGCTCTACAGGCGTCGTGAAGCTCGATCCCTGGCTCTCTCCCTTCAAGGACGCACTCAAGAGCAGATACTCCAAGGCCCAGCAGTGGATCAAGACAATTGACGAGACTGAAGGCGGTCTCGAAAAGTTCAGTCGAGTAGGTCGTCCCCTTGCACTCACTCCCAGTCTCTATAGCTGACACAGTCACTAGGGCTATGAGACCCTAGGCTTCAATGTCAAGCCCAATGGCGACATAGTGTACCGCGAATGGGCCCAAAGTGCTCTGAGAGCCTACCTCATTGGCGACTTTAGTGAGACTGCTCGCCTCTCCCAGTGCTTGTTAGTCAAGCTGACCCGCTACTANGACAACTGGAACCGCGACTCGCACGAAATGAAGAAGAACGAATACGGCGTCTTTGAGATCACCCTGCCTCAGCAAAACGGCAAGCCTGCCATCCCTCACGACTCCAAGATCAAGGTCTCCTTCGTCGTCCCCAACGACCACGCCAGACAAGAGCGCATTCCTGCTTGGATCACCAGAGTCACCCAAGACCTCAACGTTTCGCCTGTATACGATGCGCGCTTCTGGAACCCTCCTAAGAACGAGCGTTACACCTTCAAGCACCCCAAACCCCCGAAGCCAAAGAGCGCCCGCATCTACGAAGCCCACGTCGGCATCTCGTCGCCAGACCCCAAGGTCGCTACCTACAAAGAGTTTACACAAAACACACTACCCAGAATCCACCACCTGGGCTACAATGTCATCCAGCTCATGGCTATCATGGAGCACGCATACTACGCCAGTTTCGGCTACCAGATCAACAGCTTCTTCGCTGCAAGCAGTCGCTATGGTCTCNNCCCTGACGAGCTGAAAGAGCTCATCGACACTGCCCACAGCATGGGTATCACTGTTCTGTTGGACGTTGTTCACAGTCACGCTTCGAAGAATGTGCTTGATGGTCTGAACATGTTCGACGGCAGCGATCACCTATACTTCCACGAGGGCGCAAAGGGTAGACACGAGCTCTGGGACAGCAGACTGTTCAACTACGGCCACCATGAGGTTCTGCGCTTCCTGTTGAGTAACCTACGCTTCTGGATGGAGGAGTACAACTTTGACGGCTTCCGCTTCGACGGCGTGACCAGCATGCTCTACCACCACCACGGAATTGGAACTGGTTTCTCTGGAGGTTACCACGAGTACTTCGGTCCCGGAGTCGACGAGGACGGTGTCGTCTACCTCATGCTTGCCAACGAGATGTTGCACCAGCTCTACCCCGACTCCATCACCATCGCCGAAGATGTTTCAGGCATGCCTGCTCTCTGCTTGGCTCTTTCCCTTGGCGGTATCGGCTTCGACTACAGATTGGCCATGGCCGTTCCTGACTTGTACATCAAGTGGCTGAAGGAAAAGGAGGACATTGATTGGGACATGGGTAACCTCGCATTCGTCCTTACAAACAGAAGACACGGCGAGAAGACCATCGCATACGCAGAGTCACACGACCAGGCTCTAGTCGGTGACAAGACTCTCCTGTTCTGGCTTTGCGATGCCGAGATGTACACCAACATGTCTACCATGAGCGAGTTCACTCCCGTCATCGAGCGCGGTATGGCTCTGCACAAGATGATCCGTCTCATTACTCACGGTCTGGGAGGTGAGGGATATCTCAACTTTGAAGGTAACGAGTTTGGTCATCCCGAATGGCTCGACTTCCCTCGCGAGGGTAACGGCAACAGCTTCCACTACGCTCGTCGTCAATTCAACCTCGTTGACGACAAGCTGCTCCGCTACCACTTCCTGAACGACTTTGACAGCAAGATGCAATGGACCGAGGAGAAGTATGGTTGGTTGCACTCTGAGCAAGCCTATATCTCCCTCAAGAACGAGAACGACAAGGTCATTGTCTTCGAGCGTGCTGGTCTTCTCTGGATCTTCAACTTCCACCCCACAAACAGCTACACCGATTACCGTGTTGGTGTCGAGCAGGGAGGAACCTACCGTATCGTCTTGAACTCCGACAGCCCTTCGTTCGGCGGCCTGGGACGTGTTGACGAGAGCACCCGCTTTTTCACCACCGACTTTGCTTGGAACGACAGAAAGAACTTCCTCCAGGTCTACATCCCCACGAGAACAGCCATTGTAAGTTTAAACTACCACTCGGATCCTAAACTATTTGCTAACAATATTGCAGGTTCTTGCTCTCGAGTCCACTTTGTGATTGAAGCGTCAGATCTTGTTTGCTTTTCTATGATATCTAACCCACAGGCATGATGAGATGAGGAAACGACTCGACTTTTATAGATTGTACCTTTAATTTGTTTTCCGAAAATGCACAAAAACGTACATTACCAGTACTCAATGCCAACGACGCTTCGTGACATCTTGCTTTGAAAGAAAATAATGCTCGTGTCCTTTGGGCATAGTCTTGTTCTCGCTTCGCTCGTGGGCCATGCTGCGCCTGGCTCGAAGCAATGTTGAGAAATATCAATGTTTGTAGTCGAGCCACACCTCATCAAAAGCCGCTTTAGCTCATCTGGGAGAGCGCCAGACTGAAGCCAACTTCACGTCCTTCTTGTTCATCAAGAGTATTCTGGAGGCACTGTGTTCGATCCACAGAAGCGGCATTCATCTTTTGTTTTTTGGTCCATGCTGCATGCAACGTGTGCCGTGTTTCTTCTCCACGCCATAATTTCTCGATGATGGCTACATTTTTCTTTCTTTCTCTGGTGGCGGGTATGGGCCGTGCTGTCAGGCTTCGGGATTGGTTGTTGAGGGTGCGACCCTGGTTGCGATATGAGGTCTTGGTTGCGGCGGCGACTTGTCTGGAAAATGTAATACTAAGTGGTCACCTCGCAGAGATCAGATGTGAGAGTACATTGGGTGATTTTTGTTCTATTGCATGCGATTGAGACGACAAAATGTGTAAGTTTTACAAAATCAGCAAACTGGAGTCAGGTGGGTGCGCATTGGACGAGAATATGTGTGTCTTCAGATCACAGAGAAGGTGCCATAGCCGGTTGATAAACACCAAACCTCCATTGAGCGTGCTGAAACATCTCGGACGGCACACAAGAAAAGATGGGCATATGATTGGCACAGGAGAAACATTATTGAAAGAAAAAGGTATATTTTATTATGTGAAACAACCATCAAGGTTGGGTTAGACATGTATGTAGAACAGGCGAGGCAATATGATACAGAAAAAGAAGCACGTACTTACCTTTCCTAATCAAGTTCGATGCAAATAGGTGTGTGTCTTGCAGGGAGAGAAAATTGACCGACCTCACGACGAATACTCGTTTTGTCTCTTGATAGCAAAAAACAGGCGTTCTTGGTAACCAAGACGCGAGGGCGTTGATATTCAGCTTCAGCAATCCAACGATGGTGCATGGCTTTAAGCTCATCGCGGAGGTCATTGTACTGAGCTGCATATGGAGAACTCGTACTGAACAAGATCGGTAGAGTTCGAGTCAGCCATTTGAAAGAACGATGGTACCAGGCGTCGACATGGCTAGGGACGACGAAGTCACTCAAACCTCCTCTGTCCTGTTGCAGACGAAGGAGAGCTGAACGACGACGCTCACAGCGAATGAAAGCCGAGGATCGAATGTACGAGAGAACCTGTGCGAGATTGTCCTCAGTCAGTGACGGGGGGTCGAAGTAAGCGAGGCCATTTGGCATTGGCGAACGCTCATATCCATAACCATGTGGCCACTTGTCCACGTCCCAGCGAATGAGGGACATGTTACTCGACCAATGATTGGAATGATCACGACCAGAGGCGATGCGATCGCGTTTTGCGCTCAAGTTTTCAATTCTTCGGGTGTGGACGGCGCGGACACGCATCAGATGTTGACAACCAGGAGGAAAGAGACACGACCAGGTCATGATAGCGTAGAATTCGGATTCAGAATTGGTAGTTCGACGCGCATGTTTCTGGAGCAGCACATACTCATCAAGAAGCTTGGTCGAAATGGAGGGAAACTCGGCGATCATCTTACCAATAGTGTCATCAAGATATTTGTTCTCGAGCTCCAGGAGCTCGATCTCGTCGGTCAGCCCTGTGATAGCAGCATCGTCGGAGTCAATGTACTTGAACATACTGGCAAGTGTCATAAGCTTATACTCGACGTTGACAAAACTAGCTGCTTCGATAATGAGCTTGAAATCGTCGGAATTCAAAGTGTCGACAAGGGTTTCGCTGTGCTGAGCCCACTCATTGAATTCAGCAATCCAAGTGTCCTCGTCGAGGCGGGATCTTTGAGGAATGGAATGCATTGCTTTTGTTTGCTTTGATGAAGGTCAGTGGTGTCTCTGTTCTGTCAGTATGCGATGCTGTCCCGTTGTCGCAAGGACACTCAGCATGGGTACTCGATTTATACAGAAACTCGAATGGAAACAATGTGATTGTCTCTTTGTATGCTTGCTTTGATATGCGGCAATGGTCGAAACGATTGCGCTCAGTTCTCCCTCACACAAAGAACGATCTCGAATGTCCTTTGTTGAAAAGAACAAAGAGTAGGTTGAGAGAGCAGACTATGGGATTGTTGAGGATCCAATAGAGCTGGAGTCTTTGTGTGTAGGAGATGGCCGTGTTCCTGCTCAGGCACACTGTAGCGCGTCTTGCTCGCACAGGACATTTCCCTAGCTTCTACCAGTATTGTATGCCATATTTTTTTTGTTGCAGAATGTGTTGCTCAAGGTAGAACCTGTCTGCTCAAGGGGACCGAGAGACAGAAGCGTGCAGATATGCAGACATCGTGCAAATATGTGGTTGTGTTGTTGTAGAATTCTTCTACAACAACACAGCACGAAGACGCTGTTCGGGGAGTTCGGCAGTCCGAGAACTCGAAGAGAAGGATGATGTTGGTTGTCATTGAATGTTATAAATGGTCGACGCGTAGCGATGGAAGTCGTAAGTCGCAAACAAAGGAAGGCACGAGTAAAAGTGCCCATCGGAGGCAGGCGCATTGAGAGGTTGATAGACAGAAACACCGGTCTCGCAGCAGCACAGGAAGGAACAAATCGGGTGGGCGTCCCGAATAGGTATAGTTTAGCCTCGATCTGGAGATCTAGGAGGACAGAAGTGCTGGCCACTCTCGAAGCAGAGACGAGCTGGCTGCGTGGAAGGAAGTAGTCACGGCTCCGACTATCAGTATACAAGATAGATAGACATACAACGTAGCTGCAAAAGTGAGTGAAGAAGCTGCTGCATGCTCTGTTCAGTATTGGGCACCCGGGCGGTGAGGATTAATGTTCAGCAGCGCTCCTGCTTCTGGCCAAGTTGCAAAGTCACGGAATCTCGAGCTCGGTCCTTTCCCGTCCGGCAAGAACTTGAGGTGGCTCTTCGAACTTCAACCTCCCAGCAGACCGACCTCCATCTCCATCACCTCTCCACTCCCATCAATTCCTTCCCGAGACCCGTCAAAATGCTCAGCAGGTACGCTCCAAGCTGTCGCCACCAACTTTTGCGACGACATCCCGGCTGACTCGACTGCGCTCCCCAGCGGCATTGCCAGGTCATTGAGGGCTTCTGCCCGTCGCCCTGCTACTCTGCAGCGCGCCTTCCAGCCCATCAAGCCTTCGTTCGCTCCCGCCTTGAGCCAGCGCTTCGCCAGCTCCGCCTCCAACACCGATGGCAGAATCCACCAGGTCATTGGTGCCGTCGTCGACGGTATGAGAAAACCTTTTCCCCACGACGCCGAGCACAAGCGCCACTGCCGCCGCGCCCACTGTCGCCGACCGCACGTCGTAGTCGCCTCTTGAACACCCGTACTGATGCATATCTACNNAGTCAAGTTCGACGGTGAGCAGCTGCCTGCCATTCTCAACGCCGTCACCACCGAGAACGGTGGCCAGAAGCTCGTTCTCGAGGTCGCCGTAAGCTTCGCCGCACTGCCTCCCTACAACATGCATCATCTAACAAGCTCTAGNCAACATTTGGGTGAGAACGTCGTCCGCTGCATTGCCATGGACGGTACCGAGGGTCTCGTCCGTGGCCGCAAGGTCGTCGACACTGGTGCCCCCATCAAGATTCCCGTCGGTCCCGGCTGTCTCGGTCGCATCATGAACGTCACTGGTGACCCCATTGACGAGCGTGGTCCCATCAAGGCCACCAAGCTCGCCCCCATCCACGCCGAAGCCCCCGAGTTCATTGACCAGTCCACCTCTGCCGAGATTCTTGTCACCGGTATCAAGGTTGTCGACCTCCTCGCCCCCTACGCCCGTGGTGGTAAGATTGGTCTTTTCGGTGGTGCCGGTGTCGGCAAGACTGTCTTCATTCAGGAGCTCATTGTGCGTTTCCCCATCTCTATCCCCTACTCTGCAGTTGCTGATACTCGCCACAGNAACAACATCGCCAAGGCTCACGGTGGTTACTCCGTCTTCACTGGTGTCGGTGAGCGTACTCGTGAGGGTAACGATTTGTACCACGAAATGCAGGAGACTGGTGTCATTCAGCTCGACGGCGAGTCCAAGGTCGCTCTCGTCTTCGGTCAGATGAACGAGCCCCCAGGTGCCCGTGCCCGTGTCGCCCTTACTGGTCTTACCGTCGCCGAGTACTTCCGTGACGAGGAGGGTCAGGATGGTGAGTTTGCCTGAATTGTCAATTGATGGTCAAGTGCGCTTTGCTAACCCACTCTTCANGTGCTTCTCTTCATTGACAACATTTTCCGTTTCACCCAGGCCGGTTCCGAGGTGTCTGCCCTTCTTGGTCGTATTCCCTCTGCCGTCGGTTACCAGCCCACCCTCGCCGTCGACATGGGTGGTATGCAAGAGCGTATTACCACCACCCAGAAGGGTTCCATTACCTCGGTCCAGGCTGTCTACGTCCCCGCTGATGATTTGACTGATCCTGCTCCCGCCACCACCTTCGCCCATTTGGACGCCACCACTGTCTTGTCCCGTGGTATTTCCGAGTTGGGTATCTACCCCGCTGTCGACCCTCTGGATTCCAAGTCTCGTATGCTCGACCCCCGTATCGTCGGTCAGGAGCACTACGACACCGCCTCCAAGGTCCAGCAGATGCTCCAGGAGTACAAGTCGCTCCAGGACATCATCGCCATTCTTGGTATGGACGAGTTGTCTGAGGCTGACAAGCTGACCGTCGAGCGTGCCCGTAAGCTCCAGCGTTTCCTGTCGCAACCCTTCACCGTTGCCCAGGTCTTCACTGGTATTGAGGGTAAGCTCGTCGACCTTAAGGACACCATCAAGTCCTTCAAGGCCATCATGGCCGGTGAGGCCGATGACCTCCCCGAGGGTGCTTTCTACATGGTCGGTGATCTCGACTCAGCACGCGCCAAGGGAGAGAAGGTAAGATTTCTTCTACTAGACTCACGCACGCAAAATGCTAATATGAATGACAGATTCTTGCCGAGCTTGAGGGCAAATAGATGTCTCGTAATGGAGAATGATGAGGAGCTTTCTGGGCAATCTGCCATAGCCATACCCGCGACGAATATCAAAAGATTAAAAGCGACATTTGTAAAAAGGGAGGGGTCGTCTTTTGGCGGATTTGAGGTGAATGGAGATTACCAAGAGCTTGTGTACTTTAAGAACTGCGATTTCCTCTGTGTCCACAAATACTCGGCCCTCTCTCAACCCAGCATTAGCGAAAGTCGAATTGTTTCAAACACATATATTCATGTTCCTAGGATGCTTCAATGTGACGTAGAGTAATGATGCTGCAGCCAATATAAGCAATGACGAATGCATCCGATGCTCGAGTAAGCTATGTTTAAGCTCTCCCGGAACAGCAACTTTCTACACATCCACGTTCGGATTATGATATACACACTGTTGGTTTTGGAGTGGTACTTTGATATCTGATCTGCATAAACTGAAGCATTGCATGTATAAGAAAGGAAATATGGGCAAGTCAAGTGCAGAGACACACTCATCTCGTAGGGCTAACTGTCTTTCCAGTGGTTCCGAAGTGCTGTTGTGAAATCAATAAGGAAATGTGCTTGTGGTTGAAAAAATCAAGTTGGGGTGAATGTTTGGGGTATGAATGATGGAAATGCTTAAGGCAGATGTGTGCGTGTTGGCGAGTATGTGAAGATCAGAAATGGAAAAGGAAAAAGGAGATAAAAGGAAATAAAAGGGAATCGAGGGATGGACTTGATGAAAGTCTACCGCGAGTGGAACGGCAATCTTTTGGTTGTGTCAAAAGCTTGGTCACTTTGTTCTTCACTCTTCCTCATCCTTGACCCTGCTGGATCTTTTGGGTCTGGAGGGCTCAGCCTTGACGGACTTCTCTTGCTTGACTCCTTTTGCAGGAGAGATTTCTTCCTCTTTCTTGATGCCTTCGGGGTATGGGTTCAATTCAATCTCGCCGAGACGCTCGACCATGCTCTTCATTTCCTGTTCGGCGTCGGTGAGGTATGTGGCCAGCTTGCCCTTGACTTCGGCAACCGAACCATCGTGGTCAGGTGTGTTGTCGAGCATACAGCCAAACTGATCGAAGATCTGTCTGAAGATCTTATTGCAGTCTTTTGTCAAAGCTTTAGTGGCGACAGTTGCTTGGTGATAGACGTTGTTGGCAGAGGCGCTAGCCATCTTGGTGAAAGGCGATTCCTTGGAGCCTAAGTTGATATACTGTTCGACTTTAGTCATGACGGCGTCTTTGTAACCGGTTCCTAAGACTGTTAGTGTTGAACACATCTCGGGACCAGTGATCGTTTTCTAACCCTTCATCTTTTCGGCCTTCTCATAGATCTCTTGCATTGCCTTAGCGAAGTAGCCTGCAGCATCATCCTTCTCCGCTGTGTACTTCACGTTCCTGTNATGCTGTTAAATCCAATCCTTTAGAAAAAGTCTGTCTTGTCCTTACTGAAACTCTTTGCCGAATTCTTCCTTATATTTGGCAAAGGCGTCGTGGATACCATGCTTCTGGGCATCTAGGAATCTCTGGAACTGCTCTTCAGGGATCTGCATGAGCTCCATTGGCTCTATAATTTTTCCTCGTTAGCTTAGTCAGGTGAAGATGCGGGATTGTCATATACCTTTCACATCTTCCAGAGTGTCGTACAGAGCCTTTGAGATGTCAACCAGAGTAGCTTCGATGGCAGTCTCTTCTTCCAAAACCAATTCATCCCAAGCAGTGCTCATGAAGTTCACTGCAGGTTGCATCATCTTCGCGTTCCAAGAATGACGGCCTACAGACTTGGACTCGTACTTTCCGCCTCGGCGTACGAAAGCCTTGATGGTGCACCAGTGCCAGCCGCGGACTTCCTTGCTCAAGAAGTCGTACGCCTTCCTAGCCATCTCAGGGCTAGCTTCTCTCATGGGTGCAGCTAACAGCGTCGTTGATCTCTCTGCCAATGTTTTGTGGTAAGCCTCCAAGGCCTCTTCGATAANTCTGCAGGACGTCAGCGGAAATAAAATGACGAAGGACCATTTCCACTGTACCTTAACGTATTTCTCGTGAGCGTCCGAGACTTCGCTATCACTGCTTCTTCTGGTAGCGTTTGCCCAAGCCTTGAGTGCCATGACGAAAGCAACAACCTTGTGCCGAATGTGCGTCATGAGAGTTGTCCAAACTTCTTTGGCGACAATTGAAAGTGCATGTGCGCGGAGTCTGGGAATTCCTGTCATCTCAGCACTTAGCTGTGGTACATCCTCGCTGCCACCATCTTTGTAGCCCTTGAGCCACGAATAGTGTCGGTTCGATACAGGGTAAATCAGGCTGGTAGCTTCACCCTGAATGCGGTCGGCCTTTCCGGCCATGATCAAGTCGGAAACTTTGCAGTTTCTGACTTGGACCATCATTTCCAGACGAGCGTGCAGATGTCTCATGTACTTTTTGTGGCAGCTCTCAACAACTTCGCCTCGCTCCTGACGTAAGGCTGGAGTCTTCACTCTGTTAAATCTTTCTCTTGCGACTGAGAGATTTGACTTTGCCCNTTTGGTCTTATCATCAAGCTTCTTGCAACGTTTGGCATCTTCCGGATATTCCTGAGCGAAGCTCTGGAATGTCATAGGGTCATCTGTCTTTGTGCAGACAATCGCAAGATGGCCTTTGAAACGATCGCCAAACTCGTAGAGCAGATTGCCGACAGTAGTGTCCGTCGCACAGCGACCAATGGGCGACACAATCCAGAGATAATCGCTTTTAAGAATGTAATTTTTGCTGGCTTTGACTCGGATGCGATTGATGTCAGAAATTCNCTACGATGGTCATCAGCTCAGCCCATACAGATAAGACAGTGATATGTAGTCACCTGGTAAGTCGGCAAGAATGGCGTACTCTAAGATCCTGGGGCCGCGAACACCGATGCTNNGTGCACATTAAAGTCAGAACTATGCGGCATAGATGCTTATGATATCCACAGCTTACCTGACTTGACGGACAATAGGCCAGAGTGAAGGTCTGTCGCTCCAGGATGCACTGGCTGACAGAAAAGGTCCCACAAGTCTTGCCAGGTCAAATGCCCGGTCTGCTTCTATTAACCCCGACTCCAAGTAGGACGAGTGTCCGGCAACGAGTGCTTTGCACCACTCTTCGAATTGCGCGAGTATGAGTGAAGCATCCTGGGTATCATGTTCATAAGCCGCCTGGATGTATGACTTCATATCTTCGCGTGAAGTGAAATTCAGTTTTCCTCGAAAAAGATCCAGAAATGTGTCTTCGGCGGTCTTGGCCAGATCACTGAATTCTTTGTCCTCTTCGTAGGTCCAGTCGTCATCCTTCTCAAAATGATAGTTGACATACTCCTGAAGGTAGTCCTTCATCAAAGCCGAGCGATCCTTGCTACTAAGAAACTCAACTTTTGCGGCGAACGGCTTCTTTTGTTGAGGAAAGGTCTTCCTGTATTCGGTTATGACACATGTGCAGGATCTTCCAAAGTTGCCCTAAAACCATTGATTAGCAACCATGGACCACAAGACGTGAGAGAATGACAATACCTTTTTGGAAATGTGGGGCGTATCAAGCAGAGCACTGATGAGCGAGCTCTTTCCTGGAAAGATATCAGCTGCATTCGAAACTCCGTCAGAACCAGACCTACCGGCACCTGCATCACCCAAGAGTGCGATGGTTGGGATTTTAGGATTAGGAAACTCTCTGGTTTGCTTTGCTTGCTCCAGCAATCTCTGAAGGCCTTCGCTCTGACCACCAATTTCCGAAAGATACTCAATTGTCTTGTCAAGAATGGTTGTGATTTGAGAACAGATATCATGGACGTTCTCATGGTATGCAGCGCAGGNGGGAAACTTTTCGTCAGCTTCTTGCCNAAGGATGTCGCCCTGCTCGGGCTCATTGTCGGGGTTTCCGGACACGTCTTCGGTGTCTGATGCAACGGAGCTCAGATCGCTGTCGTCGTCGCTGTCGATACCATGCGTCTCCTCAGGCATCGTTTCGTTCTCATGGTCTTCGTTCTTCTCGACCTTGATGCGGGCTAGCTGATCTGACACTTCGCGTTTGCGCTTACCCAGAACCGCATGAGTCACAATGATCTCAGGTGACTCCGACCGTGAGGCCATGATTGATTCTGGTGATGTGTGGAGGATAGTGTGTCGTAGAAAGAAGAAAGATGGGAAGGGAGTAGGTTGGGTAGGAGGTTCAATGGTTAGATGTGAGGTGAAAGGTGAAGTAAGCAGTCGAAGTAGGTCAAGGTAGTGACCGGGAATAGGCGGAGAGTGATTGCGTATAACGCTTTAAGGCAGGTGAAGTGAATGGAGTGGAAGCTCTTTAGTGTTCAAGAGGTCGACTTAACTTATTGGCCAGCAGGTAGAAGTTAGGAAGAGATTGATGGTCAGTGTGGAGCAAACGTATTGAGACCAGCAGGCGGCGTGTTGAATGACAGAAGAGACAGCTTGGTGTCAAACCGAAGCAACTGAAGACAGCCGAGTGAAGTGATGATAGCCTTGGCTGAAGCCGTGTCTCTGACGGGACCCAGGATGTCAAATATGTACAAGGCGTGATATACGATGCATGGATATCAGCGATACCCGAAGTTGTAGTATCTCAAACTTCACCTGTGTAGATCTACGAGTGTTTGTGGTTTTGCTGAAGAGTGGAGGCTGTCCCGAGGGCAGAAGACGCACAAGGGTGCCTCAGGCGCGAAGGAGTTGGAAGAGGCAGTGACGAAGCCAAGACTCGCGGCCCTCGCGATGGCCCTCCTAACGGGAAACCAAACACTTTATTATCCTCGACTCGACCAAACCTAGGAGACGATCCGAACCGATCTGAGGGCTTTCCAGCCGAGTGACTCTGAATTGGCAAACAGTCATGTTTTGCCTACGGACATGGCTCCCAGTGCTCTTCTTCATGTCAGTCTTGCCGATCATGAGCGGCCATCGTGTTGCTGACCAAAACAACAGTTCGAATGTGCCGCCGCTCTACCTAGTTCTCTTCATCTCGGCCATGTACTATCTGAACCGACCATGCGTCTACTGTTCGCTGCTCCTGACTGTCCTCGTCATCTCCGTCTACGACTTCCACAATAATTGGTTCGAGCCGCAGCCCGACCCCTCGTCCTCGACGCATACCGGGAACTCCACAACCACCGCGCTCGGTGACGGCATCGCAGTTGCTTCCTCAGTTATCCAATCGGCAGCGGCATCGGTCGCGCACTCTGTTGCCGACGGCTTCTCGAAAAAGACGGGACTCGATCTTCAACCGCAGATTAGCGTGGCAGAATGGTTGAAAGACATGTTCGGAAAGAAAGAGTGGCGCATACCATGCATCGACGTTGCCGTAAGGCTCTAGAAGATTGAACCACAGCCATCAAACACGGTGGAGGCATGGTGACATGAGAAGCATTTTGGGCGTTGGGTCACACGACAACACAAGACATTTGGGACCAAGGACTATTGCATATTTGGAGTTTCAGTACGGCAGTGCGTTAATGCCTTGTAAAGTAATGGAGGGGGACTTGATTGATGCGACAATTCGCAGCCAGCCAATTCAGCTCTGAGCTGCAGACATTGCGCTCGGGAGTAGGCAGCAAACTTTGAATGTATTCACGGCACAACTGCCTTCTACCGCCAAATGAAGCAGGTTCAGAGTACTTGATATCAATAGTTATGTTTGAAAGCGATTATTGAGGCTGAGCAAAGGCTTGTTGCAACAAGCCAACTCTTCTATATTTCATGGAAGCGGCTGAGAAGCAATCCCCGCTTCCGAGTCGCCAGTCTGCCCTCTTTTTGACACTGTGAAAGACAAGCTGGTTACTTGAAGGATCCCTCACTGGGTGCAGGCTGTCGGCGCAATGCAAAAGTCGTCGCTGCTTCGGCTCAGGGTGCACAATGTGCTGCAGGGCAATCGCGGGGGAGGAGGGGCACTTGGGGCAGTCGCAAACGAGCTCCCGAGCGCCCTCCTTCCTCGTTTGTACTCGTGCAATACCGCACGCCCCTCACGCCCTATCGGAAGGCCTGAACTTACTCCCAAATTAAACTGCTGCGTGCCCTTGCAGCCGGCCTCCATTCCTTTCTCTCTCCGTTCAAACCCTTCGTCTAGACATTGTTCAAGCTCTGCTTCAAGCACCTTGCTGAAAATCATGGCCGACAGAGACGTTCTCCCCGACGTGTATGTCTTCTGACTCAACCACCCTACCAACTACTGACAAGATTGCAATGTAGGNGTCAAGCCATCCAACTATGCCATCTCCCTCTTCGATCTCGAGCTCGGCGGTAGTTGGACCTACCAGGGCAAGGTCGACATTGACGTCGAGGTCAAGCAGGAGACCAAGGAAATCACTCTGAACACCCACCAGCTCAAGGTTCAGAGCGCTCACATCTCGACCGAACAAGCCAAGACCGAGGGCGCCATCAAGGCCTCAAACATCACCTACGATGAGAAGAACCAGAGAGCCACCTTCCACTTCGACCAGCCCGTTCCTCAATCGCACAAGGCTGTTGTTTCGGTCAAGTTCAGCGGTATCATGAACAATGATGTGAGTGTCAAGGTCCAACTCCAACCAGAGCCCTTGTTGACATGTTTGTGCTCTAGNATGGCTGGATTCTACCGCTCCAAGTACAAGCCCACCGTCCCTGCCGCTGCGTCTGTCCCCAGAGACTCCGAATACCACTACATGCTGTCCACTCAGTTCGAGTCTTGCGATGCTCGTAGAGCCTTCCCCTGCTTCGATGAGCCCAATCTCAAGGCAACTTTCGACTTCGAGATTGAGATCCCAGAGGACCAGACCGCTCTTTCCAACATGCCCGAGAAGGAAGTCAAGAAGGGCAACAAGTCCGGCACAAAGGTCGTTTCTTTCGACCGCACCCCTGTCATGAGCACATACCTCCTAGCCTGGGCTTTCGGTGATTTTGAGTACATCGAAGACTTCACCAGACGCAAGTACAACGGCAAGAACCTTCCCGTTAGAGTCTACACTACCAGAGGCCTGAAGGACCAGGGTAAGTTGGCTCTGGAGAGTGCTCACCAGGTCGTCGACTACTTTTCCGAGATCTTCCGTATCGAGTATCCTCTTCCCAAGGTCGACCTTTTGGCCGTTCACGAGTTTGTATGTTATCTGATTCTTGCACAACCACAAACCACGCTGACAAGAAATTCTAGNTCACACGGTGCCATGGAGAACTGGGGTCTGATCACTTACAGGTTTGTTGGCCTCAACGACATCGCACTTGCACATCTGACTGATTCCGTNAGAACCACCGCTGTCCTCTTCGACGAGTCCGCATCGGACCAAAAGTACAAGAACCGCATTGTCTACGTTGTTGCTCACGAACTTGCTCACCAGTGGTTCGGAAACCTCGTCACCATGGATTGGTGGTCAGAGCTGTGGCTGAACGAGGGTTTCGCTACCTGGGTCGGCTGGTTGGCTGTCGACCACCTCCACCCGGACTGGTCAGTCTGGTCGCAATTCGTCACCGAGTCTATGCAAACTGCATTCAACTTGGATTCTCTGAGAACTTCTCACCCCATCGAAGTTCCTGTCAGGAACGCACTTGAAGTCGACCAAATCTTTGATTCCATCAGTTATCTTAAGGGAAGTTCAGTCATCCGTATGTTGGCTTCTCACTTGGGAGTCGAGACTTTCTTGCACGGTGTTGGAGACTACCTTCAGGCCCACAAGTACCAAAACGCTACTACCAGCGATCTGTGGTCTGCTCTCAGCAAGGCCAGTGGAAAGGATGTGAACACTTTCATGGACCCCTGGATCCGTAAGATTGGTTTCCCTGTTGTTACCGTAGCCGAAGAGCCCGGTCAGATCAGCATCAAGCAGTCTCGCTTCCTCAGTGGTGGAGATGTCAAGCCCGAGGAGGACGAGACCACCTGGTGGATTCCTCTTGGTCTCAAGATTGGCTCAAGCTCATCAGAGGCCAAGAGCGGATCTCTNACTACAAAGCAAGATACTATCCGTGAGATTGATGACAGCTTCTACAAGCTCAACTCTGAACAGACTGGCTTTTACCGCACAAACCTGCCTCCCAAGAGACTCACACAGCTCTCGACTCAGCTTGACAAGCTCTCTCCTCAGGACAAGATTGGTTTGATCGGCGATGCTGCAGCTCTTGCCATCTCGGGCGATGCAACCACTGCTGGTGTTCTTTCCTTCCTTGAGGGTTTCACAAAGGAGACCAACTACCTCGTTTGGTCCGAAGTTCTTTCAAGTCTTGGAAACATCAGATCTGTCTTCGCAGATGACGAGCAGGTCTCCGAGGGTCTTCGCCAGTACACTCTGCGTTTAGTCAGCGAGGCTACCGACAAGATTGGCTGGGACTTTGCTCCTCACGACGACTACCTGACTGGTCAGCTGCGTGCTCTTCTGCTCACTTCTGCTGGTCTGGCAGGGCATGAGGGCGTTGTTGCTGAGGCCAAGAAGCGTTTCTCCGCTTTCACCGAGGGCGGCGACAAGAAGGCCATTCACCCCAGTCTGCGCACTGCTACCTTCAAGATTGCCGTCAAGGAAGGTGGAAAGTCTGCCTACGATGCTGTCATGAAGGAGTACCTTAACACAACCTCTGTTGACGGTAAGGAGATCGCTCTGCAGGCTCTCGGTAGAGTCCAATCCACTGAGTTGGCCAAGGAGTATCTCAAGTGGTCTTTCGGTGGTGATGTCGCCACTCAAGATCTGCATACCCCTTCCAGAGCATTGGCTCTCAACTCGAAGACGAAGCTCGAAGTTTGGCACTTCATCAAGGAGAACTGGAGCATGTTGAGAGAGCGTCTCGGCAACAACATGGTCGTCCTCGAGAGATACCTCCGCATGAGTCTGAACAGATTCTCAAGCTTCGAGGTCGAGAAGGACATTGCCGACTTCTTCAAGGACAAGGACAATGCTGGCTACGACCGTGGTCTTGCCGTCGTCAGTGACACAATCAAGGGCAGAGCCAGATATGCACAGCACGATCTCGAGATCATCAGAGAGTGGCTGTCGGCTCATGGCTACATGAAGTAGAATGATGTAGTGAACACTACCAAGATGAGACTACACGATATAAACGACACGTGTAGCTTAATCAATGTATGCAAGTCAAATCAGTCAAATCAGTTTTCCGCTTCATGAGTAAGGTGGTATATAGTTGAAGCAAGGCTCAATAATCATCATCAAAGCATGCCAGAACAAACACAAAGGTAATGAGCACAGCAAATGAAGAAGAATGAATTCTGACTACTAGAGTACAATACTACAAGAAAGGACAATTTTTAGGATACAAAGATTGGAAAAACAGCGGGAAAAAAAGAAAAATTATAAAGCACTTATGCCCCAAATGCGAAATGCTAGTTTGTACAGGCAATGCTTTATTACACCAATGTGACTCTCTTCTTCTTTTTGACCTCAAAGCCAGGAGGTAATATGGTAGAGCGATGTCCATCACAGATGAACATGTGTTGTAAGAGGAGAAGAGCCCGAGTGCTCCCAGATGGGATATTCTGCGGGAACTTTTAAACTCTCTCCGAGTCGGCGGCGTGACCACTGGGGCCAGAGGAAGTGTCTAGGAGGGGATTGTTAGCTCTGTTTGGGGGAAAGTCGGAATAGAAATTTGCACTTACNNAATCGCAAGTGACAAAGCAACGGTCAACCTCTGTCAAGCCCTCGCACGTGTACTGGATAGTCTCTGCAATATCGTGGGTGCTGTGCAGCTTAGCCTGGTCGTTGAGAAGAATGTCGATTTCGACCCAGATGCCGTCGCCGGCGTGGTAACTGGTGATGCTCTTGAAGCCGTCAACAACAGGGGAGAAGCGGTAGCAGAGATACAACAGCTTCTTCTGCAGCTGTTCGTCGGCTGCCTGCCCGGAGAGTCTGGTGACGTTTTCGAAACAGGTGCCTGCCCAGTCGTAGATGATGANAAGGGACAGGACACCGGCACCTGCGGGGTCCAGCCACCACAGGTTCGCTTTGTAGCCGATGAAGGGGAATAGAAGGGAAAGCGTGTTGAAGACGACGTCAGTCTTGCAGTCCTGAGCCAGAGCTTGCACTTGAGTGGTCTTGATGCGAACACAGCCGAGACCGATGATACCCTTGACGATGACAGTGCCGAGCATGGCGCCGATAGCGATAGCTGGCAGTTCTTTGGCCTTGTGGGGTGCATCGGGCATCAGCTTTTGGACCGACTCTTGCAGAATCTGGAGGAAGGAGATGACCATGATGATAGAGAAGACGAGGATACCGAGAGGTTCGAGGCGACGACGTCCGACAGGGAAGCGCTTTCGAAGTGATTTGAGACGCCATTGGACCAATTTGTTGGTGCTCCAGACGATCAGAGTACATAGCAAATCCAGAGCCGAGTCGACCAGCGAGGCGATCAGAGAGAGGGAAGACGAGTAGAAAGCGGCGGCAAGCTTAGCTATCAGGAGCAGGATATTGGCAATAACGTTGATGTTGATGGCCCATTTTGCCTTCTTCTCTGCCTTTTGTCTGTTCTCCTTGACGTCGTCAGGGAGAAACTCCCAAATGGCGCCGCCGGCATCTTGCAGACCTCCATGACGTTCTTGTTGACCATCGCCATCTGCGTCTGGGTTCATGCTGTCTAGAACATCGTCGGCCAATGCCTTGACCAGAGCATCAACTTCGGCCCAATCGTCAAGACGATTGTTCTGATCTTGGTAGAACTTTCTCACTTTCTTGTTCTTGATTTCCTTGAGCTCGTCGTCGGATTTTCTGAAATGCTCGATGTCCACACTCTCGACACCGTCCAGAATCTTCTTCTTGAGCTCTTCTCTTCTGCGGTCGTGCAGGGCGGTGCGGGCGGCGTCCCTGAATCTGAACAAGTTCGGTTTGTTCCTGCCATTCAAGCCGCTCTCGACATCTGCTTGGTCCGGACGACCATTGTGGTCACTCTGGTTTCTCTTGACGCCAAACGAGGCGACGTTTCTAGTGCCGACCATATTCTGCTACAGACAAGTGATTCTTGGCTGTGCAAAACGAAGAGCGAATGTCGAATTGTTTATTTGTCGATCTCGATAATGACGTGGGGGCCAAGGCGGTGGTGAGATGGAATCTGGGGATGATCTGGGGTGGCGTGTCGCTCGCAGTACGATCTTGTACACCTTTCGTCTTGTCAGGGTCGGAGAAGGCTTGGAAAGAGATTGGTGGAGGATATCACTGTGTATATAAACAGAGGTGCTTGCAACTTGTTCGAGCTGGTCAAGGAGTGAGCGAGCTCCACCTACAAGCCAAAACAGGTTCCATCGTATCCCGGTTTGGCGACATGACGTCTCCTGCTAATATTTGAGTCGGCGCTGGCCCGACCACCGCTGCCCTGCTGGGTCATGACGACGACGATGATGCTCCGCGCATTGGATAAACGCTGTTAGATATAGCCTCCGAGGAGTCTGTCCATGCACGTGTAGCTTTGTTGCAGGAAATTCAGAACACAACACCATGACCAGCGTGTATTCAGCAAACAGTGCCGTCAGCTTTGACGAGCTGCTCCGTCACCTCAAATCTCTCCCCGTGCCGCTGCTGCCGCCAGCAAAAGCCCTCGATCCAGCTTTGACCGACAAGATATCATCCTTATATCTACACCCAGCGCTCGAGGCTCTGTTGCATCTTCTCAACCATGACCTGCCTTCCGCCCATTTTCTCGTGCGACACATGCAGTCCGATCCCGCCTTTGAGGCCATGTACCTACATGGAATCCTCCACCGTATAGAAGGAGACTTCAACAATACCAGAGCCTGGTACTACGATGTCTTCAGTTCCGAGCCCTTCGAATTGGTTTGGGGAAAAGCAACCGAAGAGGAAAAGGCCGAAGTTGAAAAGAAAAAGAGTCAAGGTGAAACCAAGATGCCACCTCAGAAATCCGCCAGAGACTTTGTAGACAGCCTAGAAAAGCTGTCCAAAGGCCAAGGAGACAGGGAAGCCCTCGCAAAGGAGAGTCGGAGAGAGTTTGATACTGTTCTCGACTGGTGCATCAAAAAGTTTGGAACTGAGAAGCACACCGACGCCTCGAAGGCTTGGGTGCAACCAAGTCAGGACATCAGCCAGAAGGGCCAAAACATGGTCACTGGCAATGACGGGTTTAGAAAATTCTAAACATGCTTAAGGTAGTCATGACATGAAATAGGCAAGAAAGGCATGTTTCGCATTTCGTCTTCATTCGGCGTCTAGAGAAAGAAAGCTCATAATCCCTTCTTCCCCCTTGGAAAGCGGCAATCTTCCCATGTTCGTAGTGCTAGAGACCCTTTCCCACGATGTATGAACACCAAAAAAGACAAGAAAGCAGGAAGAAGACAAAAAGCATGTTCCCTCCAGCCCGGTACATTCGCAACGTAAACATGACAAGAAGGAGATTAGATGGCGATCAAGAAAAACGCAGGGGTGTGGGAAGAATGAGCGTTCATATGGAGAAGAGTTGTATAAAGCTCCATTCCAGGTGATACGCATGGTGTATGGCGGGATCGTTTACGCCTTTATAACGCCAGAAGGGGGGAGGTCACACGACATCGCCAAAAGGGAGCGTGTGCAGCATTTCCAGGGTATTTTCTTCATTTTTTCATATCGTGTGCTCTCTGGAGTTGTTCATGGGTCGGGTATAGAAGTATGTTGTGCATTTAGCAGCACTGGCCGGACTTTGCGTTACCGTCGGCAGGCTTGGTCAAGGGGACACTGACGGGAGCACCGCTGCCGGGACCGCTCTCCTTGCCCTCGCCTTGATCGAGAGCCTTGCTGGAAACGATGCGGTAGATTTNCTGGAGCACGTGTGAGATGGAATCATGGCACTGAGACGTGGAATGCATACCTGTGAGGATGTTTTGGAAGGCAAGCTCAACGTTGCTGGCATCCAGAGCAGAGGTTTCAATGAATGAGAGGTTGTTCTCGCCTAGAGAAAGAAGAGACGGTCAGTGGTGTGCTGACAAATTGGAGGAGCACAATAAGGACTTACTAGCAAACTGCTTGGCCTCCTCGGTAGGCACGGCGCGCAAGTGTCTCAGATCGGACTTGTTTCCAACCAGCATAATGACAATGTTACTGTCGGCATGGTCTCTCAGCTCTTTGAGCCATCTGGTGACGTTTTCGTATGTCTGGTGCTTGCTGATGTCGTAGACGAGCAGGGCACCAACGGCACCACGGTAGTAGGCGGAGGTGATGGCGCGGTAGCGCTCCTGACCGGCGGTGTCCCAGATCTGAGCCTTGATGGTCTTGTTGTCGACTTGGATGCTGCGCGTAGCGAACTCGACACCGATGGTCGACTTTGAATCAAGGTTGAACTCGTTGCGGGTGAAACGGCTCAAGAGGTTGGATTTACCGACACCAGAATCTCCAATCAGGACGACCTTGAAGAGGAACTGGAGAGGATGTTAATACTGCGGTCGCGACAAGAGCGGCGGGGAGGAGCTTACGTCGTACTCGTCGTTGGCCATGGTGGTAATGTGTGATGGAGTCGGGGGTGGATTAAGGAGGGGCGGATCTCAGCAGGCGTGGCAGCGGAGAAGGCGAGGGCGGAATCGAGGATGGTAGTTGGCAATGAAGCGCACGGCTGGGTGTTGGCGATCAGAAACAACAGACGGTCGAGCACAAGAGGAGAGTGGATGTGGCAGAAAGAGCGAGATCAGCTGTTGTTTGAAACTCCAGGCAGCCCAAGCCCAAGCCCGGCGCAGAGAGACACGCCAACGCCAAACGCCCACTGCTCCTTCCCTTCTCCTTCCCCACCTCCAGCCAATCCGCGCCGCCCATCTCAAAGCCTTGGCAGTATCACACGCGTGCCCATTATTTATTACGGAAGGCGCGACTACCTCTTCAAAACATCAACTTTTCCCGCGATTGTTGTCACTTTCCTAGTTGTGCCGCACCTTCACAGAGTCTCACTCCCCGACGCGTTGTCATGTCCTTTCCACTCAGTCATCATCATGGCCACACCTAAGTCTCGATTAGTCTTCGAAGAAGACAACGACAGTGACTCGGTCAAGACCGATAGCACAGTCGAAAGCGACTTCGAAGCAGAGTACAGCGTCGAAAAAGTCAGTCCTCCGCTGTTTCGTTTTCTCTACCCGTATTGACTTGCATCAGATACTCGCAGAGCGAAAGACAGACCAAGGCAAACCACTGTACTTGGTCAAATGGGAAGGCTACGAACTTCACAGGGCCACCTGGGAGCCACCCGAGCACTTCGTCGATCCTGACTGTCTCGCCAATTGGGAACTCCACAAACGAGACGTCGCCGACGGTCGTGCTAAACTTTTCAAAATTGCCAAATTCGATGCCGCGGTAAGGCTGGATGAAGAGACACGCGAGCGTCGACACGCCAAACGTGCAGAAAAGCGCCGCAAGAGAGAAGCCCGCGGACCTACACCTCGTCGCCGACTCATTCCCAAAAAGGAATTGGCCAAGAAGGGAGCTGCGAGAAAGGCATTAGCCCGCGATGCTACCAGTACCTCGTCTTCTGCCACTGAGAGGTCGCCCAGACAACGAGCCACTCCGCTATTTGAGCCTTCATCTCCTAGTGCATCTGCTAGCCGGAAACGTAATCGGTCGCTGTCCGACCCGCGCTCGCCTTCTCCAGCGCTGTCAGTCAACGATGTCTCAAACTCACAGGATTCCATGTTCAACGAGCCTACAACTACTCTTGTGGAGAGTCCACGCAAGTCTCCGTCGTCACATTCAACAACTGTGCCGAAACGGACTCGTGTGAACGATCCACCCACCGCAAAAGAAACCACGAAACAACGAGCAGGTACGTCCAACAAAGGTATAGATATTGTGTGCCAGCGCGTCCAAGACCTATGTTTCAACTGTCTGGTGCTGGGCGGCTTCTTACAAGTGCAAGTACTGCACAAGGTCTAGTTCAACTAAAGGCCTGTGAATATCAAGTTGTTTCCAACAAATGACTGCCTAATCCTGTGCCACACTCTGCCCGCAAATGGCCAGCCACAGATCCACAAGAGTTCTTATAGTCTGTCGAAGGCTTTGCATCTTATACTAACTGAGCGTTTACTCTAGGCATAGCAGCAACTGTAGACATATCTAGGCCAAAATCGTCGACTACCTCGAGCGTCCAAAAGAAGCCCGAGCCTAGTGGAGCTGCTAGCCAAGTTGCAGCATCCAAAGCCAAACCCCCAAGNCATACACGTAACGAAGCCGTTAGCGGCTCCGCAAAGCCTCAGCAATCTGACCTGGTCAAATCATCCACGGTACCAAATCTATCGACAGGCCCGGGCAATCTCGTCCAGCGTCGAGCCTCCGACGCGACTCCTGCCGCTGTACTGATCGAGCCGAGAGACAATTCTAAGAACGAGGACGCGTCAGCTACAACCACTGGCAAGAGCCATGTGGCAGTGGTCAAGGATCGACCAGACCCAGGACCTTCTACTGCTACCAGAAATGTACAGAAACCTGTCGCTGGACCGTCTCGAAGAGCAGCGGCCGCCATAAAGTTGTTTATTGAACCTAAAGCCACGCCCAGACAGCGTCAACGAGTCAATGAATATACTCCCAAGGACTCGACGGATCCACAATTCGTCAATTTATCCATGAAGAGACGAATGCAGCTATACAGTCACAATGAACCTCCGCCCGACCCGAACGCTCTGAAGTTTGTAGATCCGAACACTGGAAGAATCCTGGATTCTACAGACGGTCATACTCCATCCACATCTAACGCTTTGCGACTAGACACCAACGTGGCCAGAACCTCAGACTTAATGAGCTCGGCGGCTGCGAGATCAGCGCCTGCCTCGGAAAGACGCTCTGTCTCAACCTCTGAATTGCAGCGTGAGCCTCTCCAAGGACGTACTCCAGCACCCCAATTGGCGCAAGAGGCCGAGCCAAGATTTGCATACCCGTCAGCCCGACCAAACGTATCTCGCTTCTCCAGAAAACACATAACATGTCGATTCTGGTTTAGAGGCACGTGTAGAAGCTCTGAAGAAGAGTGCCCCTATGCACATACCTGGACCGGGCAGATGTTTCCTAAGAAGCCTGCTACCTGCGAATATTGGGTGAAACGCCGATGCAAATTCTCTGACGAGGAATGTGAGTACTTTCACGGTTACGACTTTCAACATAATGTCGATGCCGCCAGCCGAGAGGCTCCTGAGGACGTCAACGGCTTCCGGGCAAGACATCGCTCTGATAGCCCCGATCGTTCCGGGTTGCGTCAGGACGAGGTAGAAGGCCGCCGAGACAGAACAAGCTTGCCACATGTCAGACTCCGTCCCGATGAACGAACTCCGATCCAATCACCATCTTTGTCGTCCACTGCATCATTCGAGCCTAGAAATGGCGCAGGAAGAGATGTTCACATGGAAGATGCTGAACTGCCGATTCTGACCGAAGAACCGCCTCTCAATGTGGCTCGCGTTCCTACTGCTGTAACGCGAAACGCAATGAACGACAAGGATACTGCAGATCCTGTCAACGTGCGTCTCGGTATCAGACCTGCTTCCCCACCTACGTATACTATGAATTTGAAACTGGTCTTCGACACTAAAGCAAGCCGATTGAAGTTTCTTGACACTATTGGTGAGAGCTCTTCTCTTGAAAGCTCTGAGATATGTCGCTCCCGTGATTTTGAGGCCTATTGGTACTCGGAGGACAAGGCCTGGGCATCTGGCGGTGTCGCGTTTGCGCCCGTAGACACTGTGGCTACCTACCTCGAGGACTTCCTGGTCCTACACTCTTCTTGCGTTGCTATCAGAACCACCGATTTCATCTTTGTCGTTTATGCTACCAGAAACCCAGATTGGAAATTCATGCCTCATCGAGGTTCCGAGAAACCTGGCCTACGATGGTACCTCCAAGCATCGGTACCTCTCACTTTGGACACAATCATTACCAAGCCAACCAAGAGCTCGTTCATCTCGATGTGTGCCGAACATCTGGATCTCAACCCCGAGATATTGTTTGCCGGAAACAAGGGCAAGCACATCGAAAAGATAGTGTATCTTTTCTTCCCCAAAGGAACACCAGAAACCAAGCTTGTCGAGGTTTTTCTGAACGAAGTCGGCGCAAGATTCGTTCATTCAGACGATTGTGACCTCTGGAATCAGTTCTGTAGCAAGGGATCGTCCGGCAACAGGGTCGTCCTGTTTCACCCTTCGATGAACGACTTCTGGAAAGTGCCAGAATTTTCGAGTGTTCTACTGACGGGGATGAACATCTTTCATATTGGTGTTTCAAAGTCTGTCAAAACTCGCCCCGACTCGTCGGTAAGGTACAACTGCACGCGTCTGTTTCCAAGCGGCACACTCACGCTCATCACCGATGACATTTTCAAGTATCATCCAGCTCAAGCGCTCCAAGTTTTGGACATCTATGAGGGCTACAAGAAAAAGCCCGAAGGTGGACGAAATGACCGTATCTACTGTCGACCTGGAATCTTGGCATGGCTCGCAGAGCTGATTGATGAAGACCGGGAGAAGGGCATTCTTGCCGAAGACTCGCCCAGAATCAAATGTTGGCAGCTAGTCTGTGAGCTGCTAGGCACCTCTGTGGCCGATAACAGTCGCAACCCCTTCCGCTCAGACATGAAGCCTCCCTCTATGCTTCATTCGCCTCCAAAGAGCGAGATGCCTAAATATGGCCCGATGTGGGACAGCAGCGAAGAAGAAGCCACAGAGTTCCTGGTCGGTTGGTTTGCAGGCCATAGTGTCGAGGAGTGCGAGAACTACCGTCGCTTCAATGTTCTCTATGAACAGCACGGCACGCTTTCTACTCAAACGCCTGGCCTGATGCAACCGGACAACCCAAAGGATCCAAAGGAGTGGATGAAGAAGTTTGCACACATTAGAGTTACCACTCCAGCTAGGTACATTGTGCAAGTTGACAATTGGGAGAAGTCAAAGACGAGACCTCGATGATGAGAATGAGAAGTCGAAGGCGAAGGAGAAACATCATTGATCGAGGAGGAGAATGGTAAGATCATAGGATTGATGTAATGCTTGCTGGGCGCAAGAAGAGGAAGGCTTGACAAGCAAACACTTTCGGTTGTTCACGTTATACGATTCTTACGAAAGGATAAAGTTTCCTTAGGTAGAACTATCCTAGGCCGAAAGATGAGGCAAATCTGTCCATATTTCTGTTTTCGTTGGAAGCTGCGTGACTGTGTGAAACATGCCACGCGAGGATCGATGCGGCGAGCGACGTGTCCTCAAAGATGCGATTCGTCTACGCTCATGCCCGTCTCGTGTGTTGAGTTTTGTTCACACGTGTACCCATTGATACTCTCGACACCCAGAGCAGTACGCATCGGATAACTTATGAACCACGGCTCTAGCGTCAATAGCCACTGTGATTTGGTGCCGGTGCATTCTGGCTCTGTGTCATCGTTAAAGAGATGTCGGATATGATGGACTTCGGCACCTGAGTAGAGTGCAAAACCCGACCTGTAGTGTATCCGTGTTGCGATCAGCCAGTGCTCATTGGCAGTCGTTGTCTTCCCAAGCCCGCAGGCGCCGTTGTGGCTCGCTGTATCCAAAAAGTCGTAGGGATATATCATCGTCTATGGTGGGATGGCAACAGAAGCCTCAAGCTCTCTTATGCCCATCATAAACTTCAACATCAAAGGCCTTCTTGACAGCCCACGAATGAGCAAAAGGACTATCCAAAACATCAGCATCAAAACCAACACCAACAGCAAAAGAGAAAAAACTCANCATCAAAGGCCCACCCCTCCAAAACGGCAACACATTATCCATGCCCCTTCTGCGAGAAGCAATCCTCTCCATAATCTCACCCTTCTGAAACATCCTCACCTCTTCTCCTTTAACTTTGCCATCCTTTTCCGCAGCAATCATCCACAACCCCACCGCATCAGCCTGCGCAACGACACCGTCTTCCTTTGCCAATGTCACCAATTCCCCACACCCATACCTTTTACTCTCGTCCAAGTCTTTGCATGCAGAAGGCCCTCCCAGCAATTTGCGACTTGTGCGTACGGTGGGAACGTAGATGGTCAAGGACCAGAACCCGGTGTTGCGGAACACGAGGTGTCGGATTGTGGCTAGGAAGACTGCAACGGGGAAGTTGAGGCCGAGAGAGAGGTCGCCGCGGAGTGAGTCCATGAAGGTTATTGTCGAGGTGTTTGGGCGGGAGGAGCGGGCTGCGAAGAAGGAGAGCAGGCGGTGGAAGGCGCCTTGGGCTGACATGTTTTGGTATTGGCGATGAGGTATAGTTTGGTAGGTGCTCTGTTTGTCTTGATTGGATAGGGAGGTGCGATTGACTGGGTGGTGCTTGGATTGTGTATGGTTCAAAAGATGGATGAAGCTCCGACTGTTTATTTGACATCATCCAGACAAAGTCATGACGACATGGTGCATTTCTTCTTTTGGGTTGTTTCTACAGATATTCCAAGCCATCCGCCCGCAGATGCTCTGTACAAGGGTGATATTACAATTCTATTCTTCCTGCGACTCTCTATACCCACTCCTTGGGCTCCTTGAGGACGCTCAGCATGCGCTCTTCCCTCGAGCCCTTCTCGGGAGCGTGCATGTATTGCCAGCGAGCGGTCAAGGGCAAGCTCATCAGAATACTCTCGACTCTGGAGCCGGGTGTGTTTAGACCGAAGCTGGTGCCGCGGTCGTGCACCAGGTTGAACTCGACGTAGCGACCTCTACGCAGTTGTTGCCAGGCCTTCTCCTTTTCGGTGAAAGGCATGTCCTTTCTCTTCTCGATGATGGGGACGTACGAAGGCAGGAAGGCATTGAGACACGACTGGGCGAAGGAGAAGAGAGCCTCTTGGTCCTTCTCGGTCTCGTCGAGGTCATCGAAGAAGATGCCTCCGACACCGCGCGTCTCTCCGCGGTGCGAAACATAAAAGTACTTGTCGCACCACTCCTTGAAACGTTGATAGTAATTCTTGTCATGGGCGTCACAAGCATCTTTGATTGTGCGGTGGAAATGAATGACATCTTCGTCGAACAAGTACGAAGGGGTAAGATCAGTGCCGCCGCCGAACCACCAAGCATTGGGGGTGCCGTCGGCGTTTGCAGTCTCAAAGTAGCGATAGTTCAAGTGCACGGTCGGAGCCATGGGGTTGCTGGGGTGCAGGACCATGCTCAGACCGGCGGCAAAGAATTCCAAACTCTCGACGTCCGGGTCCAAGGCCTTGTGGTTGACCCTCATCTTGCTGATGGCGGCGCGCGGCAGGGTGCCGTAGACGATGCTGGTGTTGACGCCGCCCTTTTCGAAGACTTGGCCGTCCTGGAGGACGCAGGTGATGCCGCCGCCGCCATTGGGGCGGTCCCACTTGTCGACCTTGAAGCGGGTGCCGTCGACCTTCTCAAGCTCGCGGACGATCTCCTCCTGCTTTGCTTTTATGAATTGTTCCATTCTCAGACGCATGGGGGACGTCTGGGTGACGCCGGATTCGCGCTTACTGAGACTATCGCGCTCTGCAATCGATGGCGGCTCGGTGTGCTCTACGTCTCCGGTTGCNNCTGTGAGGTCGTGTGTCAGTGTCTGAGCAGTCCGAGTACGTCATGATGGAGTCGAGTGTACCATTGAGTAGATCAGGGCACCGACAAAGACGACACCCACGGCGAGGCGCGTCTTTGGTGCAACGACTCTCGAGGGCTGGGGCGAGCCTGGAGGGAGCGGCGGCTTGGTGCCATGGTCGCCAATCGAGCGAACTTGTTGCTTGGTGAATCTGGCGGCACGGGCTTGCCAGTATGGTGCCCGGCTTGCTTGTGCGGTACGGCGGAAGGCCGTCGAGGCGAATGTGCTCATGTTGAAGATGCTGAGGAATTGGTGCTGTGTGGACAAGGAGCAAAGGATGTATCTAGCATTCAAACTCGATAGTGTCATGGATCATGGAGCTTAATGACCACTCTCGCTCGTGCGCTTGGACCATGGCCTGTCAGTCCCTCGGTCACTCCACAAAGAAGGTGACTCCTTGCTCATTCCGACAAGCCCATCAGATGCCGTCGCCTTGTGTGCGAAAACACCCGAATTATCTTAGTCTCGAGGAAGGCATGACCGTTGGTCGAGACACTAAGGGTGTAGTTTCCTGCTCTGCCTATGATTCCTTACGGCACGACACTCTCACTTTGCTTCAATTGGCAATGAGCCTCGTGACAACCTCAACATCGATCATGTGTTCCACTGACAACCGCCGAAGACACAACACCGACTGAATCCTGTATTCATCACTGCATATATCTATGCTCAATACGTCAAGAGTGGTGGGAAAACAACAAAGCGTACAGCCAGGGTCGCACCAGAAACAGTTACTCTTTGTCAAAAAAGTTATGCGAAAGATAAAGTGATATACGCCGGCAATCGCTTGAGCCTTTGTCTGCTTGTGATGCTGATCCAAAGAACATGAACCTAGACTCTTCGTCATCCAGTCCCAAGATCGTCATAAGCGACTTCCCAGGCATGACATGTGCCATTGACGACCAGATACATCTGCTTAGCCAAGGACAAGTACTGCTCTGCAATTTCTCTGCAAGCCTCCTGCTTCGCAAGCAGATACAGCGCATCTACCATTTCCTTGCTCGGGATTCCGTTCTTCCAGTCCATCAAGACTAATGACTGCTGAGATGAAATCTTGTAGCCGCTATCTCGGACGAAACACAGCGCATGCTCGCGTGAGCTATCGTGATCACCCAAACGACTATTCGCAACCATGAGGATCTCTTGCAGTTCTCGAAGGGCGATACGAGGCATTTCCCCTGCCTTGAACAAGTGCTCAGGATAACACTCTTCAAACTTCGTGACAAGCTCTTCTGCTTTCTGGATCCTGCCTCTCAGGAGGGCTGGATCGTGAAAATCCCGTGGTAACCTAAGAGACCTAATCTCATCGAACAATGGTTTCCAGTCAACTTTGCAAGCAATCTCGTTGGCGCAAAGCTTGCAGTCGCACTGAAACTTCCAGATCCTGTTGAGTTCGGCACTTCGTCTCGGTTCGCCAATGCTAGGTGAAAGATAAGATGTTGTGATCTCGGTGCCCTTGGGTATAGGTTTATTCGCCCTTATGATCATCATATCGCCAGTCATACTCCGGCTCGAGTTGTTCAGACAACTGTGGTTCATGTATGATGCGTGTTGGAAGAGGCCAACTGATTCTCGCTCTTCGTTGGTCGAGTGTCTGGTAGTGCCGTAGGGCTCTTGAGCATGTCCGGCTTCGAAGCTATAGACGTTGTGATCGATGATCTGCAAGACCTGATAGACATCTATTGCGAGTTGTCCATCGACAACAGGGGCATCAACGTAGTCTGTATACGATATCCCGCCGTACAGGGTGAGCAGCTCTCGTGCGTAAGCCGGATTCGCAAAGACTTNTTGCACTGTCCGAAGCCATAGTGCAGCAACTCCTTTGCCACAGCCACCATAATAGTTATTGTACTGAATCGAGTATGGGTCGCTTGGAGATGTTGATGGGGGATGCGAGATTGCGAAGGCCTTCTCGCAGAACACAAGTTCACCACACTTGATATCGTCTCGTGTGTACAATCCACGACCATGATCTTTGGACTCTCGAACTTCCATTCTGTTGATGAAAGTGGCATGATCGGCGAAAATCTGCTGGCTCAACATGGCGGTGAAATCATATGCTCCGACGCTCTCTTCTCGCAGTCTCTCTTGGGCGTTCTGGATCTCTCGGAGGCTCTGTGGATCGGCCGAACAGGTGGGAAGGAGACGTTCAAACAAATTCTCGGCCAACACAAAGTTGCGCAATTGATAGGCGGCTTTCCCTGCAAGATACAAAGCTTTGGTGTTCTCTGGCTTCGATGGTTGCTCTGTTGCTGAAATAAGGAGCATCGCGCTTTCCAATGCTAGCTCAAATAGACCAGCATGCATTGCGGCATCCACGCGGCCATAATGGAGACCCTGATGCATTTCAGATACCTGTCCATCATCGTGTAGCATCTCCAGGCCTTTTGTATAGCTGGAAAAGTTNNAGCCAGTTCGGAACAGAAGGCAGTGCACGAAAACGTACCGATATATTGCTTCAGTGTACTCGCCTCTCTTAGAGGCATCATTGCCTTCAGTATGCCACTCCAGACTCGTCTTCGCGAGTGATGCATGAAGATCCTGAAACACTTTTGGATACATGTTATTCTCGGGGTTGAGAATGATAATATTAGAGGGTTGTAGGACTCTGATGACCTTTCTGCCATGATTCATGACATAGAGAGGCTCCTTGATAGCGACCACAGTGCCTTGCTTGAGTATTGCTACTGGGGGCGAAGTGCTGGGAAAGAAGACTTCCAGATGGCTGACGTCGTGAGTGATATCCTCGACTACGTTCATGACGGGATAGAGAGCTCCTAGTTGTAGTGGCTGTTCGATGGCACGAACTAAGAGCACACATCCAGGATTTTGTGAACGCAGAGAACTAAAGCGGATCTGCAAAATGTGTTAGATCTCACTCGAGACGGGCAGGAGGTGTGTAATCACCTTTCTCAACTCGGCCAGTTTTTGAACACAAGGCGGAATCGTTGCATCGCGGCTTCTCGCGTGCCATACTGTATGTTTTTCAGTCGCCTAGACGTCAACACTTCAGCATGTGCAGAATGTTGTGGCTCGGTCAACCTACCATATCCGAGTGTTCTTGTATGATCGCATCTCTCTTCTCTCGGAGGTATTGCTCATTTGGTTTCATTTTTGGCTCGTAAACGATCTTCGTTTACTTTTTTGTGTTGTGCTACATGATATTTTGTTAGACGGAACTTTTATGGTGGGAGAGCAGAAGCCATGCGCAAAATCGCGCGGTCGAATATGTCGGCTCTATTGATTTCGTGTTGCAGAGCTGGAAAGCTGAGTGCACAACCTCGTCTACGAGACAAGTTGTGTGAGGAGCATCTCACTCAAATACTACAACCAGGCTCCGGATGACCGCGCAGCTCATTTGGTCTGCCTGCACGCATTGCGAGTTGGGAATGATTATAGCATACATGAGAATAACCAGTCTATCTTGTATCTGATAAAAGTATGTCGAGTTGTACGATACGAGGTATAATACAGTATATAGGTTGGAAAGAGCGACCGAGAAAGGATGGCAAAGGATCATTCTTCTGGCGGCCCCACTTTCCAAGCAAGCGGTGACCCTGACTCTACTGTTAAGTACCTTGCACGCAATGGAAGACAAGACCATCGTACAGTAAAAAGAAGGTAACAGAGGCACCAATAGAACAGCTAATCCTGAGAGCGACTCTCGTGCCCTTGAAAGGACCACGCCTCTCCATGCTATCAAAGTCGATGGTATTGAAACCCTCTACTACAGAAAGGCATTGCCATTATTGACTATCTAGGAAGCAAGAACGCTAAAATCTTGGGAGATTTGACACCCAACTCTCTACACGGTTCGGTCCCTTTCCTTGAGCAGAACTGCTTTGCACTTCTTCCAACCTGAAATCACCAGCAGGGAAATTTCCATGACCGTCATCTGCATCAAAACCCAAACTTTGCATCCAGAAATCTCGCGAAATGAGTTCAGCTTCGAGTCTGCGGATTATAGTACAAAAGAGTTTGCCGTTTTTTCCTTTGGCAAAGAGGATGTTGTCCTCCTCCGATTGAGATAGATAGAACTTGGGCAGAGATTCCAGAACCTTGAGGATGCTGATTTCTTTCTCGGGAAGGACCGGACGTCCCATCCAGAGGTCTGGCAATGGATCTTCAGGTGTACCAAACCATGAAGGTCACTCGTGCTGAGAGCGAGCCTTTTCTCGTTCCAGTCTTTCTCGGTGTTTTTCTTCACGAACACGTTTTGCTAAGGGATGATCTGGTCGCAGTGGATAGTGGAGATCAAGATTGCTGAAACGTCTCTTGCGGCTGGCGCCAGTCATAGTACCATCAGAGCTTTCAGTCAAGCTTGTCACAATATTGTTGACACGACGACGACGAAGCCAATCATTCCGCATCTTGGGACCAATCTTGGCCTCAACCATGCGACACTTTTCGCAATCGAGGAAGCGGCATCCAAGCCCATACAGCAGCAACTCTTCATCCGATTCGTCCGGATCTGGTCCATCGCAGTGTCCTAGTTGATCGAAACGGCGCATACGTTTTTCGTAACGAGCTCTCTCAGCTCGTTTCATTGTTTCCATGCTCTTTTCGACTCGGCAAAGCTCGCAGGTTTTGATGCCGCCACATTCGTCTGCCACACAATACTTTTCTTCATCATCGGGGTTGCTGTCCTCCTCGTCTTCACAGTTCGAATCAACCGAGCTCTCTTCGGCCACAAGTCGTTTGTGACAGACAGAGCAATCAGAATAATCGTCGCAGCGTCCGCTCTTGCAATATCCATGATCATATCGAGACAGGTTGTCTTCCATATCCTGGGTAGCCTTACGGCAGCTCAAGCAGGTGAAGATCTCACTGCATTTAGTGGAGTTCTTGTTCTCACAATCAGTTTTTAGACCATGAGAAAGGCCTTCCAGAGATTCAGATATGGTCACAGTGTTGCACAAGGAGCAAGTTGACGCAAGACACTTTCCCGCTCCAAGTGTCTTTTTGATGTTGATCCATTCGCGAGCATCCGGTTTTCCATCCTGTAGCTTTCGTAGAAGTCCGCTGAGGTACACGTTATGTACGAGGCTTCTGAGAGCAGCCATAAATCTCCTGAGCTTGGTGCCATCTCCGGACCTTTCTGGATCAAGCGGCCCGCTATCCTCTTCAGGTAGCGATCCCATGGGAACCATTGCACGTTGGATGTGTTTCTCGCACTGCAAGCATTTGAACAGATCACCGCAAGACCCATCAACACAATCTTGTCGTTCTCGTTGTTTGTATGCATCTTCGAGCTCTTGAATCTGTCGACGACAGTTGGAACAGTTGTCGAGATCCTTGCAAGTTCTGTCGTTGCACTTTGAGCCCGANNGCCGCAAAGACGATCGAGGGATTCGAGTAGTGTTCCAGTACCACAAAGAGGACAGGTTGGCTCAGAACACTTTCCGGCTTGCAGCTTGTGGGCCTTCGCCATCATGCGCAAGGGGTCNTTGATGACGAGCATTGAGGTCCTTCTCCAACGATTTAGCGGCAGTTTGCATGTGCTTAGCGTGGACTAGCTTGCGCAGAGAGTCAGCGACCTCTCTAGGGTCGGAGCTTTGCAACATCTCTAGAGCTCCGTGGAGTAGGGGTGGCTGATCTGTAGGCTCTTGCTGGGTCTCTGATTGCATGCGTGGGGCGTCGTCGTCCCGAAGTCGCCTTATCAAGACATCTTTGTTGCCACTGGAAGGAAGTCTTCGAGCCTTGAGCAGAGCCTGAAGTTCAGGCTTCTTCATCTTGGTATACTCGGTCATCGTGGTTTTGTCAAGATTCGTACTGCGAGAACGAACTGCAATGGTCAGGACAACGCCGTAGTAGGCTTCAAAGATGGAGCTCACTAGGAAAGGCTTGTGGCGATCAGGATTGTAGAGCGTGTAGCAAGGATGTGCAGACTTGCCAATATTGTGTAGCACAAAGGAAGCGAGAGGTTCGAGGAGGCATGTCTTATCGCTCAGTAGCGTGCACACGACGCGCTGAAATTGCCCGGGTAACCAACCAATATCGGCGGCGGAACCAAAATCTTTCCCTGAAAGAGCGTAGACGGAAGATCGGCTCGGCAATCATCGAGCTTGGCTTTTGGTGAGTGAAGCTCTATTGACATGACATCTCGGGGACCTGGACATACAATCATTTGTAACATCTCGAAATATGCGAATCGCGTGAGCGTTATGTTGTCGAAAACTGATCATTGGTCGACTAAGATCGCTGTCGGATCTCATAATAGCTGCGAGTAGCCTCCAGTCGGTCTCTGCGTTGTGGTCCTGTCGACTTTCCTGTGCACAATGACCACCAATATGTTGTTCCATGCTCGAAAGAGTAACATCTTTATTGTAGTTGTCTTGCGACATCAGCTTCGGATGGATCGTTGAAAACTCGACGTGGTAGAGGCGTGAGAGGAAACATTGAGGGGTTATGCTCAGAACATGCTGAGCATATGCTGGCTTGAAGTCGAGAGGCTCTTGTTCGACGACGTGATAGATAGAGGACCGCTCTATACTATTTGAGAGTCGCCTCCAGGTCATACTGAAATCCGCATCGTGTCTTCGGTTTGAGATCGCGTCATGATCAATCACGATTAAACATGATTAGACTCGATTGAACTCGGTTTGAAGCAGTTTGTACTCGGCGTAAAGGAAGATCGAGACATGATGTTCTTAGAACGCACCTTGATCTTACAAGGGATTGGGTTAAGCCAAGTCTTCTGGCATGTCTAAGATCGAACGAGGATATACCATGGTATACCATAGTAGAACCATAGTAAAACCATAGTAGGACCATGATAAAACCATGATAAAAGCATGGTAACATCCCAACAATATTCGGAACACAATCCAATGATGTCGTGATTGTCCATCAGAGGAACGATCTATCCATCGACTGAGGACAAACATGTAGTTGGAATATCGTGAACATGTTCGAAAGATGTTGTGAATGAGTTTCAAACAGGGTCAAAACAGGCTGTGAGGTCGTCGGACATCAAAAGTAATGTTTGCGGCTTCGCGCTGTGTGATTGGACATTATTGACGCTAATAATATAGAACGTACATAGATTCGTGCTAAATGCATCATCCTACCACTTTCGCTGGAGAGATGCACAAAGAAAACAGCTTTCGCTAGTACTGCTTGATGGTCGCCATCGATATGACACTCGCTAGACCTCTCATGGTCTGGACAGAGTCTGTATAGTTCTACGGACATATGAATATCTATAACTACGTCGGATAAGGAAACCCGTTGGTGGTGATAACAGCTCCCCCATGATCGGATCCTGACGCTGGCTGCCGATGCAAAACACCGAGAAAAAATGCCAGGGCGTGGAAGATAAGAAAAGGCGTAAGGCGTGTATAAAAGGCGTGGATTGCTAGATAAGAAATTGTATGAAGGATCCAGTTCCTGGTTGGTATTATCGGATACCGGCCCCAGTACCAAGTACCATTGACTCATTGTCCTTTGATTCACGACGCTCCTGTATCGGCGGCGAAAGGCGTTGTCTGGACTATACAAATATCTTCTACAACCCCACAGTCCTCTGACAACATCCCTTTCTATCAACACAAAAATAATATCTCAATTGACGCTTCATTACACACAAATCTTTAGCAGATTCAAGGATAACCACCATCGCAACTCATCACTTTCAATCGACCCTGACACGACGCTTTCGAAAGGCCTCATCCACACATCACAAACATGAGCGCACAAGACATGACACCTCCAGCCTCTGGCACTGCCACGCCTACTGCTAAGTCATTGACCAAGGCTGGCATTGCACACAACCTCGAGTCCAATGCAGAGAAACCACAGCTCGATGCCTCACAGTTGAAGATTTCTCTGACCAGTGCGCCGAGAGATCCTCCTGCTGCTGGCAGTGAGGAGCTCAAGAGAATGCGCACCTGTACCGACCACATGATTACCGCACGCTGGACTCTGGAGGATGGCTGGGAGGCACCCGAGCTCAAGGCCTACGGTCCATTGAGTATCATGCCCACTGCTTCCGTTCTTCACTACGCCACCGAATGTTTCGAGGGATGCAAACTCTACCATGGAGAAGATGGCAAGTTGCGTTTGTTCCGTATCCGTCGCAATTGCGAACGTCTGCGCAGAAGTGCCGCTCGCATCTCTCTTCCCGACTTCCCTGCCGAGCAATTGGAGATCCTCATCAAGAAGCTCTGCGCCACGGATGGTCCCAAGTGGCTGCCCAACAAGGGCGGTTTCCTCTACTTGCGTCCGACTTTCATCGGCACAGATCCCGGTCTGGGTGTCCAGGTCCCCAAGGAGGCTCTTCTCTACGTTATCATTGCCGTTTTCCCCGACTGGTCAGACCCCCGAAACTTGCCTGCTGCCTCAGCCGTCAACCCTGACCTGAGTGAGGCCGTCACCAAGGCCCAAGGTCTCAAGCTTCTTGCTAGCAAGGAAGACTCCATCCGCGCATGGCCCGGCGGTTTCGGTTACGCAAAGCTTGGTGCCAACTACGGCCCCTCGCTCGTCGGACAAGGCGAGGCTCGCGCTCGTGGCTACGATCAAATCCTGTGGCTGTTCGGTAACAACGCTTCCGTCACCGAGGCTGGTGCCAGTAACTTCTTCGTCGTGTGGAAAACCAAGGAAGGCCAGCAGCAGCTGATTACCGCACCTCTCGAAGACAATCTGATCCTCGAGGGTGTCACCCGCGCCAGTGTACTCCAAATCGCACAGGAGCGTCTGTCCGCCGAGAACGCCTCCAAGTACAACGCCGAAAGCCTCGAGGTCGTCGAGCGCAAGTTCACCATGCAAGAAATCTTGGACGCCTACCAGGATGGCCGTCTCGTCGAAGCCTTCGCCGCTGGCACCGCCTTCTTCGTCGCCCCCGTCGGTCTCATCGGCTGGAAGCAACACGAGCTCGAAATCCCCATGGTCGAGGGCAAGACGGGCTTCTACGCCAGACTCGTCCGCAGCTGGCTCTCAGACATCATGTACGGCAAGGAGCAGCACGAGTGGGGCGTCATCGTCGACGAGGCTTAGTCTGCCCAAGACGAAACTGACGAATTGTCACTTCTCGGATCTAAAATGCTCGAGTTTGCGCTGGGCGTGCCCATTGTGGTTGCCATCGAGCTTCGCTTTGGCGTTTACCAGTCTTTTATGGCGTTGTTGCGTTTGGACGATGTGGAGCCGATGCAGGCGGGTGCTATGACTTATCCCTTGATTCTTATGTGTTCTGTTCTTATTGGCGGTTTGCTGATCGATCATCCCCCTCATGTCATCTTTGCCATCCAGAGTCTTGTCATCATTCTCACGAGTCTTTGGAGGTAGTTAGACACAGGTTTACGTACGGAGTCGTTGATGTTGAGGCGGGAAAAAGGGCGTCTTATGAGGAAAGGAACCATGCTTGATAGCAAGGAGGAAATTACTAGTCTGTCTTTGCCAAAAGTACCATTGTAAAGGCTTCATTCGCTATGGATGGGTAGTCACCCACACTCTCTTTATGCATAATTTTCCATAGGCTGGGCCCATGCACCCTCAATCATACTCTCATCGAGCATTTCATCCTCTATGCGTCCCAATTCCATCTTCTCCAGCTCCTTGGCGAAAAAGTCCTGCTCCTCCGTCACCAACTTCTTGTCCACACCCATCTTGTCGGGATAGTTGCGCACATTCCACCAATGTGTAAGACTGCGCAGCGATTGCTCAAGAGGCAGAGCTTCCTCTACAGTCCCGTCTACATCTCCGGGACCAGCACCACCCATGCCGCCACCACCGCCGGAAAGCCAGTCATCGCGTAGTTCGGAAGGTACGCTGAGCCAGACTGCTGTAATGATCTTCATGTTACTTTGACGCCATTTGCGACCGCAGTAGGGCACTTGAGTCTTGAAGAGCTTGAGCGTGTAGTATCTCATCATATCCACGGGCACGCGCANGCACTTCTTCAGCACATTGGATGACTTATAGGACACCAAGAGCAGAGAGCGATGTGCTTTACGGCGAGTGATCTTTTGTAGTACACGTAGGTAATTGATGTAAGTGAAAGTGTTTCGGTAGGAATAGGTCTGGATGGGCGCTGGCGGAGGTGCTTGTGTCGGGTAGCCGAGTTCGTCGACCTCGGGTGGGTGAGTGGTGTAGTCCGGAGGTATTGAGCTCACCGAAACCTCTGAAATTGCTTCGGACTCTCTGCGGAATTTGATGGGTGGAGGCATTGCCTCGTCTTCGGACTCTACTGCTTCGTCAATTGTCACAAAGTCGGGCAGGATCGGATTTCTGGAGTTTGCGCGACAGAAGTTGAAGANAGCTTCTGCGAGTCAGTTGCATGCATACACGATTTCAAGCGGACAAACTTACTCAAGTTCTGGTCTGTCGAGCATAAAGTGACAGGCGCGTCCGATATCCTGCCATTGCCATATCCGCAGTACCGCAATGATGTAACCTGAATCAAGGAGCAGTTGATTTAGATACTCGAAACGAAGGATNNGTCTACAATACCGTCAGCATCACGCGTCAATGCTAAGCATGTTGTTGTACTTACGAGATAATTTGAACCATTTAAGCAAGAGTAGCAAAATTGACGATACAGCTTTACCGGTGATCTCTGTGGACCGTGAAGCATCAACTTGTTCCGCAGATATTGAGATGCCATCAGGAACATGGCCATTTTCAAAGGTCTGAGCTTGTGGATTGGCAGTAGTATCTGCATAGACTCTGGCCATGCCTTTGAGCAGCACAAAGACAACGGACTGCATTTGCGGCAAGACGTCGCGATAGAACTGCGCGACTGCCTCTAGAACTTCGTCATTCTCTGACAAAGGTTCTTGATCATTTTGTTTTTCTGGTTCTTCCGCAGTACCCTCGTGCTCAGATACGCAAAAGCCATTCTCCTGAGGCTCATAAAGATCGAGTTTCTCCACGTCAAAGTCATCGTTGGAGTCTGACCAGCCCCTCTCGAATTTCATGTAGTCGATTCTGGTATCCCAGAGCTGTTTCATTGCTCTAGTGGCCCTCATACGTTTGGAGAACAAGTCAGCAGCTTCGAGAATGGAAGCTGGAACATCACTTCCTCTCCATTTCCTGCCCGCGAGAGCATCTTGCAATTCGGTTGAGCCCTTGCCACCTAGGTCGTTGCTCGATTCGTCCAAAGGTGGGTAGAGGAACGGAAACATTTGGTTGGTCTGATAATTCTGCTTCTTGCCACCTTTGCCTCCCGGCCCAGCTGGAGAAGGCGGAGGTGATGGTGCTGGAGTGGCGATGTGCACTGCTTGATGTAGAATTGAAGCGCCGTGGACACCAGTCCCTGTAGATGCAGTGTTGTCATTGCTGTCGATCTTTGTTTGTCTGTGACGAAGCGGAGGCAAGATGGTGTTATTCTCAGGCTCGAACGCAAACAATGGCGGTGGCGGCTGGTACGCAGGATATTTCGAGGTGATTTCTTGTCGGAAAAGATGGTAGTCCAGTGGGGAGGCAGTGATGAGTGGATGGCCGCGTTCGTCCTTCTCGCCAACACTATCCTGGAATGAATATTTGACCTCGTCGGCTTTTTCAATACCACCGAAAGAGATGAGAATAGTCTTCCATAGTAGCAAGAAAATNNCTAAGAACAACTTAGCGCATAGGTCCCAGAGACAAACATGTTTGAGACGTACCTTGGTCTGAGGCACGGGGGCAAAGTCGTCCCATCTCATTTGGGCAATCATGTTTGTGCAGGTAATTAACAGATCGGGTTTTATTAAAGCTTGTTGGAGTGTAAGCTTCGATGCGACACAGGCGAGGTGGGTGTGACTTACCAANNGTTCTCTGTGCAACACATGGGCATCGGGGGTACCTTCAGAGATGCGGCTCAGCTCGACAAATAGATAGATTAGAGTCAGAGTGCACCAGACATCGATGCTCTCGTCACCCTCGGCATACTTTGAGGAAGCGGATACATGTTCGTTCTGAGCCGAAGCAGTGAGGTCTCTTTCACACACAGACTTCATAAGAGTATAGACGAGTGGTACAGCACCTTGCTGTGCGAGCATGCAAAGGGTGTTGATCATGATTTGGATCTGAAATGTTGCACCAGCATAGTTGGGGAGGCCCGCTGTGACCTGCGGTTGGTTGGAGCCGAGAACAGCGAAGAAGGGATTTGGTGTTTCTCTGCCAGCAGTCTCTTGCCATGTACCCAGAGAGATGTATGTCAAGACTTGGAGAGCCGTGTTCTGCTGGTGGGGAGAGCCGAGTTGCAGGTCGTTTAGCAGATTGGCAACAAAATTCATGCCCAAGTGCGGTGAGGCGGTCCAATCCGGGACAGGATCTTGAGCAGTGTGTGCCTTCCATGCATGATCAAAGGCAGCATTGACCTGGCGTAGCTTGGACCTCTCTTTCTCGCTGTATGTGAACCATTCTTCGAGCTCGACGGGGAAGGACTGCGAGTCGCGGTATTCAAAGTCGTAGACGGTGGACAAGGGTACGGGTTGTTGGAGGTGGGCTTGCAGAACGGGGAAGCCAGCTCGAAGACTCTTCAGTTGGGCGAGTGTCAGAGAATCGGGAGGGTCCTGGCTGGGGTCCAAGTCGGGCACGGCGGGAGGTTGCTGCTTGGGCGGCGGTGCTGACGAGTCGCGTTTCAACAGCGGTCGCCTAGACGTGTCGATGTTGGCGGGTAGGCCTGGGGGTATAACGATAGGACCATTGTCGAGGTGCAGACTCTCAGCCGTGTCTTTTGCTGGTGTGACAATGCTGTCGCTCTCTTCCTCAGGAGCCTTGACCTGCGGGTTTTCGACCTCGTCCATGGTGTGTGGTGATTAGATTGTGCGCGGCGCTGTGGGTCGTGTCGGTCATGAAGTCGTAGCCATGTTTTAGAGAAGTATTGAGGAAGTCGCTGCCAACTGCGCGTGTTTGTTGGTCTCTTTCACATGCATCAATCACATTGAACTGTGGCTGCAACTGTGGCTGTGCGCACCTGAGGCTTCCACGCCGCTGCATCGCTCTTGCCCATGCTTGAAACAAGCCTTCTTTCCTCCTTTAACATCACGGAGCATGTGTCCACTATAAAAATGCACCGTCGTTTTCGAACTTGGAGGATGGCCGGCCAGGGAGAGTTGACGAGGTGTGACTCTTCAATGGACACTGCCCTTCTTCCTACCAATATCGTGCATTTTCATAGCTACACGCGTTACGTGCTTTTGCACGGGAGGATTGAAACAAGCCCTGTCTCCTCCTCCGCTTTCCCACAGCCTACTCACAGTACTCCTGTCCGACAACATGGCCATGTCGTGCGATTTCCTTTGTCGTTTCGCCTCGACCGCAACATGCCACTGTGATGCCATTCAACCGATCCACCAGATCCCTGACCTGCGCCTTGACATGCAGACATCGCCTCCAGCCTCGACCGCATCGTCCTTGCTCGTTTAATGAACTTGAAACAGAGACCCGCCGCCTGTGCAAACTCCTCTGCATTAGACCCATGTACCCAAAGCCGCGTACTTTACGCCATGAGTGTCTATGACATTCATCTAGGTATAAAATATCCTGTAAGGTCTGTCATTGAAGCCTTCCCTCTCTCTCATCACACTACATTCTCGATATTTTCAAGTCTCTCATTTCTCCCATTCAACACAAGACAGCAGGTCCTGTCAGTTCATTTCAAGATGCTTTTCTCCATCTCTACCCTTGCCGCCGTCTCGGCATTTGCTTCTGCTGCTCTCGGTGCTGCTTTGCCCGTATCAGCCAACCCAAACACTGTCGCCAAGCGCGCTCTGTCTGGACAGGCTACCTTCTACGGTGGTAACACCTCGGGTGGACAGTGCTCGTTCACCCAGTACACTCTTCCATCTGGAGTCTACGGAACTGCTCTCTCCGACTCCAACTGGAGCAATGCCGCCAACTGTGGTGCTTGCGTCTCGGTCAAAGGACCCAATGGCAAGACCATCACTGCCATGATTACCGACCAATGCCCTGGATGCGGTACCAACCACCTCGATCTCTACGAGGATGCCTTCCCCAACCTGGCTCCCAAATCTGCCGGCATCATTGACGTGACCTGGGACTATGTCGTCTGTCCCATCACCACCCCTCTCTCCATCCACATGAAGTCGGGCGTCTCCCAGTACTGGTTTTCTGCACAAGTCGTTAATGCCAAGCGCCGTACTACCAAGCTCGAGGTCAGCACCGACTCTGGAAAGACCTGGAAGGCTGCAGCCAGAACCACCTACAACTTCTTCGAGATCTCCAGCGGATCTGGTGCTACCTCGGCCTGGATCAGAGTCACCAGCGAGACTGGTTCGACTGTTACTGTCAAGAACGTCTCCCAGACTGGTGATGTCAGAGCAACTGCTACCGCCAATTATGCCTAAGCGATGTATGATTTAGTCGTACTTTAAGTTATAGTAGGAGTAGATCAGACAGTCCAGCGTTGAATTAAACAGCCTCTTCTGAGCACAACTTGATGACTGCTGCTTGTATGAGTAAACTGTGCCTTGGGAATCGTTTCGGTCGGACGTAGGTCAATTTACAACCCATCCCTATGCTCAGCAAATCATGCATATTTCTAAGGTCAAGGAAGTCTGACCAGCAAATGCATACAAAGCAGTCAGTTCTGAGAGGCAATTCAGTACGTGTTGAAGCAGGCAATATAGGCACGTATGAGGAGCCAATGAGGGGAAATGTTGTCGTTATGTAAACAGAACATCCAAGTCTTCCACCTTACGCCCTACGCCCTCTGCATCTTTGATCGAGGGGATGAACTTCAATATTGTGTCGTAACCACTCATGACCAGGTCCGACAAGTCGTGGTGTGCCAATCGTGGAATTGACATCGCGGGGTCGGAAAACTCGTCGGTAAACTGACTACCATCGTTCACCACCTTCCATATTCATACGTTGGGCCATTGCTATATAACAAGCAACCTACCTAGGTACTCAATGTTTGATGGGATATATCGATCCTTGCATTGAACGCTGTCTTCATTGCTACTGAGATTTAATTACCTCAAGGCTTCCTGAACTTGATCTTTCCATCGATTGCCCAACATGCTCACCTTGACACCANNAAAGACCTTCAAAGGCAGATGTGTCAGCGAAGGCCACGCTTCCGGACTTTTACTATACAGCCAAGTGCCACTCAGTTTCTGGGGCGGTGTCGATCCCACTTCCGGCATTGTTATCGATCAAAATCATCCCCTGGCTGGCAGCTCTCTAGCCGGCAAAATACTCGCAATACCCAGTGGTCGAGGATCTTGCTCTGCAAGTGGTGTTCTCTTGGAACTTCTACTCAATGGCAATGCTCCAGCTGGCTTTGTATTCGAACGCGAGGAACTCATCTTGACTTTGGGAACCATCATTGCTGCGGAGTTCTTCGACAAGTCGGTTCCCATTGTTCAGGTTGGAGCGGATGAGTTTGTGGAGCTTGCGGGACATGCTCTTGTGCAGATTACCAATGGCACACTGGAAGTCAATCCAGCGACTATATCGAATGTCGTGTCGATCGACGAGAAAGCACCTTTATCAGCCATCAACTTTACAGATCTTGATCTTGCTATGCTGAGAGGAGAACACGGTAAAGCCGTGCAAGTCGCCGCCAGAGTCGTGTCCAGAGTGGCAAACATTCAAGGCGCAACAGAACTCATAGATATCACGCAAGCCCATATCGACGGTTGCATATACACAGGACCCGCAACACTACTCTTCGCCCAACGGCTCTGTGACTGGGGTGCCAAAGTACGGATACCAGCAACTTTGAACTCCATCTCTATCGATCGACAAAGATGGCGAGATCAAGGTATCGATGCAGCATTGGGAGATCCCTCAGGGCTATTGGCAGATGCTTATGTTGCACTGGGAGCAAAGCCGACATACACTTGTGCTCCATATCTCTTGGACACGGCACCGAAAGAAGGAGAGCAAATCATGTGGGCAGAGTCGAATGCAGTTGTCTACGCCAATAGTGTTTTGGGTGCTAGATCTATCAAATGTCCTGACTTTTTGGATATCTGTGTTGCATTGACTGGAAGGGCTCCAAATTCTGGTGCTCACATCACTTCGCATCGAAAACCACAAGTGATCATCGATGTAGCGTCAGGTATCGATGGAGACGACTCGCTATTTCCAGTACTTGGCTATCTAGTGGGCGAGATTGCTGCAAACCGTATTCCCCTTGTCACCGGTCTCGAACATATGGTAGTCTGCAGGGACAACCTCAAGGCTTTTGGTGCAGCATTCGCAACAACTTCGAGTGCGCCAATGTTTCACATCGCAGGCATAACCCCCGAAACAATCAGCCCAGCTCTCGAGCAGTGGAAGGTTACCACACCTATCGTCAAGACAAACAAGCTTGATCTTGCAAACGTATGGTCAAGACTGGACAAAGCGACAGAAACGAAAATTGACCTGATCTCTCTCGGTAACCCTCATTTCTCATACGAAGAGCTAGCCATGCTCTGTCGACACTGTGAGGGAAGGACTAGATGTCCTGATGTCGCGGTGATCGTCACCTGCGGTCGTGACACTTACGCACGAGCTTGCAAAGATGGAATCATGTCCAAGCTTGAGGAGTTTGGTGTACAGCCAGTGACGGATACGTGTTGGTGTATGATTGGAGAGCCACTTATCCATCCTTCTGTACGCACAATCATGACCAACTCGGCCAAGTTCGCGCACTATGGAGGTGGGTTGACAAAGAGAGATATGCGCTTTGCGAGTCTCGCAGGCTGTGTTGAAGCGGCTTGTGCTGGTGAGAGCATCGAGGCCTTGCCCGTATGGCTGTCTTGATGATTTGTGGTCCTGCAGAGTTAGGAGGGTCCAGTCCAGCTGCCTAGATCATTTTCCACGCTCTTGACATGGCAGTTGTCTCTTCACACCCTCGGTCCTGTTTTAATATGATGGCGCGGCAATCCAGAGGTAGTTGAGGTCAACTGAATTGACGCGACGGTGCTGTCGATCATTCGAACAGATTGGCTCCAGAATTCGAATGTAGACCAAGACCCCATGAAGCAGAGTTTTTGACTCTCCAGCCTTCGCCCGCCTTACCAACCCATCCACCGACAGCTACTACAACGGCACTTGCATCTTCTTTGGGTACGCGAATGTGAACGTCGTTCTCGTGCAGCTTGAGGATGTCGACAGGGATGGCAGTACCGTGTAGACCTAGAAACTGGGAGAGAGCGGCGCGAAGGTGCAGGTGTGCGGTCAAGGCATCCAGTTGGTAGTTCGGGGTATTCGTAATGAGGGACAGCTGCAGGTATGACCATGGTGGATTGCGAATGGTGAATTGAGTGACGGTTGACGATGTCTTTTCGGATCGCTTGCGCTTGGGTGCAGGGGACGGCTCTGCGTCGACCATGTCGACATTCTGCGAGACTTCTGCCTCTTCGTCGTTGGACATGATGGATGTATGTGCTTGTTGATCGGGCATTGGAAAATGGACGACGGGTTTGCATGTGAAAGATGCGGAAGTTCGCGCCAAGACATCTTGACCCCATAGCAAGTTTCCCGGCATCGTTTCCCGACGGCAAAGTCTGGTGTGCCCCTCGTTCCTTCACAACCAGCAACGCACTGCTCCTTCTCTTTCACATCACGAGACCCTGTGTGTACGTAACAGTAACAGGAAGATGGGGTCGTTGCAGGACGGTGGTGCTCCTACTTCGGGGACTGGTCGGCTGAGCCTTCCTTAGCGGGCAAGGCCTGAGGAGTCGGATCTGATAAGCGCACGCCTATCGCTGGGGTCGCGGCGAAGAATGAGTCGACTGATAGATACCTACCATGGTCAATAGTGGAGTGTTGCAGGGTCCTCTGTTCCTTCCCTACTTCTTCTGTATCATATACTTTCTGCTCCTTCCTCTGTCTGTCTTTTGCACATTGCCGTCAACCATCTGCCCAAGATACGCATACTCACACCATCCCACTCCAACTCCACATCTTTTCCCCGCAATTGGCACAGGCGAATAAACAGAGCAACTCAGTGCACGAAGCAATCAAAACTTGTCTTGTTTGTCACCTGTACAGCTCACAATGGCTTCTGTCCTTCGCAGCACAAGTCGGCTGGCTGTTGCCTCGCTGCGTCGTGTTGCCATTCGTCCCACAACCCTTGCCACCAGTCGAACTCTAGCCACCAAGACAGTATGCTCTATCCGCCAACATCAATGCTGAAGTGCATCCGTCACTAACGCGTTATGCCTCAGNGATCGCAAGCAGGCTACAGCAGCAGCGGCTACCGCATCACTATCAGATGCCTTCGATCAACCCTTCTTCCCCGACGAGCCCCACGGCCCTATGGTCCGAACCGCCATCCCCGGACCCAAGAGCAAGGCAGCTATTAAGCAGTTGGATAAGGTCTTTGACACACGCAGTCTGAACATGATGGGCAATTACCAGGACAGCTTCGGCAACTACATCGCTGATCTCGACGGCAATGTCTTGCTTGACGTCTATGCTCAGATTGCTTCCATTCCCGTTGGTTACTCCAACCCTTCGCTGTTGTTGGCTGCTACCTCCAAGGAGATGGCTTCGGCCATCATCAACAGACCTGCGCTTGGAAACTTCCCTCAGCATGATTGGGCCGACATTCTCGAGACTGGTATCCTGCGTGTTGCTCCCAAGGGCTGCAACCAGGTCTTTACCGGCCAATCGGGAAGTGACGCGAACGAGCTCGCTTTCAAGGCTGCCTTCATGTGGAAGAGAGGACAGGAGCGTGGTGGTCCTGATGTCGACTTCACCGAGGAAGAGATGCAGTCCTCCATGAACAACCAAGCCCCTGGAGCGCCTCAACTCAGCATCATGTCCTTCAAGTCTGGTTTCCATGGCCGTATGTTTGGCTCTCTTTCGACTACTCGCAGCAAACCCATCCACAAGCTCGATATCCCTGCCTTTGACTGGCCTCAAGCGCCGTTCCCCATGCTCAAGTACCCACTTGAGCAATATGCCGAGGAGAACGCCCAAGAAGAGGCTCGTTGTCTTGAAGAGACAGAACGCTTGATCAAGTCCTGGCATCTGCCTCCAGCTGCCATCATCATTGAGCCCGTCCAATCCGAGGGCGGTGATAACCATGCCTCACCAGCTNNTTTCTTCCGTGGCCTCCGTGAGATCACCCGTAGAAACAATATTTTGATGATCGTCGACGAAGTCCAGACTGGTGTTGGTGCGACTGGAAAGTTCTGGGCACACGATCACTGGAACCTCGAAGACCCCCCAGACATGGTCACCTTTAGCAAAAAGGCTCAGACTGCTGGATACTACTTCGGTAACGATGAACTGAGACCCAACAAGCCATACCGCCAATTCAACACCTGGATGGGCGATCCGGCTCGTGCTATCCTCTTCCGCGCCATTATCAACGAGATTGAACGTCTCAACCTGGTCCAGAACACCGCCGAGGTTGGAGACTACCTCTACTCTGGCCTCGAACGTTTAGCACAGAAGTACCCCGAGGAGATTCAAAACCTTCGTGGAAAGGGTCAGGGCACATTCATTGCTTGGGACTCACCACGTCGTGAAGATTTCCTGGCGAAGGCAAAGGGTNNTTCGGTACGTTTTGTTCAACTCCTGAGTATACCAGACAGATTGGAAAAATGCTGACATGAGTAAACAGGTATCAACATCGGAGGCAGTGGTGCTCAAGCTATCAGATTGAGACCCATGCTGATCTTCCAGAAGAAGCACGCAGACATCCTACTCGAGGGTATCGAGAAGGTCTTTCGATCGTAGAAGATGACCAAATCATTTGCAGAGGTGGAAGATGATTTTTTTCTGCTAGGCCCCAGTGCGGTAGGTATCCCAGTGTCCTTAGGCACTTCAAAACTTGTAGCTTGACAAATATCACGATTTACGAAGCAGAGTTAGCTCTGCAGCTCCTTACTCATCCTCTTTGTGTGCTGAAAACTGTCACAGTATTACGACAGAGCCCTTCTCTGGGTACTCTCGGGCGATTCTATAATTGCTCTTGCTCCAATCAAGTTGCAGATGTTCACAAGTAGCTACAAAAATGCACAATACTTTCAAGAAAGGAGTAATGTCCAAGGGACTGCTTTTGCTTTGATCAGTAACGAGCCCACGCATGTCGATATCCCTCTTCAATATCTCTTCTCAGATTGTGTAGGCCTTGCACAGGTTCTCTACTTCTTAGACCTCTTCTCCCCATTCATTTCACTGGCCTTGAGCTGGGGTTGGAAGGGGGATGGCGCTATACATGTTCATGGATGTCCATCGACAAGAAGGACATTTGGTCAGATTCATGTAAGTCTTGAATGCAAAATTAATCATGCCATTTCCAAATGCTAATGCTAATTACTACTTCTCTTCCACCTTCAACTAACCCAACCCTCTTTCCACTGACCATTCAACTTCAGCTCTACCGTCCTCAAAGTTCCATTCTCGATGACGGTGTCCAAGTCACCGATACCGTAACCGTAGAACTGCAAGAAAGTGGTACAGCGCCAGAACTACTGCTGCTCGATAGAGAAGAACTGCTGGAAGACGACGCGCTGGAGCTGCTGGATGACGATAGACTAGAGCTGACGCTGCTAGATGAGGAGGACGAGAAGGATGATGAGGAAGAACTGCTTGCAGACGCCGAGGCAGAAACGGAAGCAATTCCTGCTGAAGACGAAGCTGATGCTGATACCGAAGACGAAACGCTGGAGCTACTAGACGACGATAGGCTAGAGCTTACACTACTAGATGAAGACGACGAAAAAGATGACGAGGAGGAACTGCTTGCAGACGCCGAGGCAGAAATGGAAGCAAGTCTTGCTGATGATGAAACTGAGGACGACGAAACACTTGAGCTACTTGAAGACGAAGCGCTCGAAGACGAGGAACTGGACAGGCTCGAGCTTACACTAGAGCTACTGCTGCTGGATGCCGAACTACTACTTGATGACGATAGGCTCGAGGAAGTAGAAGTAATGGTGAAGTAGTAAGTGTACGATGTGGATCCACCGGTGGTATATGCCCTGCGATACAATGCAGCTATCGCGTTGCCGATGTTGCTGTACGACGCAGAGCTGGGAATCTTGTACCTCAGGTTGCAAGTTTCGTCTTGATATTCGATTGCCTGGCATTGACTATTGGCCGAGCACAGCGTTACACAACTAGCGAGGTCCGCTGCCCCCACGATCTGATCTGGTGTGCCGTCGTAGCCCCGGTCGCAGATTATGAGGTACTGGTCGTTGTAACCGTCTGTGTAAATTACGTTGTTTGCTTGTGGACAAGCGATAGCCGCTGAAAAAGGTGTAGGTGTAACTTGACTAGAGCTGACTGATGAAAGTATGCTGGAGCTACTACTGGAAGCTGAGGAACTACTTGATGATGAAGCGCTCGAGCTGCTGGAAGAAGATTGACTAGACGAGGATGACGAGCTACTAGATGATATCGAGGCCGATGCTGAAGCAACCCCTGCGAAAGACGAAACCGAGGATGATGCTAAAGATGAAGAACTTGAGCTAGATGACGAAGATTGTGAGCTGCTGAGTGAGGATGATACTGAGCTGCTAGAACTGGATGAGCTGGAACTACTGCTTGATACAGAAGCAGTAATTTGTGCGGCTAGGCCACTGGCTGAAGATGATATATATGAGGATACCGAAGACGACGAGCTTGATGAAACTGAGCTTGAACTCGAAGAAGATCGACTGCTTGATATTGACGAGGACGACGAGGAACTGCTGGAAGAAATGCTTGATGAGGTTGCTGAGGCCAAGCTTGCCGACTGAGCGTATGAAGACGATATCGAGGAAGATACCGATGACGATACGCTAGAAGAGCTTGAAGAGGAAAGACTAGAGCTTACTGAAGAGCTGCTTGAACTTGATGACGAACTGCTTCCAGATGAGGCTAGAACCGAGGCCAAATTTGCTGAAGACGAGGCTGACGATGATACTGAAGACGATATGCTTGAGCTACTTGATGATGAAGCTGAAGAACTTGATGAAGATGATGCAGACGAACTAGAAGAAGATGAATAACTGCTGCTGGAAGAAATGGATGCCGTGATCTGACCGGCCAAAGCCGAACCTGTTGAAGAGGCTGATGACGAAACTGACGAACTACTGCTACTAGAAGCAGACGAACTCAGACTAGATGACACTGAAGATGATAAAGACGATGATGATGATGATGATGAGGAAACGCTGCTGGACGATATCGAGGCTGCTGTGACTTGTCCTGCGAACACCGATGCGGAGGACGATACGGACGATGAAAAACTCGAGCTGCTAGATGACGATAGGCTCGATATAGAGGAACTTCCGCTGCTTGAGATGCTGCTTGATATGCTGCTTGATATGTAGCTTGATATAGAGGAACTGCTGCTGCTGGATGATGATGAACTTGATGAAGATGAGCTGCTGCTGCTCGATATGCTGGAAGAGGAGGAACTTGACAAAGATGAGCTGCTGCTGCTCGAGACCGAAGAACTGCTGCTGCTGCTGGTGACGGCGGGGGTCGATGTTGGTGATAAAAATGAAGAAGAAGTCGACGAAGGAGTCGTTGAGACCGTTAGAGTGACTGATGAGCTCGTGCCAGCACTGGTAGCAGTCGCAGCAACCCTCATGGCAGCGACATTGTTCGTAAGGCCATTTGAGAATGCGGCAGTGGTAGCAGACTTCAAGTAGCAATTGCCCGGCCCCGCGCCGCTAGCGGACCCGACATAGACAAAGAGGTTGCAAATTGAGGGCGCAACAGTGGCAGTATATGCGTCGCATGATGAGAAGCAGTCATCAAAATTGTTTGGTGCTTGTACCGTAGCGACTACTGCGCCGTTCGAATCGTTTCCACAGCCTATTAGATATGGTACTCCGCTCAGATCGGTTACGACCTGACTATTTTGTGCTGGACAGGCAAAATTTGGTATGTATGCTGAGAACGGTTAGCCAGCTTATGGAGACAGTTTAGGCCGATTGTACGTACGGACATATCGCTGCATAACGGCAGCAATGCGAGTTGCTACAAGATTGGCTGTGCCTGTGTTTGAGAAAGTGTTAGGGTTTACGGTCTTGATGGCGCAGTTTCCTGTTCCCGCGCCCAAGTTTGCGCCGGCATTCTGTGGAAAGACAAAAAGTCAGCATGATGTGCTTAGAGGCAAGGTGTCTGTATGTCGTGGCTTCGTTGCTCGGACCAGGCTGGTTCATAAAAAATGATGGACATCGTTCTTGTGCTGGGCAACTCCCGTTTGCGTGGAAAGGCACTTGGTAAGATCGGTGCGGTTAGGATGGACGCTGTATGAATACAAGACTCACGTATGTAAAACCTGTACAGTTGACGTAACTATCGCAAGCAGCGAAGCAGCCGGTCCAGTTAGACACCGAAATTTGAGTAACAGCATTGCCGTTCGCACTTGCGCCACAGATATATCTGTATGCTATACCCGAAGGATCCGTGTAGGCATAAGTTTGAGTCCCCGTAGCTGTACAGTTCGCACTAGAAACAGTGGTGACACCATCTGCTCCAACGCTCTGTTGTCCTCTACCCAGACTGGCAAGGCTGAAGGCCAGGAAGGCCGCTCTCAACTTCATCGTTGTCGAGATTCGAATGAAGACCTTGTACGAGAATGTTGAGTGCCAAGAGGAGCAAATGTTATCGGGGTCGTCTCGAATATGAGCAACAGTCAACACCCCTTGCCAAGGCAACATGTGGATACTAGGCAAGGGCGGAATGGTACAACGCCATCTCGAGGAATGCGACATTGCATTGCCGCGACGAATCTGCTGGGTCTGGAAGTCGAATTATAGTGTGAGAACGTTACCAGTATGAACATCGATGGTGTGGACAGACGTTTCTGAACAATGTCACCCGGTAGGATGGGTGAGCCACATCGCATTCTTCACAGCAGGTGGAAGCTAGGTTGCAGGATTAACCACGACAACCGTCGTTCGCGATGCAGGAATCTGGTGTACTCGTGTCAGGAAGCTTCGGAAGCCGGCAATGATGATGTGTCGCGATTGTTTCATAGCGTCGGTATGTTAATTGTTTGAAATACTGCTTCGGGAGTTGAGGAACGGGCTAGCGACGGTTACCGACATGCTTTTGCTCATATTTGCTGGTGTTTTGTCGGAAGGAAGGTGCGATGCGGTGCTTCGAACTTGTCTTGATATTCAAACATATGCTGTCAATACCGCAAACCATCCCGATGGTGGCGGATCAATCTGGGCTAGAGAAAAATGACTGTGGTAAGATGATGCCTACATTGGATTCTCGTTATATACATTGAACTAAGCAGTTCAAAAGACACAAATGTCGCTGTCATAAGTTGTACGTGTCATGATGTGAGAAAGGACTCATGTCGTCTATAGCTTTTGTTTGAGGGGACGCCGGCTTGGAGCATAATTAGTGTGCCCACGAATCCTCGGTCGTATGTCAACACTCACTATCCCAGGAGGTACTTGGCAGCATGGTCAACGTGGTCATCGGCGAAGGTGGCCATGAAGTAGTAGCTGTGGTCGTAGTCGGGCTGCATCCTCAGGTTGACGCCCTTGTCGTTGCCTGACTCTTGAGCAGCTTTGGTCAAGTTTTCGGGCAAGAGCTGGCCTTGCTTGTAAAAGTTGTCGCCAGTGCCNNCTGCAAAGGTGCGTTAGTGTGTTGTCATTGTTTCGGATTGTGAAGCAACACGTACAACATCAATGAGCATATCCAAAGGACCCTTCCACTTCTTGATGAGCTCGGTAGCGTCGTGCTCGGCCCACTTCTCTTTCTGGTCTTCGCCGAAGTAGCCAGAGAAGGCTTTCTTGCCCCAGTCGCAGTTGCTGGGGTTGGCGATGGGAGCGAAGGCCGAGACGGACTTGTACTTGCCGGGGTTCTTGAGGAANNCTGAGGAGGCTCGTATCAGCTTGAGTCAAGAAGGACGGAAGGTGGAGCATACCAAAGTCAAGGCACCGTGACCACCCATGCTGTGGCCAGTAATGCTGACTCTATCCGAATCCAGCTGCTTGAAGGAAGAGAAGAGAGCCTTGGGGAGATCCTCGGTGATGTATGAGTACATGTTGTAGCCCTTGTTGTAGGGCTCCTTGGTGGCATTGACGTAGAAGCCGGCACCTGAGCCAAAGTCGTACGAGTCATCCTCACCAGCGATGTCGAGTCCNNTCCTGTATGAGTGGTCAGATGAGATGTTATCAGGGTACAAGGGTTGTGTAGACGTACTCGGGCTGGTGTCTGGGTAGACAACTGCAATGCCCTTTTGGCTGGCGCGGTGCTGGAAGAAGCCCTTCTCGGAGCAGTTGTCACCGGTGCAGGTCAGACCGGACAGATAGATAAGAACGGGGATCTTTTCGGCCGAGCTCTTGAGAGCTTGAGGAGGCAGGAACAAGTTAAACTTCATTTCGCAGTTTGTGGAAGCGGCCTTGTGGGCAAGCTTCAAGAGCTTACCCCCAAACGAGGCAATGGTAGCAGTGGTTTCGACAGACATGTTTGTGAAGTAGCAGTAGGAAATTGGAAAAGAAAAGAACACAAGGACAGGCAGAGCAGGGAAGAGATGGGTAGATATTAAGGACCCCGCAGTATGACGACTAATCGGGTTATCTGACCCGGGCCACCACGGTATGCACAAACTCTTGGCAGGCGGTGAACGGCGGCAGAATATGGCAATACCCCAGATTTCCGTCGGCGACAATTTCTTGACAAGCGCAAAGCGTGATCAAGGTATAAACACTCAAGACACGCCTTTCACACCCCTCACTCGACTCACATGACTATTCCTTGACCAAAACAGGAGCCATGAGTACTGCCGCTGGTGTCAAGCGCAGGGCTTCGCCTCAAAATGCCACAGAACCCGTAAAAAGAACAAAAATAGATGATGCTGCCGAACTTTCAGACGGTATCAACCATCGACCCGTCCGTTTTAGCCCTCTTCTAACCTATAGTTTCCCAGCAGCCAGCGATCAGGACGATATTGACCAAGACCAGAACGACGCCTTCTCCATCGCATCGCCCGCTCAAACATCTCGCACCTCGACCCAGCCATCAACGCCCACGTCAGTCAAACCCCAGCCCAAGCCTCGCCAGAACAAATACGCCTGCGACTTTGAGGGTTGCACCAAGTCCTACTCGCGTCCTGTCCGTCTTCAAGAGCACAAACGTTCCCACACCAACGACCGTCCTTTTGCTTGTCCCCAACAAGGCTGCGACAAGACCTTCCTGCGCGAGAGCCACCTGAAGCACCACATCAAAGCCAAACACGACGATGTCCGGGACTATGTCTGCGATTGGCCCCACTGTGACAAAGGTTTCCATACAGCCCAGCGCTTGAAACAGCACAAGAAAACACACGAAAACACAAAGTTCGATTTTCTCTGTACCGACTTCCCTCCTTGCAACCAAAACTTTCGCAAGCAGGATACCCTTGACAGACACATTCAACTCGTCCATCTGCACGAAAAGCCCTTTGTCTGCGACCAACTCGACCGATTCACTGGTCTACCATGCGATGCTCGCTTCAAAACATCCACTCACCTTATCGCTCACAAGGACCGCGAGCACAGCGGCAATCGCTTCTGGTGCAAGATATGCTCCCCTGAAATGGCCGACACCGATCCAAGTCTAAACCAAGACGCTTTCGTCACTGCCGTTGGCTTTCCTACATATATTGAGATGCAACAACACGTCAAGACCGTCCATCCACCCACCTGCTCGCAGTGTGGCCATATNTGCGCCTCCAATCGCGACCTCAAGGCACACCTGGAGATTCAACACGGCGATATCGAAGACCGCCGCAACTATGTCTGTGATCATCCTGGCTGTGGTCGTGGTTTTACCAAGAAGGGTAACCTCGTTGTTCATCAGAGAAGCGTCCATGCAAAGCAAAAGCAATTCATCTGCGGGGAGACCGACATTACTGGCTCGAAGCGTGTTCCTGCATGGGATGGTCGTGGTGCTTGCGGTCGTGCTTTTAGTGCAAAGGCGAACCTCGAAGAACACGTTCGCACTCAACATCTGCACCTTCCTGGTTATGTGCGTCCAGGGAAGAGAGCCAAGCAAGAGGAGGATGATTCCTTTGGAGGGTTTCCCCCAGAAGATCACAACACGGTGCTTGCCAGACTCACCGGCATTGGCTACGAACATGGAAGAGACATCACCTGCATCGACGAGACTTGTCCGCATCGCTTTGTCAAACCTTTCGATCTCGAGGTCCATCTTGAGATTGTCCATGGATACACCAAGACTGAAGCCATCGAGGCCAGCGTCGAGCGTGAAGCCCTGTGTGGTGGTCAATTCTGGCTTGGTGGCGTCCAGCCGGATTTTGAAGAGCAACGGTTGGCGCAGCAGTTGGACCTGGCTCTTCATCCTCAGGACGACTTGATTAACCCCTTTTGAGCCGCATCATAGAAGCCTCAAATGTTCGAAGAATCCGACCACTATGGAGGCAATGATGTGCGTATACAAGTACTATGTTTTTATTGGCGCACATATCCTCAAGCGAGGAGCATTCTGTTTTTAAATAGCTCGATACCCAAGAAGTAATTGAAAGAACCATATCATATAATATATGAACAGCCGACCCACCTTGTCTGGGCAGAGAACGATGTTCTGGAGATTTGGCTTCAACAATGAGCGAATTGTCAGAGCCTTCCCTCCTGTGACCTATTAGGACACGAGTGGTGGGCGACTTCCAAGACGTGGCTTTTATTGATTTCTCGAAAGGAAAAGTGATCAACAAAGACCATAAGTACCCCGGATCGACCTGTCATGCATGTGCCAACGATGGTATTGCATAGTCCGAAAGACTATCCGGCGGCTTCTCTCAGCTTCAATCCATCAGCCAAAGCACAAGGGGCAGCATTTGACTTGGAGGCTATTGGTTGGAATTGATACGATATAGACAACGTAGACAGTTCAAGATATATCGCCTCTTTTTCAAGGTACGCCATGCTCTCAACCCTCTTCTTCTTGCCTTGTGAAGTTTTTCAACCATCACATGCTGTTTTTCACACCAGTGGAATGCAGAAATTGGGAAGGTTTGATATGCATTTCGGCCCCTTCCGGGACTACTCGGCAATGGGGAAATAATGTGGCAGCCGGGGGTTCTGGAAGCGACACACAACCTTCCCGTCGATCAAGGCAACGCACGAGCAAGGGTGCTGCAGGAACGCGCAATAAAGCGCAAGCCAAAGAGTAAAGAAATCGCCTATACAGACCTTCGGGAGGATGAGCGTTTAGTGACAGGCAAGCCGTTGGCGGATGCATGCTTCCCCTCCTCAGCCCTCCACGCCAGTTGATTGATGGCTGAATCAAACACGGCTGACGGATGTTCGACGAAGCACCAAAGATACAGAGGATTCGCGAATGTGCTCAAGAGGGAAGCCACGACCGCCATGGCCGTGGCGCTAGTGATGGCTATGCATCGAGGCTATTGGCATGGACCGTCTGTCAAGCTTTTAGATTGTCCATGTCCCAAACTCATATTGACGTCCTGTAGGGCGGCGCCATCATATACAACTCGAGTGTCTCCTCTCAATCGACCACACGCTCGTTTTTGCATTGTACATACTATCGCTCATCGTCTCTTCTATAATTCACGTTCTTTTTATACTGGAAACACGACTAGCCCAGCCGTTGACAGCACCCACCAAACTTGCGACACCGATTGTTACAGAATTCGTCATATTTTGTTCGAATCAATTTGTTTCTTCTCGAAACTGGGAAGAAAACCAAGCAAACCTAATTGCAAGACACAGTTGAATATGCGAAGATATCCTTGAAGGGCTGAAAAGGACATCATCGAACAGACATCATCTTCACGTTGTTCAAATCAGCTTGCAGCTGTCGGGATGAACAGATGGGGTGCTTCACAACCCAAGTGCCGTAACGATCTAACGGTCGGCACTGACTCTGATACCGCTGCATCAACGCCCTCGAACGCCTCTTTCCTGGTCAATCAGAATTCATATTCAAATTCAAGACCGAATGCGCGACGACATCGCGTGAGATACTCACATGGCGTTTCACGGCTGGCATCCACGCTCGTCTGTCTGATCATTCTTTTGTGTTTCTGCAGTTCACGTGTGGATGCTGCTGAGATCTCAAGCGATCTCGCGGAGCCAGTAACTCAAGCCCTAACGAACCCTGAAAGCGTCCTGCTCTTTGACAGAAGCACTCCACCTGGGCCGTTCATGCAGCAGTTACTCAAACGAGCGAAGCGGTCGACATCAACATCTTCTGCCGCCACCTCCATCTCTACCGCCTCTTCAGACGCACTTCCCAGAGCATTCGATACTGGTGTGGGAAACAACTTTACGACTTCTTCTTGTCCTGCTTTCTTCAAGAACTTTCTTTCTACTGACGCTTTTAATGAATGTGTTCCATTATCTCTTCTTTTACAGGTATGCCAGCTCGACTCGACTCTTGAACGAGACAACATGAAGCTAATCCAAATCTGACAACAATAGACATCTACTTCCTTCTTTTCCGTCCAACGTTCGCCAGTCAGACTGGCCCAGACACTTAGTGCGTCATGCAGTGTCAACTTTGACAGCTGTAGCACTTTGATGGCATCGTTGGCTCGACAGATTCAATCGCCAGACAATTGTGCCGCCGACCTACAGAGTCAAAATCCCACAGTCATGCAAGCCTATACTGGCTTTGCAGCTTACCAGGCACTTTATCATGCTGGATGTCTACTGAACAGCAATACGGGCAGCTATTGTAAGTTGACGATCCCAAAAGTGTCTTTTCGAGCGTATACTAATGAAGAATTGCAGGCNTTCTCAGACGCAGTCACGAATGCGACTTCACCTACCGACAGTTATGTCTATTATATGGGTCTGGGCGTCTCTTTGCCCAGCACAACAGCACCCAGTTGCTCAAGCTGCTTACAAGACACCATGTCTGTTTTCGCGAGTGCGGCAACAAATCGCTCTCAACCGATCTCCAAGGTCTATGGCACTGCGGCAGCCATGATTGATTCAACCTGTGGTGCGCTTTTCGTCAATGCCAGTATACCCGCTGTTCCCTCAACCGGATCTGCTAGTGCACTCTTTGCCAGCTGTGGATTAGAAGGACTGGGAGGCATTGCTTTACTTCTATCTCTTGTTACAGTGCTGATTTAGAAAGCACTGTTGGTACTCCATTCGGTTCTTGTTTATATGTTCTCTTGTTAGTTGGATTAGCGAAAAGGTATCGGGAGGTAAAATGGCTTGTATATACCCGGCTGGAAAGGAAGTGACTTTTTGAGATCAAAGGTGTATAATACTTAAGCAAGGGTTGGATTTCATCATGCCTTGAATTTCATTAGAAGTTGGGTCATGAAAGTTGGCGAACCAAAAAAAGAAAAGAAGCAGGTCGAATCCGAGCAAAACGTACAGTAGCAGGGATTCCCACGTGGTCACCCACCGTAGTACTAATCTGCCGTTCAACTGCTTATGTATGGCAGAGCGGACGGGATGCCCAGTTTTCAGCTGACTATGGCCGTACGTGCTAGAAGTGCTGATCTTATAACATATATACACGATACATAAAAAATCAAGCCTTTTTGTGACGACAGTGGTAAGCATACTCCTTGATCGCGATGTTTGTATGTTTGCATTCAAGAGCCAAACTTGGAAAGAGTGCATTTAGTGAGCGTGATACTGAGGACCCTGGACGACTCGGGAGCTGGACCCCGAAGATTCAATTGTGCAGTTGCGGACCTGCATCGAATATTGCTATTACACAAGCACCACCACCACGACAATAGAGAGATGAAGATTTTCTGAATGTTTGTAATTCTGTCATACGTACTGTATGTTTCAACAGACGTTGTTAAGGTATGCTGGCGAGCCTTCGTCTATCGAAATTGAAAAAAATGCTGCAAATTTCTCCATCTTCGATACCACGCAACTCAATGCACATTAATTGAGTCCAAAACACCGAAAAATATCAATGTTTTGATGTCACGGCTTCACCGGTCAATGCTTCCACGTACTCTTTCGCTACGTCTCCGAGAGCAACCATGCAGACGGTCTGCCAGACTCCAAGACCGATACGGGGAGTGACACCACGGTAGAGACCCTTCATACCGTTCTGCGAGTAGATGTACTTGAATGCCTTGCTGACAGTCATGTTCTTGGGACGGTTGGGGTCCTCCTTCTTGCTCTGCATCTCGACACGGACAACCTCAATGGGCTGGTTCCAGGCTGAGAGACCACCACCGAGAGCGGAAGCGAGGATCTTCTCGGGGACACCGAGCTTCTCGCCGTGCTCCTTGCCAGTGGCCTTGCGGATACCAGACTCGGCGACACGAGAGAGACCGAAACGAGAGCCCCAGTTGGTGACTTGACGTACGGCGACGGCGTTGACGCCCTTGTTGATACCGCGGATACCCTCCTGGCGGTAGATGTTCATGAATGTCTCCATGGTGCCTGGAGGCTTGATGCCAGCCGCCGCCACCTTGTGCTTGGTGATCTCAACCGTCTTCATGCAAGTGCAGAAACCCATGGTAGCGTAGGCCTGGGCGAGGCCACCAACCATACCGCCGGCAATACCAGAAACGAAGTTGTTGGCGCCGGCGTTGCGGGCGTAGAACTCGGCCTCGGATGCGACGAAGAGGAGGACGGCGCCCTTGGTGGATGCTTCGATCCAAGCCCAGGGGATGAGACCTTGGTAGACTGTGCCAGAAGACTGTCAGCTACTGTCACTCGGAGCTGTTTGTATGCGGACTTACANGCCAAAGACACCACCACGGCCCCAGATGCGGCTGATGGCTCCTGCCATGCCGTCGGCACGGTTAGCGGCCATGGTTGTCTTTACGACTTCCAGGGGCTGACCCAAGGTGGTCACCTCGAACAGGTTGAGGCCAGCGCCCACTGTAGAAACGGGTCAGCACATTGCGAGCAGAGTAATGCGCAGAGTGTGGAACATACGCAGCAGGTTGCTGAACTTGACAGGCTTCTTCTCGAGCTTGGGAGGAGCGGCAACGCCAACTTGGGCGGCAGCGGGAGTAGTGGTGCTCATGCTTCTAAAGATGGCAGCGGGAGACAAGGCCGGACCGAGGCAGGAGTGTGCTTCTTCGCTACAGTTTTATGGGAGACGACGGCTAAAGGACGAGAAGCAAGACTTGCTGGCGACGGGCGTAATCGGAGCTTTTTGAGGGGTAGAGGAGAGAGAGAAGAAGGGCGTTCAGGGACTGTGTGGGAAACAAGTGTCAATAAGTAAACCTGGGGAGAGCTGCAGCAGTTGAGTAGGCGCGTGCATCCATCCTGACCATCGCGCCAACCACCTGCATCTTTGATAGAAGAACTCACCTAAAGACCTGGGAGCTGCTTCTTGCTGCGTGAGATGTAGAGAGGAGAGATTCAAAAACAGCAGAGCAGTCTTCACGACACGTCTCTCTCCCTATTCTTATTTGCTTCGGACATCAGACCATTCACCACTCACGCTCCGGCTATCTACTGTAATAAGATCATGGTAGTCCGTGACTACCCGCTTCGGACTATTTTACTTCGGCACCTCCTTCACCGCTGCGTGCCGCCAATCCAATTCTTGAGCGCACTATTCATCTCATGCAGCTTCACCTCAATGTCACACTGGTTGACCTCAGCACTTTCGACATCACTCTGCTGTTGTTTGCTTCACAAAGCAAGCTGTCCATAGCTGCAGCTCGGCCAATTCGGCCTTGCTGACCATACCCAACTTATCGGCCTGCTGACTCGTGCCTTTGGAGCTCCTCTTCCCGACACGTTGAGCACGGCGGCACGCCGAGAGCCGACCTCTAAATTTTGTACCACGCAGCCTCGTCTTCAACCATGCAACAATGCGATACCCTGCCTCTTCACAAGCTTCTCATGGCTTACATGTGTCTCACAAACCTTGCCATCGAGTTTCGAATCCTTCTCACACTGCTCAAAATAGTAGATGCCGACCTGATATCCATTCAATTGTCCGAATGCCGAAATGTCCGTGCTATCAATTGTTGAGTACGCCATGCAATAGGCTATCACTTTCGATCAATCATGTCATACAGACACCTGCCATGTACTGCCGTCACCAACACAATGCTCAACATCAAATCATACAGAAATAATCAAGGCATTTTATATGATATCAACCCTAATTGCTCCATCGCAAAAGTCATAGTAGAATACATGATAGACAAAAGTCTAGCTCCGATGTTTCGATCGGTTATAAATTTAAAGCTTAGCACCAACAAGCTTGGCCCAGGCTTCGGTAGAGAAGGACTTGGGGCGCTCGATGGGGGCACCGACGGCACGGTCGATGATGAGCTGGGGAAGGACACCAAGAGCACGCGAGACACCGAAGAGGACGGTGTAGAAGTTCTGCTCGGTGAGACCGTAGTATTGGAGAAGGACACCAGAGTNGCTAAGAAGGGTCATGTCAGCTGAATGTGCTTGCAACTCCACATCTAGTGGGAAACTTACGGCGTCAACGTTGGGGTAGGGGTTCTTGGTCTTGCCGTGCTCGGTGAGAACGCCAGGGGCGATCTTGTAAACCTGCGAGACAAGCTTGAACATGGGGTCCTCGGGGAGCTTGCGCTGGGCGAACTCGCGCTGGGAGACGTAACGGGGGTCAGTCTTTCTCAGGACGGCGTGGCCGTAACCGGGAACAACACGGCCCTGCTTAAGAGTGGACCAGAGGTAGTTCTTGATGGACTCGTCGCTGAGGTCGTTGCCAACCTCGGCCTTCATCTCGGTAAGCCACTTGAGAACCTCCTGGTTGGCGAGACCGTGAAGGGGACCGGCAAGACCGTTGAGACCAGCGGCGAGCGAGAGGAAAGGAGAGGAGAGGGCGGAGCCGACCAAGTGGGTGGTGTGGGCGGAAACGTTGCCACCCTCGTGGTCGGTGTGGATGGTGAGGTAAAGTCTCATCAGCTCAACAAAGTCCTGGTTCTCGGCGAAACCGAGCTGGTTGGCCAAGTTCCATGAGTAATCCTTGTCCTTCTGGGTGGCAGGGACCTTGCCGTCCTTGAAGACGTTGCGGTAGATGCGCGAGGCAATGTTGGGGAGCTTGGCAATGAGGTCCATGGAGTCCTCGAAGGTGTGCTCCCAGTACTCGGCCTTCTTCATACCCTTGGCGTAGGCCTTAGCGAAGGCAGACTCGTGCTCAAGAGCAGTGACGGCCAGAGAGAACTGAGCCATGGGGTGGAGGGTGTTGGGGCAGCGGTCGATGAGCTCCTCAACGAACTTAGGGAGGTCGGAGCGGGCAGCCCACTCGGCGGAGAGGTCGCGAACCTGCTGCTCGGAGGGAACCTCGCCAGTCAGGAGGAGCCAGAAGAGACCCTCGGGAAGGGGCTCNNCCTGACCACCGGGGGCCTTGGGGAGAAGCTCCTGGCACTCGGGGATNNCTGGTTTATCTTAGCTGCGGTTCATTGATATACCAATTGAGGTCCTTACGGTCTTGCCACGGAAACGGATACCCTCCTCAGAGTCGAGGACGGAACCNNCTGTGTATATTGTTAGCAACCAGAACGATTTTTTCTCGAGCGCATGGACGTGTCGTACCTCCCAGACAAGGGACTTGATGCCGCGGGCACCACCGTAGACCTGGTCGAGGGTAACCTCACCAATGACGGTGTTACCGTGCTCNNCCTATAGCATATCGCGTTAGCCACTGACGTAAAAAGTTGTTGGGGATGGCGTGGATGTCGAGACATACTTGCGGAGCTTCTTGATCTTCTCAATCTCGCCAGGGATCTTGGCAGCGAAGGTCTCCTTGAGCGANNCTAGGTCGGACAGTCAGTACGGCGGACTGGATGCTGCGGCCATGTAGTTGGAGTGGACTCGGCGTACAGTGCTCTTGGACGAGTAGGCGCGGAGAGCAGCCTGTCTCATGGTGGAGGGAGCGGCCATGGAGGCGCGCAGGGCGGAGGTACCGACTCTCATGGAGGCCATTATGACGGATGTAGATTGATAAGGGAGAGATGATAGAGAGACGGAGAGAAAAGTGGAAGGATGGAAGACGAGCTCCCGAGCTGCACCGCGCCTGCCAAGCCCAACGTGCGGCCTGCCCGTCCTGCTGTAATTGCAGCTTGTGCAGCCACCCAGACTGCACCTCCGGCCCAGGTTGGGGCATTTCTCGGGGCACACCAAACGCGAGACGAGGGGTTGAGACGGAGCCGTTCATCTATTCTCTGCTTGTCTGAGGCTGTTCTGGCGTCCTGTACTGTTCTACATCTTTCTGTTCATGCCAGTGAATCCCCCCTTAGCAGCTCGACACATTGATCAATTCTGACCAAGTGTTTTGACCTCGGCTCTGCTCTGTCTGATCCGTCTGTCCAGTCCATCAATTCTCCGTTGTTTCTGCGAACCACCTTTCGAATCGTATCGATCCGAGTCCGACGGTGCACAGGCCCACGCTCAGATCGGGAAGTCGCCCTCCACTTCGGCCCGTGGAAAGTGCGACGCTGCCGAATCTTTTCCTTTCGTCGTCTTCTTGCTTTCACTGAGAAGAGTTGACATCTATCACTCCGACACCTTCACCACCGTAACCATCAACATCCGACGCGTTTCCACCATCTCGCTTCACTATCATTGCTGTCGCTGCGGCTTCTACTGTGCTCTTGTGACCGGTCGCTCTGTCTGCGTAAAAGAGCTGACCCGATAGCTGTAGACACGTCAACGTCAAGAACTTTTGTCTCTCAGTTGAATAACACTCGCTCATCAGCGTGATACCACTTTCACTTGGAAGACATAGGCGAAAGAAGAAGGCTCTGATTGTAGCACTCACGCCTGAGATCACTTCTACCACGACTACTGCATTTGCTTTCTATTCTCTGTCGCCGCAGTCATCTGTCATCAGTCTCTGGTAGCTTTCAGTAGTCGTCGCTCCTGTTCACGCGTAGCGCATCTTCGGACCCTACTTCCTTCAATTGGAAAACAGGTACTGTATTAGCACAGTAGACATGGCAAACATGGAGCAGTTAGACGCATTGCTGCAGTCTTTGCAGGCCCTCAAGCCTCCAGGTGCAACCAAAGGAAAAATCACTGCCATTACCAAACTCTGCGGAGACGATGTTCAGGTAAATTTCTCAAGTATGCGGTTTCGTCAGATCACCAACTCACATTTCNNGCAGTCTGAATCAGCAATCACGCAAAGGCTCTATAGACATCTCAAGAGAACCCCCGGAACTCACAAGCTCGGAGTTCTTTATGTTGTAGACTCGGTGACCCGTCAATGGATTGAAAAGGCTCGTCAATCATCGCAGGAACTGTCTGGAAGTGCAGCACCTGAGGGCACCTTTGCTTCGGGAGTGCACAGGGTTACTGAACTTCTGCCATCTCTGATTGATGATACCATCCAGAACGCCCCCTCTGACCACAAGGCAAAGGTAGAGAGTTTGGTACAGATCTGGGAGCGCGGCAACACATTCCCTGCCTCTACCCTTGCAGAGATCAAGAAGAGGCTCGCTGAACCGGTGGCTCAANNAGTAAGTACTGCATGTTTGCAACCCCTTGAAGTCGCTTAGCTAACCTCGTCGATAGCTGTTGCCTCGACTACTCCTCCAGGCAGCCCTCCGCTCAGCATGCTCGTTTCTCTTGGTCTTCGACAAGCCCCACCACCTCAAGCAGCGCCTGCCGTTCAAGCGCAACCAGATGCTTCAAGTATCCTGGCCGCTCTCTCACGCCTTCAACCCATGCCAGCCCCAGCTGCTCCAGCTCCACCACCCGTCCCTGCTGCCGTACCCGTCCAAGCTTCTGCACCGGCCCCGCCCACAGATCTCGCTGCCATCATGGCTGGTGCCACTCGAGGCTATCAAGGACAACCCCTGCAAGCACCACCTGCATCCTATGGCTATCCTGCCCCAGCTGCTCAGCAGTCGTACGGCCAGGCATACCCGCCTCCCACACCAGTAGCAGCCATGCCTCCAGCATACCCGCAACAATACCACACACCTGCTCCTTACCAACAAGCAGCACCCCAACCACCTGCCCAGGCTGCTCAGTCGGCCTCTGGTTCATTCCTACCTGCACACATCCTCAGTAATCCACAAATATTGCCTAACGTGCTTNNCCAGTTGATTCAAGGTTTGTCTCAAGAAGGAATCCCACAAGAGCAATGNGGGGCCGTCCTCACTGCACTCTACCCGCCCCCACAACAAGGACCGCCCGCACAAGATGCATANCCCCCTCCCTCAGAAGACCGCGTCCATTACAGAGACAGGTCGAGGGATCGGGGCGGCCGCAATCGCAGTCGCTCGCCAGAACCGCCGCGCAACAACAATAACAACAACAACAACCCTGGTCGTCGCGCCAGCCCTGTCTACGGTACTTATGATGCTTCTCTTGCCCAGTCTGCTCAGGACCATGCTTCTTCCCACTCCGATCGACGTGGAGGCAGAGGCCGTGGCCGCGGTGGTCGCAACGACTATCGCCAGCGTACTCCACCTTCTGCCCGCACACCTCAGGCAGATGAGCCTCTTGTTCCCCGCAACATCAACCCAAAGTGGACAGACATGGACAACACTATTCCTCCTGGCCACATCAAGGTCCTCAGCAGAACGCTGTTTGTCGGCGGCGCCAACGGCAACGAAGCCGAGCTACGTACCATCTTTGGCCGTTTCGGTCCTGTCCAAACTTGTATTGCAAACGAAGACAAGCGTCATGCTTTCGTGAAGATGTGTAACCGCCAAGATGCCGTCAGCGCAAAGACTGCCATGGAGACTACCAGAGATCCGGATGTCCTGGCCAAGGCTCGTCAGACCAAATGGGGTGTTGGCTTTGGCCCTCGCGAGTGCTGCGACTACAGCAACGGCGTGAGCGTCATCCCCATTGACACCTTGACCGAAGCAGACCATAAGTGGATGCTGACTGCCGAGTTCGGTGGTACCGGTGGCCGGCCCATCGAAAGCGGTCTCGTTGTCGAAGAGCCCGATATCGAGATTGGCGCCGGGGTTTCCTCCAAGGCTATGAGCCGTCGTGTTGGCCCTGATGGCGGCAGCAACCGCGGTGGCCGTCGTGGCGGACGTGGAGGCGGTGGTCGCTTCAACCAGCCTGAATCTCACCATGCCCCTCGTCCTGAGCCCGTTACCATTGCTCCTCCTCCCCCCGTGCCTGGCTTTGGCTTCATGGTCCCCGGCATGCCTCAGTTCCGTTAGCACCAAGAACATCCTAAAGCGAGATTTAGACTGAGGCGCAGACATACATGGTAGAGCACCTTGATCCAGGCTCACATGAAGCATTTCTCTGAACACTACAGTGGTGAAAGGACAGAAACCAAACAAACAGCATTGTACAAAAGAAAAGAGCATTCTATTATTTATATATATCAGAAAAAGCATTGGTTAGCATACTCTTCAAGAATCGAACTAAAAGTTTTAATCCATGTTTCATTGCTATTGATGTCGTTCAACAATATTCAGACACGAGATATTGGCTACTCTATTGGTACCTGGTTCGTGGCATTCCGTTCATCCCATACATTAAGTGGCGCCTTCTTGGCTGCGTTATATGAACTGCCTGAGATCTCTCTGCTGCTTCATCATGCGAGATGTTACATTTCCCAACATCAAACAAGGCAGAGCAGGTTGCAAGACTGGTTCGAATCATACACAAGCCCACTCCTTGACATCGCTGAAAGCACACCACGGGATCCAGACAACAAGTCAGACACACCAAACAGCAGTACATACACATAGAGAGGAAAACAACAAATCAAAAGCATTCATTATTGACAACCGAACAAGAAAAGGGTATCTGCGCTAATCTCATACTGTTGCTTTGGCTTTGGACAACACTTTTCTGGCCCCCTCCCACCCCCCCTTCTTTCGAAAAAACACAAAACACACACACAACAACAAAACCCAACACCCATAATCTTGCGTATATCTCACAACAGTTCATCTTGTTGTTCTTGTCAAAACATTTCCCTTGGTCATTAGTGTCGTACCCCTTCTCCCGGATAAAAAGAAAGAAAAAAAGAATGAACGCAAAAAGATAAAAAGGAAAGAATAGAAAAAGATAAAGATCGAAACCAAGGGGAGAAGACACATTTGTCCAAGAGTGTTTCTCTGCATCTCGTACTTCGAAACTGCAGGTAATTTCCAAAACATGAACGCCATTCGTCCTGTTTCTGCTGCTTGTTTTTGTCGTCGTGATACGCCTGAATCCATGCGTAGGTTGAGTAAAGATAAATGAACGGGTGAATCAACAACATGAATAGAAGAAGAAGAAGATACCGAAAGTCGGCTTTCAATGGTGTGTAAGAATGGAAGAATTCAATCCGAAGAACTCGTGAAGCGCTAGGCTTCCAAAACGGTAGGCACTACATGCTCAACAGAGCCTTTGCGGCTGCTCGTGGCACCTTCAAGAGCGTCTCCGCTGACACTGCCAACGGAGCTGTTCTGAAGGCTACGCTGGTCCGCAGTCAGCGGAGGAGGTGGGGGTGTCGTGTTCTGCGAGATGGTTCGGCTCCCAAAGACGGCCGGTTGGGTGAGGAGACCCTGATCATACGGTATCTGCATGCGCTTTTCGATGGCGGTGACTTGTTTGCCACATCCTGTTCGCTTGGCCTTCGCAAGTTCTGGTTGGAGAACGTCGATGAAGTGGTCGAAATCCTGCTGGCTGAGAAGATCCAAGAGCTTCTGAATCACATAGTTTCCGTAATTGTCTCTGATGAGACCGAGCAGCATGCTTTCTCCTTCGCGGTTGTTGTTGCGCACAATCACGCCGATGACGTCTTGCTTCCAGGTTTCTCCAGAGTGAGTGAGACACTTCTCTACAACATTGCTTGCGAACTTGTGCTTGCTGTAGCCTTCTAGGCCCTTCAACACAAGCTCAAGAACTCTTTGCCGATCAGGTGAGAAGCCGTACTCGACAACATGTTGTGCCACGTAGTTGCCGAACGAGTCGCCAATCAAGGTGGACATGCAATCGTGCAGCTCTGCAAGAATAGTCTTCCGGGTCATATCCTCGCAGTTCTCGAGGCATCTCTGGATGACCCGGCAGCCGTATGTATGAACGCTTAGATGCTGAATCTGACCAGTGAAAGCCTGGAAGATGAAAGATATGTCGTCCTCGCTGCAGCGCTCAATGGCCTTCTGGATGACATGATTTCCGTTCTGGTCCTTGACACATCTCAATACATCCTTTTCAAGTTCGCGAACAACTGACGCTTGTTGGTCGTTGAGTATGTGCTCGAGAGCCTGTCAAAACTGGTCAGTGGAATTACGTAACAACAAGTCATAGGACTAACCTTTTGTACGACACGACATCCATACATTTGTAGCGACAATTCCAGAACACGCCCCTTCATCTTGTTGGCCAATATCTTCTTCTGGTTTTGGTCGCCGTGTTCAAAGAACTTCTGAATGACATAGTTTCCAAAAACATCAGTCATCAGTTGGATGGCGTTTGGCTGTATTTCTCGGAAGAGACGTTCTTTCTCGTCACTGTTGGCTGTCTCTAACTTCTGTTGGATGAAGCGTGATCCATGTTGATCACCGCTGAATTCTACTACATGGTCGAAGATGTCCTGGAAGATGTTAGTACAGACCTAGTCCGAAAAATACTCTCTGAAAATCTCACCTTGAGCTCGTAACGTCTAGTCTTGTGGTTCTGCTTGAAATCTTCCAGAAGAGCACTGCGCAGACTGTGACCGGGTTCAAGCTCCCTGGGACCTCTCGAAGAAGGCATGGATGATACCCCACTGATCGACATCTGCGCATGCATAGGAGGGTATACAGCAGGAATATTGTGGATGGCAGAACCATTGGAAAGATGGTACGAGTAGTATCCACCGGGCACAGGTGAGTAAGGCAAGTTCAGCATGTACCGGGGATCTAATTCCTGGGCTGATTGCTGTTGGTATCTTTGGTGGACGAAGGCTGGAGTATTGGCATTTGTGTTTCTGGGATTGTACATGTTACTGTTCATGAGGGAGCGTTCGGGATATTGTGACACGCGGTATGCCGTATAGTCGACTTGTGGCTGGGCCGCGGCAGAGTAAGCGTCGGAGGCAAAGGTAGGAGGCACACGAGATATCTGCTCGACATCATCGTACTGATCGGTCGGAGAATTGCGAGTATCGGACCCAGACTGATTGGCATAACTAGGCACAGAGAAGGAAGGCCTCGAGAGAGCGAAGCTGTGAGGGTCGTCTTGCAGATTCATTTGCGAGAACTGGGCCAAAGGAGCCGCTTGAGCATCGGCCGCGCCAAAGCTACCGTTGGGCCTGGAAGTGGAAGAGAAGCTGTTGACGCGGAAAGCATTTGTGGAAGGCTGAGAGGAAGCGAACTGGTCGGATTTTGTAGTAGTGGGCCAAGCGGGTTGAATGTCGCTATGTCGCGAAGGTGGTAGACTGTGATTGCGCGACGGGGGAGCGCTGGGAAGTGCATGGAAGAAGCCCGTGGCGGAGGGGCGTCTTCTCTCATCAACGGGAGACTGGTTTATGCTGCCACCATCCATCCACTCGCCGTAAGCCGAGTCTGTTGGCCTAGTGGCCGCGGGCTTGTTTGTTCGATCAAATTTGGTGTAGACAGGAGGAGCATCGGTCGAGTAGGACAAAGGCGAGTCAAAAGTGCCACTGAATTGCGTCTTCGGGGCCATGGAGGTGGTTGAGCTGATGCCGCTAGTGGCTGGTCTGGAAGAAGCAGAGAGAGACATGGAGCTGCGAGCAGCTCCGGCGTAAGCTTGAGGCAAACCCGAGTTGCTGTTGCTACGGTGCTGAGGAAAGGCGGCGTCGTTGGGCTTGGGCAACGGGCCTCCGAGACGAATCGCATCGTCGCGCTTTCCGAAAGAGGCCGAGCGAAATGTGCTGTAGTCGTCGTTGATGGAAGAATCGATCAGCTGGCTAGAACCGCCTCTGCCCTCGATTGTGTCCTTTCCGCTAAGCTTTCCGTTGTGGGTGCCAAAACTGAGGCTATTTCTGGGGCCGGTGGACGGAAGGGCAGCCGAGGAGGGCGAGTTGAAGTTGGTGCTCCAGATGTTGGATGTGCCTTGCCATTTGGTCAGGTTGTTGGATGAGGCTGAGGTGGTGGTGCCGTTGCGACCTTCGCTGGTCGGGGGCCTGAAGGGTTGCGAAAAGCCAGACATGGGCAGGGGACGGGGCTGCGACGAGAAGGACGAAGACATTATAGACCAGTGTACAAATATATCGAGGAAGGAGCGATGACGAGTATGTAAGACTGGGCAGGAGTGTCAGCAGCGTGGAACCCACAACACACGTGTCCAGGGCAGGAGCGGCCTACTCAGACAAAGATGTATGGCGCTGTGGGATACGATACACGACCATGTATACTTGATGGCAGTGATGCGATCAAGACGGGGTCTGGAAGGCGGGCGTGGTTATGTAACAGGGAGCGTCTGCAAGGCGGACGAGGAACCAAGTATGTGCAATTTCAAGACGAGCTGCGCGGCACTGGGTCGGCGAGGGAAGCACTCTTGACGGGCATCTGCTAGGCACACTATCCGCAGCGTGGGCCGAATTCACTGGTTGTTGTCCAAAGGCAAGGGGCTGCGAGCTTTGAGGAATGGAAGTCTTCGTGCGCGATAGAGCACTGAGAGGGGCAGAGAGCGAGGGATGGAGGTGGCCGCCTGTGTGCTTTATCGTCTGCCGGCCGAGACTGGGAGAGCGTGCTCGGGATCGCGTGGGACAGGGCTCTTCTTTTGAACAGCTATTGTCACAGCCCAAAGACAGCTCTGATTTATTACCCTGTACCTAGATGACTCCAGACCCGTACATCTCCCGAACTCTCTGAAGCCTGTTTGGAGCCTACATGCGCGGCCCGCTGCCAAGCCCGCTCTCGTAGCGCAGCCAGCAACAGGGCCCCTGTGGTAACCTACTCACCTCTGTTCGTACCCTGCTCATCTGTGTGGATCTTGTCGACCATCACCCCTCAGCATGACCAATATCATATCTCGCTCAACAGCAGTCTCTTCGCTTTTCGCTCTCTGTAACCACACCGCTGTTCAATCCTTCTCGTGTCTAGCCAGATCTTGTCGTGCAGATCACCTTGCCCAGCAATTAGTATACCATACCAATTTTTGGCCTTGCTCCAACCCGCTCCATGCGGCGCTTCAGACAAAGACTGCCCTGCGTGGGCTCTGCATCCTTCTATCGCTATCGACCAATACCCACGCTCTCCACACATCCGTTTACGAGACAAGCAAACGTGCCATCCACGCCTGTACCTTTTATGATTTCTTTAACTGAAAGCAGGAAGCCACCGTTACAAATGTGGTTTCCTGCAGGCAGTAAGCCTATCTGCGTCTCCGCCACAACATCCCGTATCCGATTTTATCTCTGTCACATCGATGCACTCCGCCATCGACTTTCCTAATCAGCTAAGCAGTCTTGTGCGCAACAGGTAGATAGTATTTATCTTGTCTTGAAAGCGATGCGTCGGCAGTGTAAAGTGGAGAGACTTCCCATCGTGCTCACTGATCAACCAACCAATTCATTTGTGCAACCCTGGCGTACCTGGCATGTCAAGTACAACTGGCTAGGCATGAGCACGAGTGGTGACAAATATATCACTACTCGTGTGCACACAACAAAACGAGCTACTACACTTCCCTACAGATCGAACAATTTGTGATACATGACTTGGATCACTCATTCCACGCTTCATCAACAGGATGAGAGATCTCAAGTGTAACACGTCTTGTCCAGAACATTGTCTTGTGACAGGCCAGAAACCCTACGAGGATATCAACCAGCACGAGTACTTCAAGGGCCCAACTCTCCTCCAAGGTATGATTGCACGACCATTCGCCGACTCCTTGCGAACGACATTGATCAGAGTCGAGTGCGTGAATAAATGGCAAGCCTCAATGCACCACACACGAAGCTGCATCATGGTGCGGCCAGGGGTGCATGGCAGAGGCTGACCCAGCAGCACTGCAAGTGCTTTGCTTGTTCTGGGCAGATCTTCTCGTCACTCCTGTCCCATGTAAACAACATCTCCTATTTTCAGGCCGTTCATAGAGTTAGCAGACAATCAAGTCTTCTCATGGAATTTTTCTCGATTTAATTATCATCGTCCAAGTTACCGTTCGAGCTTTTTTGTTCAAACAGACGAAGTTGTCGGGGCAATATGTGCGAAATTGGACGGGAGAGTATTATTATGGCTGTGCAAGACCCTCAGTGTTGCGGGTTGAACGGCTGAAGCTTAATAGGCCACCGACGGCTAGGACCAGTTGGTGAAAAGGCCATGTTATANGATGTCCATCAAACAATCCACCAATAGACAAGGCAGTAGCTTGCAAGGCCAAGTACGAAGTGGAAGACGCCTTGGGGTGAGGTCATGTCGACACAGAAACTGGCAGGTCAGACAGGCACGACACATTTCTCTGCCCCTGTCGTGGCTTTTATCGAGGAATCCTGCGTGTGCGTGCCGAGATGGAGGCCTTATTGTGTGGTGATTATGCACTCCACTCGTGAAGTGCACATCATACAGCAGCTTCGGTTAGAGGCTTGGGAGAGTTGGTACCTGTTGATCTTGGTGATCTTGAGCAATCTAAATCAGGTTTGGCTTCTCCCACCGACCCAGACTTGCGGACCNTCGAGCAACAAAAGTGCCTCGACTCCTTTCGAGATGTAATTCCACAGGGCGGACCGGGTTTCCAGAAGGAGTTTCTGTTTTGAACAGGCAGTTGTACCTATTGGAGTCTGGTCCCCATGTTAATCATAGCAGCAGTTTCATCGTTGGAAGAAGAGGGCCAAGGCACCTAGTTTGCTGTAATTAACATGACGAGTGCTGCTTGAAAAGTGGAGCGTGGCTGCTTGACAGTTGATTGGCCGTTTGAGTCTTCCAACGGCGCTAATTGCTGGAGGCAATCTTAATCGTCGTGGAGCGACATCAACAAAAGATGGAGCGCGCGCCCTCTGAGTTGTTTGAGAGCTTTTCGATCATCCGTTTCGACATCTTTGCCCCTACAGCTTGTTTCGCGACGCCGGCTTCACTCTTTTAGCCGTCGCTCTGCAGTCCATTCGTTCACCGACACAAGACGTCGAGAAGTCGATTGCGTATCCAGGTATGCACTCCGTAGCGGGCCCCCGCGTTCCTCTCCGTTGAACACCAACCACCCAACCATCCCTACAATGTGACGACGCGATGCCTGTCAAAGAGTCGCGCTTTGCAGAATGCACTACCAATCGACCAGCCCCAGACATTCAAGACTGCACTTGACCGGCATGCTGACCCTGTTTCGCCCCAGCACCTGGAAAACTTTAACCCCAACACCATAACGGCACCAATCAGGAAGGCAAAGACGCTCGTACTTGGACGTTTTACCAGACCAAATCCTTAAGCACCTCCCTGCCTTGGACTTTTCGATCCTCACAACACACACTCGCTTTACCCCGACTCTCGCTCCCATCGACAATACAACCATGGCCAGTTTTATGAAGCTTGTCGCCCGTGACAGCTACGGCGAATCGTATTCTCCCACAATGGCTTCTCTTCTTATCGCCCTGGTCGTCCTTCTTATCATCGCACTACTCTGCGTCGTCGCCCTCTACTTCATGCGCTGGAGAAAGCGCTCAATACGCGCCGGTTCTCTTGCAATTGACGACGAGGAGAAGTCCTCCCTCGCACCTTCATCTCGCCACCACCGTGTCACTGTCCGTCCTCACGAGTCAATCATTGTCTACCAGGAGAAACAAAGCCTCATCGACAACTCCGAGGCTCCNCCGTCGGCCAACTCGGTGCCCGAGATTCGCATCCACTTCCCTGAGGAAGTCGACAATTCAGGCAAACGCCAATCTGGCAGAGTCGTCGTCGTGCGTGTTGGTGACCACAGCATTGGTCTTGAGCCTGTGTCAGAAAACCTTCCTCCCTACCAGAAGAGCGACTCGGATCGTTTCCAATCTCTTGATCTCGAGAGGATAGGCGGTCTGAAGGAGAAGGACGTCGAGGCTCGCTACCAATAGTCGATGGTGCACGGCATCTCTTCAAACTATCAACGACATTTTAAAAGTAATGACCCGCTGGAGCCGCACCGTCCTTTTGCTTCTTTTTTCCTGGACACGCTTCGGCCTCTTTTTCCCAATCTCTTACATACGACCTTTGAGCTGGATGTGTGTGTGGGTGCTTGTCCGCCCCATGGCTGCCGCTCGTGGTACATATTCTCTTCTTCGGCTCATAGCACTCCTCGACAGGATGTCCGCTTCCTGTCGACACGCCTCGAGCGGCCTTGCGAAGCCTTGACTACGATACCTTGGATATTGTTAATGTTTTTCTTCTTTGGCAGCTGGTTTGACATGTCGCCGCTGCCTTGTTCTTGCTTCATACACTCATTCATGTGCCCTTCCCGTATTTCTCTTTTTCGGTTTCCAGCATAGCGGGGCTGAATTTCTCAAGGCCATGGCGTCCTGATGGAGTCATTTTAGATGGAGTCGGCCTTTCTTTTTTGTCTAGGGGTTTTGGTAGTCGTTGTCTTGGAGGTAGGCCACACGAGGATAATGTGTGGTGTTTGTATCATTACCTCGGCATGCTACAGCGCGCGCTTGACCAATGGTCGAGCAGCAGACGCAAACAATGAAAAGCAGGGTTTCGACCCGCTCAATCAACTACATGTCCATAGTGCTGTGATGCAATATGATTTGACGGTTCAGATTCGGCATTCAGGAATTTGATCATGAGACATGTGTTTGAAGAGTCGAGCAGTAAGATGAAGCCTAGGGGATTGCGGACGGCCTTGAACCTCGAAGCTTCCCCTCCACACCCCTCAAATTATTGTCGTCGACAGAGTTGCGGCGAGTTTGCTTCCACCTCCTATTTCCTTCTACACCCATCAATGCCTAGGCGGTAGCTTCGACCCAATGTCAGCAAGCGATGGGCCCAGCATTACGGCTCAATTGACCGGAGCAGGAAACCAGCAAGCTCAGATCCCAAAGAGCGAGACGTCCAAGGATGTGCAAAACGAGCGCCGGCAGACATTCAAGCGCCGCCATGGCTTTCTTGTTGGTTTCTTTAGCTTGATCCTNGTATGTTCCGGCATCCTGAATGGCTACCGCTGGCTGCTTTACTCACGGCGACGCAGCTTGTTCCACGTTTTGGGCATTTTCCTCTTCCTCAGCGGCTTCCTCCTGACACGCCTCGTCCTGGACCACAAATCCGAATGCGCCGTGCCTCCAGTTCCTCTCGGCTCGTCCTACACACCCGGCTCGCCAGATGAGGGCTGTTGGCATCCCAAGTCTTTCGACAAGGCTGTCGTCATCATTGTCGATGCTCTTCGCTACGACTTTACTGTGCCGTGGTCGCCAATTCACCCCCACCATGCCTCGCACCACTTCCACAATGCTCTGCCCATCTTTTGGGACACTGCCGTAGCTGAGCCCGAAAACGCCTTCCTCTTACCGTTCATCGCCGACCCTCCTACCACAACCCTGCAACGTCTAAAGGGGCTGACCACCGGCACTCTCCCCACCTTCATCGACGCAGGCTCCAACTTCGCCGGAACTGCCATTGACGAGGACAACTTGGTCGCACAGCTCAAGGCTGCTGGCAAGAGATTGGTTCACCTGGGAGATGACACATGGCATTCGCTGTTCCCTGGTTACTTTGATCCCGAGCTGACTCGCGCTTACGACTCCTTCAACGTCTGGGACTTGCACACGGTCGACAACGGTGTCAACGACCACATCTTCCCTCTGTTGCACTCGTCCAACACGTCCTCTTGGGATGTCATCTTTGGTCACTACCTGGGTGTCGATCATGCTGGACACCGCTACGGGCCCGACCATCCTGCAATGGCTGCAAAGCTCCAAGAAATGAACGGCGTCTTTGAACGAATGATTGCTGCACTCGACGACAAGACTTTGTTGGTCGTTATGGGTGATCATGGCATGGACGCCAAGGGTGACCACGGCGGAGAGTCTGATGACGAGGTCGAGGCCGCCCTGTGGATGTACTCCAAAAAGGGCTTGTTTGGTCGTCGTGACGAATCCGCTGTGAAGCCTCCACTCACTGCCAAGGAGAGACCTGTCGCACAGATCGATCTTGTTCCTACTTTGTCCTTGCTCCTTGGTATGCCTATCCCTTTCAACAACCTCGGCCAGCCTATCGAAGAAGCTTTCATTGGCAGGAAATCCATTGACTACCAAAACCTCGCTCAGGTCAGCCATTTGACCGCCGGGCAGATCCACAGGTATCAAAAGGAGTACTCGGCTGTCCGCAAACTCGATTCGGCCAGTACACTTCCCCCTCAGACACTTTGGGAGGCAGCTTCAAAGGTTTGGGAAGAGCTTGAGCAAGCGAACAAACCTTCTATTGAGCTGTGGCAGGCTGCCTATTCTCAATTCCGTGCTTATCAACAGGAGAACCTGCGTGTGTGCAAGAGTCTTTGGGCCCGCTTCGATCTTACCAGCATGGCGATGGGTATTACGCTACTTTCTGGTGCACTGCTCACCATTGTGCTCTTCGCAAACGGATTCAATGGAGACCGTGGTGAGATCGCTTCTGGTCTCTGCATCCGTGGAGTGATTGGTATGGCAATTGGAGCTGGTGCTGGTCTTCTTCTGGGAGGTGTGACTTCGGTTTCCTGGATCAACTCGGTTGTCTTTTTCTCTGGTCTGAGTGGCATCTTAGGCACCCTCTCGTGCCTCGTGTTCACGCCCTCAAAGCTCCGTGCTCCATTTCCTACTTCTTTCTGGGGCTGGATATGCACCATCCCTCCGGTCCTCCTTTGTATCGGTTTTGCTTCGAACTCTTTCACAATCTGGGAAGATGAGATTTTGCTGTACATGCTTTGCTCCATTGGTGCGTTGATGCTTGCATCTTCGCTTCGACTACAAAACCCCCAAGAGCGTCTGCTTGGTTCATGGCACTCGCTCTCCTTCATCGTATTGACCCGCCTCGCATCGCTTTCTCGTCTTTGTCGCGAAGAGCAGATGCCTTTCTGCAGATCGACCTACTATGCCTCGGCTACTTCTTCCACCTCGGCCTGGTGGCAACTCACTATCCCATTCATCATTGCTGTCATTCTGCCAAGCGCAATTCGCGACTTCTTTGCTCGTACGAAAAATTACCAAGGTACAGCTGTACTGTGGCTAGGTATTGCATTCCGTATCGGTCTCGTTCTCTCTGCGACTTACTGGATCCTCGATGCAGCTGACGACAATGAATGGATCCCTCAAGTCTCTAGCGAAAACTTGAAGACGATTCGCGTATTCATCGCGCAGGCTATCTTGGCCATTGCTTGGGCTGCTGGCTACAGTGCCTATCTCTACTCTGCTCCTTTCCTGGGCGTCGAGACTGAGACGCCAGCACCCGAAACAGAATTGATGGATCCCGATGACCCTATGTCGGCCATGTTCACTCCGGTCAAGCCACAACAGCGCAAGAAGCTCATTATTCTTGGCTATGCAAACACTCACGGTACCCGATACTTCCTCCTGCCCACCATTTGGGCACTTGTTCTTCTCCTTCTTCAGAAGCCTATGGGCCAAGGCACGCTTTCACTATGCTTGCTCAGCATCCTCAATCTTCTTGAAATTATTGATGCGAACGACTTGCGCAACTCGCCTCTAGGACCAGTAACATTGGCTCTGATGGCTGGCTTCTACTTCTTCAAGACGGGACATCAAGCCACACTTTCTTCGATCCAATGGGAGTCTGCATTCATCCCACTCAAGACCATCAAGTATCCCTGGTCGCCCATGTTGGTCATCATCAGCACATTCGCACCCTATATCCTCTGTGCACTCGCTGTTCCTGCTGTTGTGTTCTGGAAGGTACCTCCCCGCACTCCAGGTCTGATAAACCAGGTCGCCAGGGCTCTCGCTACTCACGTAGTCTTCTACGCTGCCATTGCTCTTGCTACTGTCGTTGAAGCTGCCTGGCTTCGCCGTCACTTGATGCTTTACCGCATCTTCATGCCCCGCATGTTGCTTGGTGTTGTGGTTCTCTTGATCGTAGAGTTGGTCGGCGTGATTGTTGGCCTTGTAGGCATTAGAAGCAGCATCCGCAGCGTGGCAGAGGTGTTTGGCTGGGGTCCTCTGGTTGAAGAGGTTCCTGTGCTGGAGACGCAGCCTGTGGCACCTGGACCAGTCGCAGCAACAGACGCCACGGAAGAGGTCAAGAAAGATTAGATCATCACTTTGTTCGAGGTCTTGCATATCCGACCAAGAAATCATAAATATAAAATATAGACTTTGTTTTAGTTCGCACGCATCAGTCAACAAAAGATATATACCCAACACAATCAGTCTTTAACAGTGTCTCGTATTGCTATTGATCGATCAGAAGATACAATGATAGTGCAAGATATGATGCATGTCTTGTACCTGCAGTGAGAAGCGCCTCTGCATCACAATCACTTCGAAACAACCCGACGAACAAATATTTCAAAGACTTTCGCTGTACATGTGCCAACCCCTGCCGTGAACTTCCCGTGTGCTAGAGTCTATATCTAGCCTCATCTTCTCTCCTGCATGAACGTAGACCAGAGTGCATGCCATCAAAAGACACGATTGTTATCCAAAGCAGAGTAATAGCCAAAGAGCGCCACTCAGATATCAGCTCTCAGTAGACACCGCCTTATCTCTCGATACCACTGTACATTTCTATAGCTACACATCACACAATCTAGCTCACGCAAAAGAAACGATAAAATATAGTTAAATGCACAAAAAGGTTGAAAAAGAAAAAATTGAACGCAAGCAATATCCAGGCTTCACAGACGCCAAGCCCCACGAAAATTTCGCGAGGCCCAGCCACCAAAATTCTTGAAGCCTCGAAAAATGCAACAAAGACCCTTAGCCACGATGTCTGGTCCCGAAAACATGTGTGTGAGATAGGCTAAAAAGAAGATCATGGTCAGTACGGGGGTCGAACCCGCGACCTTGGCGTGCCATATATCATGGGTGGATATTAGCACCACGCTCTAACCAACTGAGCTAACCGACCTGTTCGATGAGATATGCCTGACTAAAATACACATTAGCCACTGCTCAAAGCCTGATTGATCACGAGAGTATACACGAAGAGAGGAACACGGCACAGGTCCGGGGTCCTGGTGGATAGGTGTGGTGCCAGTATACATTCAAAATATATGGCATGCCAGAATAACTTGTTCTGACCTGTTTTGAAGAAGCAAAATGGTTCCTTCTTGACGACTGTGAGTTATCCTTGTTTGTGCCTGCTGGCAAGCATCTCTCCAGGTTGACATTCGGGTAGTGAAGCCTGGTATATAACATGTATGGTCATATCTCGCAGCACAGTCTGTGAATGCTCTTTGTACCCAGTAATTAAGTCAGAGTATATATCAGGCATTGGAGTAGTGATTAGTATTATCATTAAACACTCGATATGGGGTCGTGATGCTGTATTCCAGGATCCAGACCAATGCTTGAGGGATGACCCTGAGCCCAAGCATAACTTACACAATTATATGTGCAGAGTTTTGGCAGGGAGAATAGATCTTGCGATTGAGAACACGAAATCCGATATCATTGAATACAAATGGCAATCTCCATCCAGAAGTCCACTTGAGGGAGACTCACAGAAACCAGATGTCTCGAAAGCTCCAGTATGGGAAATGTAAAGGGCCACGCCCTGCTTGATCACTCCGCTACGCCCTCGTTGACATGTCTTGGCCACGCCCTCATTGACATGATATTATACGCCCTGCTTGACAACTTCCATTACGCCCGGTCGACACTTCGCTTGTCGTCTTGTGTCGAAAGAAGCCTCTTCTGTACAGAAGATGTAGCGACTTATAAGAAGGGCATCCCCATGCGAGAGATGTAGGTCATCTCCCAAGATTCCATAGGCGCCGTGTACCCTCTTGATTTATCTTGTATGTACAATGCACGATCCAGAGAAGCAAGTCTCCACAGACCAAGCTGTCAATGTCTTGTCAAACCGCGACTGTTTGGTCCAAGCAACAAATCCGAATGACCCTGCATACNNCCCCCCTCAAGATGGTGGAAGAGGCGCCTGGCTATTTCTCTTCGGAGCTTGTGTCATCGAAGTAACAGCATGGGGTACGTCTTCCTTATACCTATCGCCAAGATACGATATACTCACCTGCCCCACAGGGTTGCCATACTGCTATGGAGTCTTTGAAGCATATTTCATCTCTCACCCACCCTTTGCAGGCCAGAGCCTCATCTCCACTGGTGGCGTCCTTTCAAATGGCATTTTACAGCTCTCGTTGCCTCCAGTGATGTATTATGTCAACAACTTTCCTGAGCATCGAGTGCCGGTCATGTGGACGGGTTGCATGATCTGCACGGTTTCTGCCATTGGTGCGGGATTCGCGAGGACAGTGAGTAAGAGACTGTGGATGGAGATGACTTCGGGGCTGACTTTTGGGAACAAGCCGTTGCAGCTTATCATGGCGATCGGATTGTTGTATGGTATTGGTGCGGGGATGCTGTTTGGGCCTTGCATTCATTTGATGGCTGAGTGGTTCAAGGTGAAGAAGAGTTTGGCTTACGGCTTCATGTATGTATCTCCTCGAGAGCACTGTTCTGGGATCATCTACTAACGTTGTCTCTAGNNCTGTGCAGCAGGTGCAGCCGCTGGAGCAGGATTACCGCCAGTCTACACCGTATGCCTGAACCGATATAGCTACAAAGTCACTCTGATCGGCTGGGGCATCATTACGTTTGTCGTCACGTCCATTGGCTTGTTATGCGTGAAGCCTCGCCTGCCTAGCTCAGCACAACCGCTTCCACTCCCGCCGTCAAAAAGAGACTTTGATTTTGCGAAAAAGCCTCTTTTTCTGATCATGTTGCTTGCGACCATGGTGCAAGCGATTGCCCATTACGGACCGAGCCTGTATCTTCCTTCCTTTGGCGCAGACTTTGGTTTGTCCGCTTCTGAGGCGGCTATGCTGGCTAGTTTCTTGAATCTCGCTCAGGCGATTGGACAGCCTTTACAGGGTTGGCTTGCGTAAGTTACGCCAGCCGTGACCAACAGACTGTTGATGAGAGATATTTCGTACTGACTCGTGTGACAGNNTGATCGGCGCAAGTCCTACTACATTCCCATGCTCATCAGCACCATCGGCGCAAGTCTCGAAGCACTCTTGATCTGGGGCTTCGCACGCAACACCTGGTCCCTCTCCCTCTTCGCCTTAGCATTCGGCAGCACGGCTGGTGGGTTTGCAGTCTTGCGACCTCGCTTTGCTGCCGAAATCGTCGGCGATCAGGATGAACAAGACAACCAGAGTTTACTCGTGTTTGCCATCTTGACGGCAAGTCGTGGTTCCGCCATCGTTGGCTCTGGCTTCATCATGACGAGTCTGGTGCATCAAGGAAGCTCGACCAGAGGTTGGGGTGGTGGTGAGACGTGGTCAAACCTCGTCATCTATACCGGTACCATCATGTTCGCTGCCAGTTTTGGAGCGGTGGGTATGTTTGTTGGTCCGAAGAGGCGGTTTGGGAGCAGCAGACATGCAAAGGAATCAGGGGGTGAGAGAACACTGGACAGGACCAACAGTGATAGCGTAGGCGAGCTTGCCTGATTTTGGGAAGATCTAGGACCAGATGTGTCAAGAGATCTCTGCCGTTTCGACCAGGTTCGATAGTAACCCCTAAGCGCCAGCAGACGGTGTATTTCATGGATCGCATGCTCAATCCACAGTCTCAAATCTCGGCTCAGTTTCGCTCTGAACATCATCGATGATAGATATCCTTGGGCCAAAGCTCTCGTTCCAAGGCAGCATCAGTTGATCGAACAACAAATCTCCAGCATCGTCATTGTCGACAGTCCAAGGCCATGTGTTCACTGTCTCTGGTGCCGATAAAGCCGGGTTGATTTGTGCACCAAGCGTTTTACGAAACACCCACTCAGCAACAATCAGCATCTCTCCTAAAAGTCCCGCATCAGGCCACGGACCGGCAATGGTCTCGAAGGGCAACGCCTTTTGCAGAGGTACTCGTGAGGCGGAGAATCGCAGATATCCCTTTGGGATGGGCCCATCACTCTGGAATAATGCAAACAGAGCCGATTGATGTTGTTCTTGCGATAGAGAAGGCATGGAGATACCAAGATCATGGTAGACTTCGAGGTCATCGGCTGGTCTGACTTTGCCTTCTGTGAGACAAGTCAAGATATCCAGACTATATGCCCTCTTGAAGAGATCCAGCCATTCGGGATTATCCGCTGCTGTGCTGATATCAGCATTGGCGGAACCATAGGTGAGAAGTCGAGCTTCATTTTGAAGCTCTACATCCGAGACGGGACGACTTTGTGACACCCTCTCTTTAACCAAGCGATGCAAGCCTGTTACAAGAAACTCCCACGACCTGCTATGCGGAAGACCCGGGCGACGTTTAGCATTGGAAGCGCTGAAAGGAAAGGGACGTAGACGTTCCAGGCCAATGAGGAATGGGGGCATGGCTGCAGTGACTTGGGCAGATACTGCACCATCAAAACCTCTGCAACCTTTCCACATGTCCATATGATATCCAATCTTGAAGTGACTCGCGATGTGTTCGTTTCTTTCATTCCACAGTGTAAAGCGCTGACCACAGAAGCCGCAACGGCTATTAATCCACACAGCTTCCAGAAGCCAATGATCCATGTGCGGAAGCATGTCACTCTCATGAACAGAGCGTAGATGTTGACGAAAGTGGTCTTTACGAAGGAATATCCTAGCATCAGGATCTCGCGATTGGCAGTACTGGTGGTTGTGGGATGCGATGTGCTCCAGAGTAGGCGTCTCAAGACCACAGTATGCACATATTTGACCACCAGTACTTGGACATACTTGCACAGCAGAAAACGGACAACAAATGTAGCGCTTTAGCGGCAGGTGGAGGGAAGTCTCGTGTCTAGTCCAATCATATTTGGTGGCGAAAGTGTCGGTGCAGAAGGTGCATTGGAATCTCTTCTGTTGTGATTGCAAAGGGAGGCTTTGTTCGGCGACTCCAGGCTCGAGGTTAGCTTGTATGCCTTGTTGTCCATGATGTGAGCTGGTTGTGAGCTGATGAACTACTGCTGATGTATGTTTAATTGAGCGTGCAGCCTGCTTCCGTCGACGGTAGTTGGCGAACCAAGTATTCAGCTGTCGTCCGTCCAAGCCAGTCGCCTCTTGAAGGGCCGTCTTTTCTGCAGCTGTTGGATATGGATTCTCTTGATGAGTGCGAATCCATTCGGTTAGGACTTCGGCAACAGCATTGGGAAAGCGAAGCAGATGTCGCGTAATGTCATTGTTCTTGCCTTTTCTGTCAGTATTGACACAGTCTCTACACATTGTGAACAGCTTGAGCCGCCAACATCAAGATGGCTAGAACAACATGTGGCAAACAGCGGCTTTGAGTAAAGACAAAGGATCCGGCCAGACGAGAGAGTCAGTCAGATGTACTGGCCCGGCCCAACAACAACGCGGATGGCTGGGGTCTTTTATGAGATGGAATTACAAACATTATTCTCCGCATGGAGGGATCAGATGGCCCAAGCGCTGGCTGACTTTTGTGATTTATACAGGGCAGCTCAGGTGCAGATAGATATATACATGATATACAATTCGTAAAGTCTTGAATTCTAGCATCATGACCGGCAGTCCCACTCAAGAGCCATAATACCGCTGTCGTCACCTTGCCATACCCTGCCGGCGTGATTTTCTTTTGCAACGGCAGAGCGCAAAGCAGTACCAATCTCCATAGGTCCAGCACCAACGACTTGACTTCTACCGCCACAGATCGCCGCTCTTTCAGCGAAGTCGCAGACAATATCCTTGATCGAGGGATGAGCGCCGCCGAGGTATGTAATCTCGAAGTTGTGCTGAGGTGTTACCAGGTCATTTGAGGTGGAGACGATTACACCATTCTTCCCACTCTTAGCACGCTTACTACAACATCCTTTGCCCTTCTCGGATATAGAAGAAGTGGAGGAATTCGATGATTCTGGCGGTGCTGTCTCGCGGGTAACGAAGATGCGTAGACGTAGGCCATTCGCTTTGCTAGAAGACATCCATGACTTGAGCTCCATCAATTCTGGTTCAATCCAGGAAAGGTCTTGGATTTTGCGGATGATCCACACAAAATCGACAGCACGAGTGCCTGTTTGCGCGACAGTAAAAGTATCTTGAAGAGTGGGGAGCACAGAAGTGACGCCTGTGCCGCCTGCCACAGTCAAAATATTGGAGGAGGCGGCTTCCTCAGAAGATGTGCCTCCATAGGGTCCGGTGAGTATGACGGAAGTAGCACAAGAATCTCCGCCAGTGGCTTTAGCAATTCGGGCAAGCTTGGCAGTGATACCGGAACGTTCGCGGATTAGGTAGGTATGGTGCTGAATATCGCTGCGACCATCGGGAAGAGATGATGGCGTGAATGGATGGCTCTGCCAGATGTTAAGTGCAGGGAAGCAGAGGTAAAAGTGTTGACCAGGCTTCCAGGCGGAGTGCTTAAAGTCGAAGTCAATACGCACAACCGAATCCTCGTCGTCACCATAGTGCTGAACAGTAGCAATGGCGCTGTGGAAACCAAGACCAGGCTTACCCTTGCGGTATCCGACGTGAAGCAGTGCAGTTCGAAGGAATCTGATTCCGAAGTCGGCAAGTACGATAATGAGAGAGGCGATCATCCAACAGGCCAATTTGTCCCAATGTCCCCAGCATGCTCCGAGATATAATATGCCAATCAAAGCATGGGTCTTCTTGAAGAACTCGTATCCAGTCAATCGGATGGCCCAGCTGGTGCTGAAAATGTACAAGAAGGTAATCATGATTTGAGCAACGATTCCCCAGACAATGTACTTTTGCTTGATGAATGCGGTATAAGTCTCCGGTTGCGGCTGGTAGAATCTCCCTTCGACAAGTGTCCAGACCAATGTGTGCAGAAAAGACTGGATGAAAATGACTCGACCAGTCCATCGATGCAGGAAATTGAAATGTTGGTATGGAATACCGGTGATGAGAGACAAGACGCTCTCACGAGAGCAAAGAGCGATCGTGAGTGGCGTCAAGGCATAAGCCAGGGCGCCAACACGGTCGCCCCAGCCTCCGAAACCGGTTCTGATTGTCTTCAATTCAGGATGCTTCTTGGTAGGTGTGATCCAGGTTTTATAAGTAACACCAACGAGACTNNGTTTTTGAGTCAGCTTGATAACAAACTACGCAAGGTTACAATCAACATACGAGAATATTAACAAATAGCCAAGAAGCGAAGATAGCACTGCAACCTGTAAAAGAGTCACTCGTCCGAGAACTCCTCTTCCCGGAGCCTCGGAAAGCGTCCATCGCCTTCCCATGGATCCGAGAGAGTCCAACCCACGCCGAAGTGGTGTCTTGATATTTGATGAGCGAGTTACGCTCTTGCCATAACGCAACGAGAGCATTAACATAAGAACGCCGCCCAAGACCGCCCAGAGAATGAAGGTGTAGAGCATTGATATCTCATGCGAGTGGTAGACAGAATCCAGATATGCACAAGTGCCGGCATCTTTGGTGCATGGTAAAATCCGATCGGGATACGCCCAGTAGTGTTTGACTGTAGAATTGGCATCGAGCTCTTGAATATGCCGTGTCTCAAGCATTGTGTCTAGAGAAAGCTAGACTACCGTCCAGCGGAAGAGCGTGGTCAAAGAAAAGCGATAGAGTCCTGAAATATCGATGACCAGATTAGGAGACAGGAAAGAGCGTCCGGTTATATGCAAGCACGTGTGGTAACGTGTGTCGGTGTGTCGAAAGATGGATGCGATGCTTTCCCAGTACGTGGGTGGGAGATGCTTTTTAGAATGGGAAACGTGCAAGCCATGTGCTTCTAGATTCGAGGCGCGAGCGGAGTCCGAAGACCATCGTGTCAAAAGCGTACCGATGAGGGCATGGGATGGTTGAGGACGCGGGTGTTTCGCCTGCCAAGCATGAATCTTGCTCAAATATGAGCATGTTTGAAGCTTGGCCGTGCCGCCATGTGGGTCTCGAAACATGTAAAGTCAGGAGAGCGTTTTGAGTTCTATGCAAACAATGCTCGGGTATCGATATATAAATGCTGAGTGGACGTAGTTGTTCCTCCTTCAAGTGATACACCTAGTGGCTCAATCTCCCTCGCTACTCTCGTACTCTGCGTCCTCCTGTTGCTGTTTCGCTAGCATCTCTTTCCAATTGTCTGCAAATTCTCTCAAAGCACCAGGGCCGCCCTGACTTGCATCAACAACATCTCGTGGTAGTTTGTGTGCGCTGTACTGTGGTGTGTTGAAGCTGTACGCTTCAGGATCGTCCTTTCTAATCAAGCGGAACTCTGGGACCCAGATTTCTTCGTCGGCTTCCTCATCATCATCATCGTCGTCCTCCATGTCTGTTCGTCCTTCTGTGACCTCGCCCTCTTTTGCATCGCCCGTTTGGGAATCGGACTGCTCCTGTCCTTCTGCGACTAAACCGGCAGGTCTAATAGGAATGCGAATGACCTTCTCTTCCGGTGGTTCGGGTAGTGTCAATAGCTCCAGCCAGCTGAACAACAAGGGGTCTGTCCTGACTGCCCAGGGATTGACATCGATTAACCAAACACGATCATGCGGCGGAGGAACGTAGACGTCAAAGACGAAGTCGGCGTCCGGAAAAGTGTGCTTAAGTCTGTCGTCGAAGAAATTGTGTATGACGTGGCGTAGCTTGTCTTGCATGCGGAAGAGGAAGTCGAAATGATTTAGATCTCGTTGGCAGAGGGCGATGAGTTTACGATTTCTGACAAAGCACCTGAATTCGACCGAGGGATTCATCTGGAAGAATTTGCGCAAGACCAAGTGATAGGGAATGTCGTTTGTAGTTTTGGGAATTTCATCGGAAAGTGACTCGTCTTCAATGCAGTCGTCGTAGGCGTGCTCGAGATCGTGGGTGACAAAGTCGGAGCTCTTGAGGAGCAAGTAGATGTCGCTGGGCAGTCTGCACTCCATACTGTTGGTCGCAGCGATCCAGGTAGCGTCCTTGGGAGCAGACCAATTTAGCTTGGGCACGACCTTACCACCGAGCTCTGCGATGGTGTTCTTGATGGCTCGGTGAATGTTGCGCCACTCGGCAGAAGGATCCTCCTCTTCATCTTCATCCTCTTCTCCAGCAGTATCAGAAGCCGAGAAGATGCCAGAATCGCTGTCTGACCAGTCACGGCGAGGGTCGTCCTCGTCTGGAGGNNGGATTACAATGCCGTCTGCGCGGAGGTAGTCGAGGAAGGGACGAGTAAGAGGGATAAGGCGAGCCTTGGGTGATATAGCGCGGTATCTAGCAGTGTATTAGTCGAGGTGATGCACAAGATTGGGAATCGGAGCGAGGGCATACTTGAGATACCAGTTGTGGTATGAGCAATGGATGATGTGCGATTTTGTGAGAGGCGCAANAGGAAGCTCGGTCAGAGGCTGCGGAGCCTCGAAATGTTCTTCTGTGGCCATGCTGTATGATTGGCGACAGAGAAGAGACACGACAGTAAGCTGCAGGCAGGCGGCTACCTCGAAGAAAGACGGGAGTGGAAAGAAAAGGCGAGAATCACATGAAAATGCACATCATCTCGCTATACAGAAGTCTTGGCTCGACTTTTCGATCCCCCGCCTCGGATGACTTCACTCTCGTCTTTCTGCTTTCTCTCTACGACTACCTGAAACCATCACCTCCATCATGTCTTCCAACGTCGGACTCTCTACCCCACGCGGCAGCGGTACCTCTGGCTATGTCCAACGCAACCTCTCCCATCTCAAACCGCGCGACGCCGCTGCGCCCTACTCCAAGGACCACGATCTTCTTAGACACCGCCAACGCCAGCCCGACAAGGAGATCCTCGAACACGATCGCAAGCGCGAGATTGAAGTCAAGGTCTTTGAGCTGCGCGACAAGCTCGAGGAAGAAGAGTACGCACCCTTGCAGAATGCTTCTAGCCAAGCTCGCAAAGCTAACACACAACCAGANGTTGATGAAGACGACATCGAGGACCAGTGCACCGCCCTGCGCAAGAAGCTCCATGCCGAACAATCAAGCAAAAATACCTCTACAAACGCAAGAGGTCTCAAGTCACACCAAGTCCACGAGCTAGCCAAAGCAAAGATCGAGGAAAGCGAGAAACTCAGACGCGCTTTCGGCATCAGCAAAGACTATGAAGAAGGCAGCCACTGGAAGAAGCAAGAGGAAAAGGCCCGACAAGTTCAAGACCGCCAAGCAGAGGAATCGAGAAGGGCAAGAGAAGAGGATGATTATTCTGATTAAGAAACACCTTGCTGCTTAGGTCTGTTGCTTTTGAGCGTGGCGTTGGAACAGGATACTCGGGTCGCATTATTCCACCATCAATCAGGATTGCACGCTTTGAAACTTTTTCCCCAACACCAACACCCGGTTTATGACTGCACATCACTTCGACACTCCTGCCATCTGGCCCAGGCCACTGTCCGCTCTGCTGACCGGGCTGTTATCGCGTTCACTTCTCGAGCTCCTTCTGGTCGACATGGTCTCTGAACGTCTCGGGCTGTTGCTGCTAGTCCTGGTAAGGCTCCGTACTGCTAGCTGCATGTTCTTGTGTACCGGGAAATTCGAGGGCGTCTGTGTGGTCGACATGGTCTTGGAAAGTTGTCCTGACCCCTTCGAGCCATGCCAGTTCGCTCTCAGCTCTGCCTTCTTGGCTTCGCCCGACATGACAAGTTCCAAGCCCTCTTCCCAGTTGTCCTCATCCAGCATAAATCTTTCGCGCTTGGGTGATAGGTAACNCCCATCCTGGACGTGGTATAGAAGTTCCATTTCGACCGACATGGCAAAGCTTGTCCTTTCGCCTTGCTCGTACAAAGCTCCGAATATCGCGCTGCAGACCTCGCGCTCCAATTCGGCGAAACTGCGATATAACATCGAGGGGATGTAGAGAACCGACTCCACTTGTCGACAGGCTTGACGCGATGAGACATAGATTTGGCGACCAACGAGTGGAACGCGCAGTGTGTAGCGGGAGTTGCGAGACCAGGTCGATACTGCAGTTCCTAGACTCGACTTTCGGGTGTGTCCTGAGGTGCTCGAAGCGGTCTTCATGGTGGCTGCCTTGCTCTGGCTGCTGGCGAGCATCCTGTCTGAGAATGCTGTGAATAATCCTGGGCCCGTAAAGATGGATCGTTCATATCCTGCTAGCTTTTCCCGTTGGAGGTTGGGTTGAATAGGTATGCAATGAGATAGTTGTTGTATGAGAAAGAAGAGTGAATCTCCAGTGGAAAAGAGGTGCTCGCAAAGAGAAGGTGAGAAGACCACCGTTTAAAAAAGGTCGGTCATCAGTTGGAAGGCCCGGTCCATGCGCAACTTTGGCCTTTGTGCATTTCCAAGTTTCCTCCCATCTCCACACCTCCAAACAGCAACAACTCTATCGAAAGTTGCGTGCCTCCTTCTGAGTCAGATCAATAGCCACTCTCCGCATCATACACAGTGACTACGATAACGTGAGTCTTGAAGATGCCGGCTGACCGACCGGGTCGAAACACAAAATCATGCGTTGTACAAACTGCCGAAGTATCGCTCGTCCAGGGCAGTGTATCGATTGCTCGCGGCTGACCTGCGCAAGTGGGGATCCTTCTTTGGGGCAGCGCCCCGTCTCAACATGCGCAGGGACTTCTCCAGCTCCACCTCTTCAATTATCTTCCCCTTTCATCCCTCTCGCTAAACACAGATGAAAGGTCAACCAACTGGCTGAAGCGATGGCCTCTTCGTGCGCCCATATCGATCACATTTCCTGCTTCACAACCAGACAGAAAATACCACTGCCGTGAACACCGCGGACCCCAGACCGATTGTCGTGCGACACGTTGCCCGATTCGATCTGTAGCCGTAGGCCGCAAGGCCGGGGAAGCAACGCTTGGCCGAACGGCGATGGAGCTTCTATCTGGCTCAACGGCCGGACCCGACCAGAGGGCGGTGAACTATCGACTTGGAACTTGATTGGAATCACAGAGCGGTCGTTCTAACAACAGTGTAGTTGCATACTATAGTCCGCACTCCGGTCTATCTAACCAACGTTGATATATTACTTCTCCAAGTTAGACGAAGGAATGTGACCAACGAAAGATTTCGGAGTCTTCGCTGTGCTCGATACTGTAATTAACACTCCATCAGGAGCCAGCGTCCTTCCAACATTCTACATCGTCGACCATACGCTCGCCTTCGATCCACCAGTGAACAGAAAACTTGGCCTGTACCGATTCCCGAGAGCGCAACATAGGGATGAGATTCGGCCAACTGGCTTCATCGACTTCGATGGTGTTGTATATGTATCTGGGTCCGTTGATTGTGCTGTAAGGATAAAGGTCGCGGAATGGCACCCGATAGGTGATGAAGAGCTCAAGCCCGACGTTGAGGTAATGACGCTTGCGCCATGGCAAGTACCAGTGAGGGCGTCCTGGGTATCTTCTGTTGAGGCGACGATAGAGATTTGTGAGAGCCTTTTCGATCAGAACACTATGCTTAGATGGAAGCCAGTGGACATCATGGGGTAATGGCGTGGCCTCGGGTGCTTCGCTGAGGTCCGATACTTCGAGTATAAACTTGAACCTCATAGGATCGATGACACGCTTCCGGTCACAGTCACAAATCGGTGGGCGGAGGTGTAGGTCCGAGTTGTTCTGACCGTCACTCCAAGAGTCGTCCATCTGGGGAAGTTTATCCTGAGACATATCTGATGTGGGTTGTGGAAAGAACTTGTCCCACGACAGTGGACAAAGGTCTTTATACAAACGATTTAGTTTGACTCACCTATGGGAACGGTGACTCGGACCCAAAAGCGATCAAATTCCGCAGAAAACAGAGTAAGTCCTTGACAAAGTAACTCACCAAAATTCTCTCGTTCATGAACAGCCACACAGAGCTGCATGATGAGAACCTTATACCAGCGCAGACTGAGCAAGAGGTTCGTGAAGCTTATGTGTGGAGTATGCTCAGTTTCCCTAGTCGTCTCCTCACTCGTCTTCTCATTCGTCTTCTTGCATCTTGGCCTATGGCCTGATCGATGAAAGTGCATGTGAAGCTGCAGATGACAGAACATTGATGGAGCGTTAAGTTGGCGAGAAGGGAGGAAGATCAAGATGGTCATTTTGAGCTAAAAGTGCCGAACTGGAGCTTGGAAAACTCCACAACAACACCAGCAGATGCTCGTGCTGTATGAATGCATACCGCAAATCTGGTTGGTGGTTTTAGTAGTGAGAATACAATGTCTTGCTGAAGCATAAGCTTGCATACTTTGAAACCACATTTTATGCAAAAGTTATGGACTGATAACTAAATCAACCATCAAAGACCAGAGCAAGCGCTACATCTCTCTGGGCCGAGACAGCACAGTGAGCGTGCAAGTCGTTTTGTTGAATGAGCAGCTGTGTGAAAGAAGATGGTCTGTTTAACTGATGTAGTGGAAAGCACAGACCACTCTTAAACCAAAAGCTTAGACTGTTTCTGCGGAGGAAGGCGCAGGCACCGTGGCAAAGAGGACTGGTGTCTGCTCAGCGTGCTGCAGCTTCCACTCGTGTAACACTGCAGGCTCTGCAGCGTCACCAATTCACCAGAATTATAAAACTGGCCAATCTCCCTCTTGCGCTCAACGCTTCACTTTAGAACCACTTCTTCCACCAACGAGCCCCTGACCTTTTATCGCAGCGCGCGCGCCCTGAACCAAAGCCGCTCAGCCCCCAACAACATGGCAACCGATGGTGTCCAACAAGACATCGAGTATGTCAACGTCGAAGACATTTCCAGATCTGAAGAAGATCAGAAGATTCTACAGAGCTATCACCGTCTGTCTTCGCGGCGAGTAGATCTCGTAGGCGATTTTGCCGGCCAAGAACTGTTCGCCATTGAGGGCGATTCCCTTCTTTTGCAGTGCTTTGAAAACTCACTACTTGATTTTGAGGATGGCTTCCAAATGCTGCACGCTGTCTACCTTGTAGAAGAATATCTCGCTCAGCTCCAGCGTCGTAACTGCAGATTCCACGTCGCTTTCTTTGACGCCCACCGTCAGCTCTGCATCCCCCAGAGCGTCAAATCAATCGATCGATCCAAATACCTCCTTACACGAGCTGCGATAATTCGCCATCTCCAATCCAATCTGCAACATGAATTCGTCGAGATTCACTGCTTCAAGGATTTGTACGACCAAGCTTTTGATGATTATCTGCGTAATTCTGCAGTGTACTTCTTGATGTGTCACGATGGAGCTCGTAGCCACACTACACAAGACAGAGATGTTCCCGATCCAAGAACCCAGTTGAGATCAGTCATTGTTCACTTCATCTTGTCCGGTTACAACGTGGCTTTGATTAATGGCTCTGAGTTTGTCGACACAAAGATCATGGCTATGGTTCTAGAAACGAAGAATCTCTCCCACACACTGGACCCAGCCCTGGACGCAAGCCCCAAGCAGCCGACTGACGTCTCGGAGCCCATCTCTTCCGCGGACATGAAGGAGATCGGAACAAGCACATCCGACCTTACTGAGAGAGAGCGTTTGACGGTCACAACTTTGTCTCGCTTGCTCAAGACTTCATCCGCCTCAACGAATGTGCAACAATTCACACATGACGTCCTCGCACACACTGCGCTTCTCCATGCCTTGCCCCTATCAGCTCGTAGTCTGCAGCACACTGCAGTCTTGAGCGTCAACAAGGAGCATCTCTCTAGCTTCTGCGACCAAGCGGCTGAAATTCTGAGAGCTTTGAACTGGTCTGAATACCACCAGGAGTTGGAGAATAATGAGTGCGACGTGGCTGATCTCTTTGATGGTCGTCTGTTCAACGTTATCTCCCAGGGTCTCGATCTCTCATCGATGCCGGAAATTATGCAGAGCAAATTTCAGAAGCTCAACGAGTGCCTGAAGTCCATCTGTGATGGATCGGTAACAAATGCTGATGCTGAGACGAGAAAACTGAGGAATTCGTCATCGGATGCTCCTTCCACAGCTCCCACCGGAAACATGAGTGTGCTACCGTTCTCCAACCCTGTGTTCGATCAGCATCTGACCTCCATTCGTCTCGGAATCGACGACCATGCATCCGAGGAGACCAGCAGACCTTCAGCTCGTATCTTCCAGGAGGTGTCTCACTGGCACAACGCCAAAAGACCCATCCAGACAAAGAGCGCGCCAGTCCTTTCTCCAAGAGACAAGATACGCGCTGACCGCAGAAATCAGAAGTACATGGATGAGATGCAGAAGTACGCTGCTAGTTTGACCAACTCTGTGGGAAGGGCACTCGAGCCCGAGACACTTCTCGTCAAGTCAGCAGCCGATTCGAAAGTCGCAAAGAAGTCTGAGAACAAGAAGATCAATGCTGAGCCTACCAAGACCGTCGACACTTCCAAGAAGGGAAGCAACCCTAAGGGCGGTAAGAAGAACGTCAAGGTCAGCGGCAAGCAGGCTGCCCAAGAGGCAGCTGCAGCTTTCCAAGCCAAGAAGGCAGAAGCTTCAGACTCCAAGGTCATGCAAGCATGGCACATCATTCTGAAGAGTCTGTCTGCTGAGAGTGACTTGCCTTCTCGTTACATCAAGACCAAGGATTACTTTGCTAGCTTGCCCAAGGACAAGAGAGAAGTTCTTGGTGCTGAGGTACAACTTTTCTCCCTGAGCACATTGGTAGAAATTGCCATCCAATCAGGCAAGACGAACGACCAGGATCCCAACGGCATCGTTGCTTTCATCTGGCACACTGCCAGAAACCTCGTCCTATGCGACAACATGACCAAGACAATCTGCGAGAAGATCAAGCTTACCATGGACACATTTAGTCTTCCTCCTGTTGACCTTCCCAAGCCCACTCAGGACAAGTCACTGCCGTTCCGCTTCGCGCTTCCTCTGCAGAGCGCAGAGCTCGTCAAGAACAAGCTATCGAGCAAGGCCTTCCAGCTTCTCCATTGCGGACCCTTCCTCGACCGCAGTATGGACGCTGCTCCCGATTCAAGAGTAGACTTCGAGCCCGACGGCTGGCAGAGAAAGGTGCTTGACGGCATCGACGACAACAAGAGTCTATTCGTGGTCGCGCCCACTTCTGCCGGTAAAACCTTCATCTCGTTCTATGCAATGAGAAAGGTCATCGAAGCGGATGATGAGGGTGTTCTCGTCTATGTTGCACCAACCAAGGCCTTGGTCAACCAGATCGCCGCCGAAATTCAGGGCAGATACTCCAAGAAGTTCAAGTATCCTGGAAAGAGCGTGTGGGCTATTCACACCAGAGATCATCGAATCAATAACGCCACAGGATGTCAAGTCCTTGTTACTGTACCTCACGTGCTTCAGATCATGCTTTTGGCCCCCTCGCACGCCAACTCGTGGGCGACTAGAGTGAAACGCATCATTTTCGATGAAGTTCACTGCATTGGCCAAGCTGAAGACGGTGTCGTCTGGGAGCAGCTTCTATTGCTCGCCCCTTGCCCCGTCATCGCACTCTCGGCCACAGTCGGCAATCCTGATGTTTTCAGCGACTGGCTGGCGACCACCGAGAAGGCCGCAGGTATTGACTTCGAGATGGTTAGACATCCATACAGATACTCCGACTTGAGAAAGTTCTACTACGATCCTCCAAAGAAGTTCTTGTTTGACGGTCTAGGTCAGAAGAAGGGTCTACCAACCCTTGGCCTAGATGGTACTACTGGATTCGAATACCTTCACCCTGTTGCTTGCCTTGTCAACCGCTCAGCAGGTATGCCGGACGACCTCTCCTTCGAACCTCGCGACTGTTACACACTCTGGAAAGCTATGAAGGAGCACTCGAACGACAAGTACAGTTTGCCAGCAGAGCTTGACCCCACCAGCGCCTTGCCCAACGTTATTCGCAAGCAGGAGGTTCTGCAGTGGGAAGCGGGGCTGAAAAAAGTCCTGGCTGCATGGATGGAAGACCCCGCGTCTCCTTTCAGTGCTGTCTTCACAACTCTCTCTGGCAAGCGACCTCAAAAGGAAGAGGTTTATGCACCCACCGGAAAGCGAAACGGTCAACGAGAAGCCCAGGAGGTTAAGGAAGATGATTTCCTCCCCTTGCTTTGCCGACTTCATGAACAGGATGCGATGCCCGCCATTTTATTTAACTTCGACCGCACAAAATGTGAGGATATCTGTGGTAAGATCCACGATGATCTGAAGGAAGCCGAGGACCAGTGGAAGGCCACCGATCCGAAGTGGAAGGCCAAGATTGTTCAATGGGAGGCTTGGAAGAAGGAGCAAGAGCGCAAAGGTGCCAAGGCCAGCAAAGTCTCAAAGAGCAAGAAGCCTGCTGAAGAGGGCATGACCAAGGCAGACATGCAGCGTGATGCTGCTGATACCGACGCTAATGGTTTCGAGGGCTTTGATCCCGCAGCTCCCCAAGACGGCTACCACTTCTGCAACTTCAAGGCTATTCAGATCTCTGAACTTGAGGACTACATGAGGGAGCTGGAGTGGAGACGCGTGCCGCAATGGCTCATCGTTGCCTTGACGAGAGGTATCGCCGTCCATCACTCGGGTATGAACCGCAAATATCGCCAGGTTGTTGAGATCCTGTTCCGCAAGGGCTTCCTCAGAGTCGTTGTCGCAACCGGTACCCTTGCTTTGGGTATCAACATGCCCTGCAAGACTGTTGTGTTCACTAGTGAATCTGTGTTCTTGACCGCTCTTGAGTACCGCCAATGTGCCGGTCGTGCTGGTCGTCGTGGTTTCGATCTG